TTGTGCGGCGTATGATAGAGACTGACAAAAGAGTGACCTATCAACAGATTCGGACAAGCTTAGGCATCGGTATGAGTCAAGTGCACAAAATCCTCCACGAACATTTAGCGGTCAGGAAGCTTTGCGCCCGGTGGATACCTCATAATTTGACTGAGGCTCAAAAACTCCATCGTGTGGATTGGTGTCGTAAAATGATTGAAAGATTTAACGGAGGTGACTCAAATGCTGTGTTCGACATACTAACAGGTGACGAAAGCTGGATTTACTGTTATGATCCTAAAACCAAAAGACAATCTGCTCAGTGGGTGTTTCCTTTCGAGGAGTTGCCAACTAAAGTGAAGAGAGATCGAAGTGCGGGAAAAAAAATGGTGGCCTCGTTCTTTGGAAGGATAGGTCATTTTGCAACAATTGTGTTAGAGGATCAAAAAACAGTTTCTGCAGAATGGTACACTACCAATTGTTTGCCACTTGTCTTGGAAAAAGTTCGAGAGAAACGACCTCGCAGTAGGATCCTCCTTCACCACGACAACGCCTCGTCGCACACCGCCAAGCGAACGATCGACTATTTGGCGACATCAAACGTTGAATTACTGGGTCACCCGCCGTATAGCCCCGACCTCGCGCCTTGTGATTTTTATTTATTTCCAAAAATTAAAGAAAAACTTAAAGGAAAGCGGTTTATGAATGCTGAAGAAGCGGTGGCTGCGTATCGCGATGCCATTGAAGAGACCCCTAAGGACGAGTGGGCAAAGTGCTTTTCCCAGTGGTTCCATCGCATGCAGCGGTGTATTGACGTGAATGGACAATATTTTGAAAAGATATAATAAAACTAATAACTGGCTAATGTAATCAGTTTTTGATTTTCTAAGAACTTTCAGTTTGACCCTCGTACCTTCATTGTTACTGATTTCCATAACTTATTATTTCATAATATCCTAATGTTTTAAGTTTCCATATTATATGGTTGGTTTCTTGGTATCTGTGCAATGTGTGCAAAACAACATGACATACATGTTGCTTAATATATTCTTTAATAGACATATAAATACAAATTTTCGCCAACATCATATACATTTCTCAGATTCCAAGATAATTAGGTAAAGCCACCGTATTAAGAGTATCTGAGACAACGAAGGTAACTTAACACTCACACCCGAGAAAATATGGAATTGTCTTTTTTCTACTTAAACCCGACCAGGAATCGAACCCGGTATCTCAGAGATGGCGACACCTTCCAGCCGGTGTCGAACCACTCGGCAACTGAGGTCGTTATTTAATAAATTTATAAGTTATTCTTTAGTTATTAAGCCGAGAAACATTGTCGTAACCAGAAGACAAACGGCCTCAGAGCTCAGATCCCTTCTCTAGTTAGAGCAACCATGAAATGGGAAACGCGAGAAAAACTATCTTAATTTATATCTTTCTAAAGTTAATACTGCCATAGGTTGAGAATGGGCGTTAAGATAAAAAAGTGAACGAGACAAAATCAATGCTGACGACGTTGAAATAAATGAGGTTTTAATCAAAAAATAGCACAATTTATCAAAAGCAAAGCCACTGTGGCACATCTGTTTAATAATATTTGTCATTAAGTTACACTCGGCAAGTATTTTACAATACCTAAGCATTTCAAATTAAATACAAAGGTCTAAATCATACAGGTGAAATCATTATAGGAATGTCAAATAAATTAAGTATTTTAACAATCTCAAGTTGGTGATATTATTAATTCTTAATAATCCATTATATTTACAGTCAATTAAATTGCAAAATTACAAATTACACAAATATATACCTATTATTGCAAATTAGATTATATAAGCATATTAACTAGTACTACTAATACTAATAACTAGTACAAGTTGATTGTTTCTTATTGTTCAGATCTATTTAGTGTGGCTTGTTATTATTGTTTTTTTATCTTATTACATATTTTCTGAGGACAGTGGCGCTGTATGCTGAAATACAGGTATCAACCAAGTTCAGCAACAGATGATAAATAGATGTAATGAAAAATATTTTAAGAATCACTGGTGTAAAAATTCGTTGTATCGATTTTATAGTCAATAAAGATTATAGATTATAGTACTGGCCCTATAATCGAGCCTTGTGGCACCCCTATATCAATGTCATTCAAATTTTAAGATTTACCATTTACCACAACAATTTGGTTTCTGCCTTGCGTATGCTCGCGGACCCCGGAGGTTTGGAAATGCTGAATTAAACAACCAGATTATATAAGAATTTGGAGGTGTCACTGTCTAAAATTAACATGGAATTAACGAAGAAAAGACTAATTAATTCCCAGTCAGTCTTATGTTTAATTTACATAATCTGCGGCCACGGTTGTGACCCGCCAAAATATTTAATAAAAAAAGGAAACTTACTGAAAACAATTGAATCATAAATCATCATTATTTTAAATCTCAATTAAAGCAGTATCAGTTGTATCTTTTTGAGATTGCTTACAAATGGATACCATGCTCATAATACTAGTATCACTACATAGTATTTATGTAAAACAAAGTCGCTTACCTGTCCCTATTTCCCTATGTATGCTTAAATCTTAAAACTACGCAACGGATTTTGATGCTTTGATGATCTTTTTTCATAGATAGGGTTATTCAAAAGGAAGGTATTTATATATAATACAAGAACATGCGGGCGAAGCCACTAGCGGAAAGCTCTATAATTTTTGCAGGGATGTTTCACTTTTATTTAATCCTTTCCTTTATACTATCTTGAACAAAGTACATATATAAACAAATGCTAAAAAGGTTGAGTTTGTTACTAACTGTACATACATTTTCTCAGTTTGTGGTCTTATGCCCAGCAATTACTCATTTTCTTCCCGGAAATTATCCAAAGTAAAATTACAAGCATTACGAACATTATGTCTTTTAAATGATTGATCGATTCTAACGTCCAAATATGCAGCAATTGTATATTGTTGGATAAAATTACACTTTTCTAATTACAAATTCGAAACGACAATAGGTATCGAATAACTATTAGTTTGCACTTTGTCAAAGTGACACACACTCACTATTCTATGAGCGTCGTTTGAAGTTTATAATTTTTTTTTTTATTCTTATATAAGATTTTCTTTTTCTTTATTTTGACACATAACAGTAATTTCTTTATAGTACTTAAATAATCACAATATTTATTTGACAATTTGTGTCTGTTTACGATTTTTCCAAGAAACCTTCCAGGTAAGAATTTTCAAACATCTCGCGTACCCATTTTCCGGGAACATATATAGTACAACAGTCTTGGCTAATTAAATTCCGTAAATTTTGAATCGATATTGGAATTCTTGAACGTAGCCAGCCCAATAGAGCGATTATATAGTTAGTTAGTTAGTTTGATCTAGAATTAAACATAACATTCTCCACTCACACACACATCACTCTTTATAGAAACCGGCCTATTACAAGTCCATTACATACAATTACCTATGAAAAACGCAAAACATCAGGTTGATTGTATTGTTGAGCTCCCTTAAATGATTACTTTATTTTGATTTTTAGTATTTTTCGTTATAGCGACAATTTAAATATATGAAAACTTAGCCTATCACGCTTCACGCGCAAGAACAGCGGGGTCTTAGTAATAGGATCCTAAATGGGCTTATATCATTAGAGATTTCTAAAATGTATATCAAAGTAAGACAGGGTTTTGATTGATCAATAAAAACCATCAATGTATAAAAATAATACTAAATTTAGGTGTAATACTTTCAAATTATTTTCATTGAAATAATTTAGGTGCTAATTTACGTTTTGACCCAATTACAATCCGTAGATAGATAGATAAATAGATAACCCCTTATTGTTGACAATACACAATTTACAGAGACAAACATAAATTAAACTTAATTAATATGCAAACAATTGGCGGCCTTATCGCTTAAAACGATTTCTCCCGGGCAACCTTTGGATGGAGAAAGAGATAGTCATTACAACGGAGACGGGGGTGTACATGTGAACAACAACTAAATATAAACACACACAAACTACATACCTACAATAAATATTTATATAAATATAATATTATATAATAATAATGCATACATCTATATAAACTACATATATACACACATATCACCATATCTGAAATAAGTAACAGTGCAGCAACATCAAAGTAATTATTGCGAAAGGTAGAAATTCTTTGACGTAAACTTTAAATGTTGGTAAGGATTGAGCTCTCCTGATCGAAACTGGGAGAGAATCCCACAGACGAGCAGCTTGGACGGTAAACGAGAAAGCAAAAAAGGTAGTGCAATGGGATGGAATTTCAAGAGTAGATGTAAGGTATAGATTTTTACGTAATGAATTAAAATTTATTTGGAATAGGTTTCTTTTACTCAGATTGAAATTTAAGTTATAAATTCTTGAAGAATAGGAGAGGAATTGCAGAGCACACTTAGTTTAAAATGAGTGACAAAATATTGGAAGGAAAAGTTTATTCAATTATCTCTGCTTATGATTGTCAAAAGTTTATTATTTTTGTTGGAACTATAACCATTCGACCGCATAACACAAAACAAGTAGTAAATAAGTATTCATATGTAGACGCCTCAAATGCCCAATTCAAACAAACGTAGTCAAAAGTAGCAAAAATGAAAATCTGAAACAAGGTACACCAAGACCCGAAGCAATATAGAAAAGTTCATTTTCTAACCGGCAATCAAGCCCGGTAGTCATAGATGATGACACTGAAACTGCCGAGTAAGCCACTTGGCCAAGGAGGAGAAAATATAAATACATTTTAAAATTAAATTTCTTGGTTCATTATGACATTAATCACTTTATCTGTGTAACTAACCGGTATCTCAATGATAATGTAATTTTAAAACTCATACTTTATCTTTACTTGAGCATATTGAACAATTGATTTTTTTTTCAAACTTAAAACATGCTTGTCACTCTAACAAAATATGAGTTTATTTATAACACAGATACTTTAAATACACTCAGTACACATAAAGTCTGTTTAGTACAATTAAGTTATGCTTCTGTAAATATTTATTTAATAAGCCGCGTATTCATAAAATACAGAAATGTACACGATATTATATTGTTTTGTACTGTGGACTGGTGTTATAGCTAAAAATATGGCACCACCTTTGGTGACCACCTCGTTGGGGGAACTTCGGGGAACGTGGAGCATCTCAACCAGGGGTAGGCCTTACGCTGATTTCCAAGGTATTCCTTATGCGGTACCGCCCGTCGGCTCTTTGAGGTTTAAGGTAACATTATAATTATTTCTTTAAAAACAGTTTCTATTCGTATAAAGAAAGAAATTCATTTAATAAGTGAATAAATTGCGGAAGTACATTGAAACAACTGACTTATATATTTAGAATCCCTTCACAATGCCATTTTTTTTTTCAAAAATAGAACCGTCTTATAACTTTAAAAAAATCTTCTGTTTCGTCTCTGATATAAACATGTCTTCTCAATATTTTTAATGATAAATGAAAATTATTTATCAGTACAGCATTGTGATTGCAAAATAGATCAAATATAATAATATCGTCTTAATATTTTAGTGGAAGGCATGTTTTGTTTTGATATAAAAACAAAATTACAAATTCGATTTCGATAAAATTTATATGGGACCACATCGGCCCTTAAGCTGTCCAATAAAAAAAATCATTAAAATCGGTTCATAAACGACGATATTATCCGCGAACAAACATAAAAAAGCATATATGTACATAATATACTTGTAATAAAATCTTTATGTCTATTTTCAGTTTCATTAAAAAGTTAACAAATTTTTAAAAAGATAATTTCGAATTCAAATTTGCAAAAGATATGATCTTCATTTGTTTTCTTACTTACCAACCTTAGCTAAAATCTCATAACCAGAACGAAATTGTTAACCGCTGCGCCGGCAAGATCCGATGTTAAATCTACATTAATATTATAAAGGGGTAAAGTTCCGTTGATATTTATCAGCAAATCCTGAAGATATATATATTTGGTTGGGAAATCCAAATTCAAATTTATACAGCCATTTACACATGTTTTTGTGTTTCGTTAGGCGGCATTCATTTGGTTTTTTTTCTTCTGATTGTCCTATTTACGTCACCTTGAAATATCATGTTATTTACGAGTACGAGTTCCACCGTGGTACCAGTGCTGCGGAAACAGCTCGATGGGTTAATGATATGTATGGCGGTTGTGTCGCAAAAGAAAACACAGTGCGTTTTTAGTTCCAACGTTTTCGTTTTGGAAATTTCGACCTGCAGAACAAGCCCCGTGGACGGCCGGAGACCCAAGTTAATAATAAAGAATTGAAGGCTATTGTGGAAGCGGATCCATCGTAAACCACATCCGAGTTAGCTGCAGGCTGCGGTGTTAGTGATAAAACTGTTTTAATCCGCTTGAAGCAAATTGGAAAGATTAAAAAGCTTGAAAGGTGGGTACCTCTCGAAATGAGTGAAGCAAACCGGCAAACGCGCTTCGACTGCTGCGTTACATTACTTAACCGGCACAATACTGAAGGGTTATGAGATCGAATCATTACCTGTGATGAAAAGTGATTTCTCTATGTTAATAGGAAACGCTCGATGCAATGGTTGGACCCTGGCATGCCATCCAAATCCTGACGCAAGCGAAAATTGACCCCAAAAGCGTTAATTGAAAGCGTTTGGTGGACTAGTGCCGGTGTCGTTCATTACAGTTCTCTCAAATCCGGCCAGACGATTACGGCAGACGTCTATTGTCAGCAATTGCAATCCATGCTATAAAAACTAGCTGTTGCACAACCGAGGCTGGTCAATCGCACTACGTAACTGCTACTTCACGACAACGCTAGACTGCACAACAGAGGGCTACCAAATTAGAAGAGCTTCAATTGGAATATCTAAGTCGTCCACCGTATTTCGCGGACCTTGCTCCAACAGATTACCATTTTTTTCGAAATTAGGAAAACTTCTTGCATGGGAAAAAATTCAACTCTGATGGGACAGTGCAAATCGCCTTCAAAGATTTTATTGATTCCCGTCCGAATCGTTTTTTTTTAGTAAGGGGATCAATGAACTGCCTATGAGATGGCAAAAGAACATAGATTACAATGACTTTGATTAAATAAATATATTATATTAAAAATAATCTACTTTTTGTTCCTCCCATACGTTATAAATAATGGAATAATAAATATATCAGACCCAATCTGCATTTTACACTTTTGATTTGAAAGATTAAATGTTAAATCAAATCACTGGCATGTATACAGGCGTCCCACAATTCAACGTCAAGCCGAAACGGAGTGACAGGATTAAGGGCACTTGTGCACTACACTGAATTTTCAGGTCCGGCGGTCCGATTTTTTCCGGTCCGGAATAACATGAAAAACCCGGATGAGTAGCTTGTGCACTTTTCCGTTTTTTTCCTGATCGGAGCGGCGCAGTGTAGGGCAGCTCTTTTTGAAGATACACGTCACTTACGCTAGGTACGATGAGATTTTTGGAACGTCAACGTAATTGCTTGCTTTGTTACTCTACGTGCGAAGACGTAGAAAGGTACCTGATCATTTTACATAAACCATAATAAATTGAGGTAAGACGAAAGTATTTTTTTTTTACTACTATCGGATGACTACTATCAGATGTAAAAACTGATACCCTTATTCATTTAGGAACAATATTATTCACAAATAATAGTTAAAAATATCTATGACATTAGAATAAAATTACTGATAATGTTCTGATGTTTAAATTTATAAACGTGCTATCTTTTTCAAAGTTTTGTATAAACAACTTTAAGCGATTACAGAAGTAGACCAATCGTTGGCGCCATTTCGTAAACAAATCGAAATTAGTGCCGTGTAAGCGGAGAATTAATATGCTAAATGAACTTTACGATGGCATTTAAATCAGCCATCCTATTGTAAGATTTCAATGTCATAATTTAACTATAATAATTGTAAGATCAGTTGACTGTATTATATAATATATAAGTATAATTTTATACACGTGGTATAGTTTCTTTGAGCAGAAATATTTTTCTTTTAGAATATTTTTTTTATTTTTTTTTATTTTTTATTTTATGACACAAACAGTCATTTCATATTTTATTACAATAAATATGAAAAAGACATCAAGTATTTATTTATTTCATTCGGAAAACTTACAGCTATAATACAAGTTACCTGATATACATGCATATACATGCCCGACATATCGGACCGGAAAAAATCGGACTGCCGGGCCTGAAAATACAGTGTAGTGCACAAGCGCCCTAATTATACCAACATGAGAAAAATCAGAAAAAAATCTATCCCATGCAGTTTAAAAATTATGGGCATTTAAGAAAAACCTAGATTTTTTTAAAATAATAATAATTCTTTATTCATGCCAAAAATAAAATGAAATAAACATACAATTGAACAGTTGGTATGAAGTAGTGGGTCTTTATTTTAGCTGTTATAGAAGGCAATTATTATAGAAGATATAAGTCACAACTGACCCTAATAGGTTATACAAATAATCTGTATTTAGAGATTCAGTCCCTTTCCCTATGTTACCTTTAGTAAGAGCAAATTACGACAAATATAAGATTATTTCTAATAATTACATCATGATTGAGAGCTACAAATTTATCAATTAACCAACATTGTTCATTTAAAATCTGATAATTTGCGTGCATGTGTCTGTGCGAGTGCAAGTGTGTGTATGAATGTGTAATATTATGTCAGGATATAACTGTTAGAAGCTTTTCCGTTTCCTCATATGTCCTCCCAAGTAACTCCCGAGTCCTAATAAGTTATTATCTTACAGTTAACACGCACGCTGCCCTCGTTCCAATTGTAAAAGGTTAGTTTTTAGTGCTCCACCCCACCCCACGCACACTTGGGGTGGAGCACCCAAAACTACAATGCTTTGACATAAGGCATAATATGTAGTTTTGAGAATGGAGTGTGAAGCTATGAACTGACGTTTTCTAAATATATATAGGTATATTAATTTGAGAACTCTACTAGAAACAGCATTAATGTAATGTTTAAAGTTTAAGTTTTGATCAATATAGACACCAAGGTGTTTAGTAACTGGGATAGATTGGATATATGGGCAGGAACAATTATATCTAGGGGTTTTGAGATGAGCAAGTATGAGCTATTTTAATGTTGGTCAAACCGTAACCCTTTTTCGGTTATTGTGGTTACATTTTATTATTTTTGTTCATTTAAACTTTGGAACCGTAACCCTTAATAACATTTCTAGAACAAGAACAACAAAAATAATGACACAATTGCCCCAAGTAACCTAAAATAAAGACTATTTGTTAAACTATGAATTAAAGATTTTCAAAATATGTCAACCTTCGAATTTAAAAAAAATGGTACTGGAGTGCCTTGGCAAGTGCCATTAAAAGTTGGCGAATTTAATAAGGATTCTAAAACGGTACTTTAATACTTGTTAGCTACATACACAAAAAAACGAATTAAAAAAAAAATCCTCAACTAATCCGATATTTGCTAATCCATTTTACTCAGTTAAAATTTTTGATTCGCACAAGCTCTTGGTATGTTCTTTATTTTTGTAATTGTTAATAATTTATTTGCATAAATTTAGGTACATTTTAGAACTTAGAAACGTTTTTGCTCCTAAACATTTCACCTTGAATATAATAATAAGCATCTTTATTTCCATGACATAACAAAAAATTCATAAATGCGAAAAAGGAAAAAATTAACATTTGAATAAGGTGTGCAAATAACAGTAATATTATGTATTGTGTTTTCAATTGTACTTGTTGATTACGACTTTCGATTATCTCTTCTGGAATTGGACTTTTGTGTTGGCATCCTTGTTATCTACCATGCCTACGCTCTACACTTCACAAGAATATGCGAAATTGCACCTCATTTATGGGTAATACAGATTTAATGCAAGTGTGTCGCAGCTAGACTTTATCGTGAAAGATATCCAAATTTAGAGCGCTATCGAGATGACCGCGTGTTTGTTAATGCGCACCGTTCACTCACGGATGGCGGCCATTTCCCGAATCAAATACGGTAGACCTCGCTTTCCTTACGATGGAGAAGTGTTGCAAGAGGTCGCAGATGACTCGAATATTTCAGTTCGTGGAATTGAATAAAGAACGGGAATACCCAAAAGCACAGCACATCGTATTCTACAAGAGCCAGATCAGTGTCATGTAAAACGAATTTAAAGCCTTATCCCTCGTGATTATCCTGAAAGGATTTTATTTTGTAGAACAATGCTACAGAGGCATAATAAAAATCTCCAACTCATCCAAAAAACACTCTGGTCAGATGAAACTACATTTAAAAAAGATGGTTACATAAACTTACATAATTTTCACGAGTGGAATGTAGAGAATCTACATTTAATGTGAGAAGACAGATCCACCAAAGCGATACACTTTAAAGTAAACCTGTGGACCGGAATTTTAACCGGCAAAATTTTTGGGCCTTTTGAGCTGCCTGAGAAGTTGAATGGCACGAATTACCTACATTTCTTACGAGAAAATTTACCAACTTTGTTAGAGGACGTCCCACTAACAGATCGTCGCCACATGTGGTATCAACAAGATGACTGCCCAGAGCATCACGCAGTGCAAGTAAGAGATTTCCTTGACCAGGAATATCCGGGAAGGTGAATTGGACGTTCAGGCACTATCTTGTGGCCAGCCTGTTACCCAGATTTGAATGCCTTGGATATTTTCTAATGGGGCGCTCTCAAAGAAAAAGTTTATTTAAAGTCTATTGAGAGCATAGCTGTCGAAGATATGCCCGACTAATAAATTGATCTTTTTAAAGAAGATATAGAGCGTGTATTGAGGCTGATGGTAAGCAATTTGAACATTTGTTGTAATAAAAAATCTGACAAGATAATATAGGTCAAGATTTTTCATTTACTTACTTTTGTTGACTTTGGCAAAAGTGGCATCACTATCTGTCTCGCTCACTTATGACAAACATGTCCACTATCCATCTCTTTCATCATTTTGCTGTTAAATAAAGAACCTACTAAGAGCTTGTGCAAATCAAAAATTATTAATGAATAAAATGGGTTAGTAAATATCGAGTTACTTGCGAATTCATTTTTTTACTCGTTTTTTCTAGTATGTAACTAACAAGTATTGTACCATTTTAAAATTCTGATTAAATGCGCCAACTTTTAATGGCACTTGCTAAGGCACTCTACTACTTTTTTTAAAAGGAAGGCCTTTGAAAGGCGACAAATTTTAAATTCAATGTTAAACAAATAGTCATAATTCTAGGTTACTTGGGGCAATTTTGTCATTATATTAGACTCTGATGTGAAAGGTTACGGTTCAAAAATTTAAATTATCTCAACGTTTAAATGAAATATCGGATATTTTGATATTTAAATCTTACTGATCTCACATCATACGTTGAGCATGTTAAATCAAAATACATGTTTTTTTTTCTTGTGAATTATCTCTAAACACCTAACGCCATTAAATTAATTGGCGTTAGGTGTTTAGAGTAACATTAATTAACAGGCACGTGAAAATTTTCCGATGTAGTTCAATTAACGAAATGTTTACGCAATATTGGTTTCAACGTGACAACAAACAAATGGAATCTGTTCTAAGTCAACTTGAGATTCGTAATGCCTTGAATTATAATTGACGTTTCAAAAACCAGTCAAGAGTGTGCCGGCCATCACGTACGTTTTTGTGGTCGCTCGTTTTTCTCGACAGCGAAGTAAAAAGGAAGGTCGTGATGTTTCTGCTATATATGAGACGAGACTAGATGAGATAATCTAAAATAAAAACACTTTATTGTGCAACACACAACTGAAATAAAGTTAAAGAAAACATATACAAAATTTGCTCAATAGGAGACCTTATCGCTTAACAGTATTTCCTGGCTATTCACGTGAAACAAGCGATGATTAGTTGCATATATAACTATCATAACTGGTGCTCGCCCAGTGGTCCCCCCAAAACAATGTTATCGATCCAGCTCTGAATTAAAAATTGGCCATGTGCGAGTTTTTTATGGAGTCGTTATAGTCGACTATTACTTGTAAACTTGTATAGCCAACTGAAGTGTGATAGTTGTCCTTTTAACTTTGTTATATATATATAAGTAGGTACTACTGCCGTAACGTTTGATTTGAATTTGTACCAACTACTATTTAGGGAGGAGGTCACTTGACTAACGAAAATTAGCTTTTTAAAGCTTAATAAGTTACAAACGGCTTACTAAAAACGGCCTCCCCACAACTCCGATGTGATTTACTTTGTTACTTTAAAAGCAACCCATTAATTTTCAGAGTGCACTATACCTTTATGAAACTAATCTTATTACTTCTATAACAAGGGTATCAGCTATCATCGTTTTTAAAGCCTTTAAAGTAAACAAATTATGCTTTTACATTAATGAAATGTATACTCTAGTAGATATATATTTTTTTAATCATCCTTACGGGTAAATTATATTATCTTCCGTAAATAGATATAATAAAAAGCCATCTATTTCTTGCACGCTAATTAGGTACAGTCAACAGCACGTTGGGCAACACCAAACTGTGAATGTTCTCCACATGATTTTAAACTTTAAGAGTACATAATTACTTTCGGGAATTTGCGAATATTTTGCTAGCCTGGCGTGCAGCCGTGTGTAAATAAAGATATCTTTATTTAATAGTATACCTATATATATATAACTAACAGTGAGTATATGACATACTCTTGCATCTTCCGTCAGATTACCAAATACACTATTCATTCATTCATTAATTCTGGAAGGATAAGAAAATATTGGAATGGGATTATAAGCGAAAAGAAAACAAAAAGATTTTATATTTGGTTTTATTTGAATTATATATAATTACGAGGGAGTAATTTCTACATTCTAACACAGACAGCAGGACAAAGAGCATAAAGGAGAAAATAACTGGGAGGACATGAAGTGTTGCCATAACAATAATATTGTCATGCGAAGAAATCACTTTAATTAATTTTTGTATTGAAAATAATAAAATGCCAATGAAAAAGTACAGTGAAAATGTTTAAGAATGGGTATATAATCCTTTAGATCGCGAATATAAATAAGACGCGCCGTAAGCAACATGACTTACTTTAATTTACATTAATGGGATTTTGTGTTTGAGTATATACTCATATAATTCGACAAAATATTCACTGCACTGTCCTAATATATCGTGTGTAACAGAAAGATTGTCCATTCTGGATACTGAAGAACAACGTCGAGACTCTTTCTTTACCTCTTTCCAAAAGAGTGTGATATTCCCAAAATACTTCAAACGTACTTCGTCATTTTTTTATTATAGCAACAGAATTATAATTATGTATATTTCTTTGGTTAGATATGACTATGGAGTGAAATTAAAGCGTATCCAAATCAAAAATTATAATAACTTTAGGTACTTTAAAAACAGTACCATAAAATAAGCACCAGAATCTACACCCAATAATTCATAATTTCGCTGCAGGAACCCGAACCTGCTAGGCCATGGACGGGCGTAAAGGACGCGAGCAAATCAGGGTCAATTTGTCTACAATATCATGGAATCACCAAGACTATGATGGGTAGGTTTTTCTGTTCTATGGGTAGAAATATATTGCAAATTGCAATCAATTTTGAATTTAACAGATGTAGCTCAATTTTCGATTGATTTAAGAAATTCGACTTTTTGTATAACTCTACAATCAAATATGAGAATGTTAGTAGCATCAGAATTGCCAGGTGGTACACTACACCACTTACTTTGAACCGTAATTGTTCCGATTTTATTAGGTAATATCGGCATATGAGATAATCACCATAATGAGATTAGAGTAGTGATTACTCTTTTGTTCAGATTTTACATCTTGATTTCGATTTCAGAATATAGTATACCTGAACCTAAAGTACTTTTGGTTTACTGTATTTTTACAATATGGATTTAACAATATTACAAAATATGTCAGAACAACCTGTAAACAGGGGTCTGGATATTTTTATCGCGGTGCTTAGTTTTCCAGAACGATACACGTGATCTAGGTCGGGGTGCCTAAAACCTCACCACATGTAGGGGATTTTAAAGTTACTAAAAAATTTAATGGAAGACACCTGCCCCCTTACTCTCGATTTTTTTTTATTTAGAGATGTCAATGTTGAATATTCTGACCAAACTTTTGAACAGGTTCCGAGGACTGTTTGTACATGAACATCTACACGCCGTTCCTGAAGCCAGAGCGACCTCTGCCTGTGTTAGTGTTCATACATAGCGGTGCATATTTATTTGGCACCGGGAACAGAGTCGATTTTGACCCTTCCCGGCTAATGGATTGGGACTTAATAATTGTAACCATAAATTACAGGCTGGGCGCTTTAGGTCAGTATTATAATGTTGTTTTATTATTAGCAAAATATAAACCTAAGAAAACATGTTTATCTAGCGAAATCAAATATGTAGAAAAATAATTTCAAAATACAATATTGCGAGCACATGATGCAATATCATCGTCTCTTTCAAACTGAAGCACAGAAGTCATCGCACCAGCGAAAAAATCGTATTTACGATGACTTTGATCATATATATGTGCAATTAATGACGAGATTGGTAGACTTTTATTAAAACCTATTAAAGCATACCAAGATATATTTGCGACATCTAACTTCACTTATGCCACGAAAAGTTATTAATAAACAATATAAATATTAAACACTTGGTATATCATATTAAGAACTGTCGTCAAGAACGGGCCGATTTCCCCTCGTGGCCGCTGTCACCACCGCCATATCTACCGCTGGCGTCCTTAACGAGGCCTTAGTGCTATTTAAAAATTGTGACTTATTTCAGGATTTCTGAGCACGGGTGACCATGTTGTCCCCGGTAATAATGGCTTAAAGGATCAGTCGCTTGCCCTCCATTGGATCAAAAATAATATACAAGAATTCGGTGGTGACAAGGACAGTATCACGCTGTCGGGCTCCTCAGCAGGATCCTCCAGTGTCCACTATCACTGTCTCTCACATATGTCAAGAGGTAATGTATGCCCTACGTGGGCGCCACCCTATCACAAGTTTAGTTTTTTGTGTTTTAATACTTCCTATTTCTTCTATTTCATCTTATATGAGACAGAACCAAATTACATATGGTATTATATGTAATTTCAACAGATACTTTTACACGAGCCTTTTTGAGTAGCGGCTCTGCCTTCAACCCCTGGGCATATACACATAAACCAACGAAACACGCAAAAAAATTGGCAACCCTTGCTAACTGTTCCACCACTTCATCCCAAGAGATGATAGACTGTCTGACCAGCAAATCCGGAGAAGAGATAATTAGAGCTCAATCAGGAATGTATGTAAGTATATTAAGCATGGTTCTGTTGCCATCTCACCTCTAACTCGTATTCACATGTACTTCTGGTTTAGTTACAGAAAAGTGTTGCACCAATTAAAAAAGTTATGTTCTCACAAATTAAGTCGATTTTAGTGGTAAATTTTAAATATTTCATCTTAACTTAGTTCAGGTCATTTCATCATACTCATTGAAAATATTAAAAGTTAGATAACATCATTTAAGATCAAATTTCATATCAAAAACTACAGATCACCTAACATAAATTATTAAAACAACAACTATGTAACAAATAAATTAATTATCTAACAACTATGTAACTATGTATTTGAGGAATGGGCGGATCACTTGTTTACACCGTTCGTACCAACGGCTGAGCCATTGGACACCAAGAACGCATTCCTGACCAAACATCCTCTGGAAGTATCGCGATCTGGTGACGTGTATAGGGTGCCTATTATCGTTACTTTCTGTGCCCAAGAAGGACTATACCCTGCAGCTTGTAAGTTGACTTCACTCATTGTACTTAACTACTTTATTTCGCATCACACCCAGTTACTCAAACACAATGCTGTCACAGCATTTATCCATTAAGGTTTAATAACGACTTTAAGCTATAGTGAACTTTCAAATTTTTTTTTTGTATTTTTTGTATAATGTGTCCGAAGCATGTATGTGAGAATGCGTTAGCGGCATAGAGTATTTAAACATGAAAAAGCATTTACCTATAGATAGCACGGTATAACTAAATAAGTTCGCACTATAATAAATACAATGATATATTTTCTAATATAGCTCAATTTTGAGTAGCTCGGTGGCATAGTGGATAAGTGCCGCGGCCCGCGATCGTTGTCGTTAAGCAACTTTCGCAAGGGTCAGTCGCGAGATGGGTGACGCGAAAAATTAGTATCTCGAGCTACTCCATGCTTCGAAAGGCACGTTAAGCCGTTGGTCCCGGCTGCATTTGCAGTCGTTAATACCCTCACATCCATTGGGCTAGCGTGGATGGTCATGGCCCATCCTCCTTAACCATCCAAGGAAGGCCTGAGCCCCTGCAGTGGGGATGTAAAAGGGCTGACGATGATGATGATTTTCTAATATAACAGATTACACGAGGAAAGGAGTGTTGAACTACATCGCATCTAACTGGGAACAGGTTGCCAGTGATATGTTCAAATACAACGATACAATACCCGAGAGCAAGAACACCCTAGTGGCATCTATGATAAAATATTATTACTTTGAAGATAAGCCAATTTCGGAAGATACATTCCCACAGCTAATTCAGGTAAGAACCATGAACCTATCTATTTCTATCTATAAGGATCATAGATAATGCTATGCTAAATAAACAAAATGAGATGAGACAGGGCCTCATTGTATTTCATAGTCTCTATAATGGCGAATGCTCTGAAGAATTATAGTATAATTAGAATTAAAGAATGAAGAATTAGACATAATCCCCTTAATCCTTCCGTGACAAGTAAACGCATACCGTTGTTGGTTGTCATCCCCAGACTGTTTGTACTTTACCATCTCGTACTAAGAAAACGAAAATCTATATTTGCCGAACAATTAAAATGTGGAGCATTCTTCCTACCCCACGTGTTTCCAACTATATACAATGTCTGGTCCTTCTAAAGAGGTGTGAAGAGGGTCTTTAGCAGGCTGGCAAGATAATGAATGATTGCTGCCGGAAATGTATTCCACTTCTGCTATTAATATTTATTGGAGTGTAATGTTCCATCAGGTGTATTGCACCCACCTTATCGTGCTCTAACCCTCGTGGATAGAGACACTTTATTGTGGCACACAGCGGTGCAATTCTATTAAAAACTCAGCGCTTTTGCAGCATAGGGGTTCAATCATAGAAAATCTTTTAAAACTGACTTTATTGCAGACTGTATTTTCAACAGGATAGCACTTTTCACTTTTAAACTATCGCGCTGCATTATTACATACTTATAATAATGGGTATGAGACGCGATTTTTTTTTCCTTTCATATCCTTGATATTCATTATTCTTTTCTAGTATGATCACGGATTTTTGTGATTTGTGACATCACCCTTTTACAGCACGCGATCAATTTCACCATAAAGAATCCTTGAATTATGAATTTAATTTACACATCTTTAAATACAAGTGGTCGCCTAAAGTTTGAACATTTATTAAGATTTTTAAATTACAGATTATTTATAGTAATATTACAAAGAGGAATTTAATGATCGCTGGCGTGTTTACGTTAAATAAACACCAAACAGGCGAATCAAGACTTCAAATAAGGTTGGAGTAACAACCACCCGAAAACAGGTCTAATATGAATTGGTCTAAACTCCTGCTCAAAATAGTACTGCAAAGAAGATGTTAAAAATATATGATGCCGTGCGTGATCAAGTTTTTGGACGAATGATATCAACCATATTAGTTTTGAGCATGGCCATCGTGCCCAGAACCTTGACACCAAATCTACTGGATTTATTTAAGATTGCTTTCACCTACGGGAAGAAATTTCCTATTATTTTCCCTAAAGCTCTTTAATTTTTCTTTTTCAAACAACAGGCACTCAGTGATCGTCTCTTCATTAATGGTATTAAACTTATGGCAGAAGAACACGTCAAAAGGACTAGAAAACCAACTTACCTTGCTCGGTATAGTTTTCGTGGAAATGGAAGCTTCAGCTTTCTCTTATCGGGCAGCACGAAAATTTATGGTAACATATTTAAATGTAATTTATAATACTGACATGATAGCCGAAAAGACTTCAGAGAATCTTAAAAGTTAAAACAAGAAATCCAGCGAAGGTTTTAGCTATTGAAAATAAACCTACAGACGTAGTTTATCCACCCGACTAAAATCAGTATAAAAGTTTTTAAATTACTTTTCCCTTTTTTCATTTGTTGCCTTTATAAAGTTTGTTACATTTTAATATTGATCTTAATCAAATATCCCTAAAAAATTTAGCGGTCTTGGCAAAATTATATAAACTTTAATATTTTATACAACGTGTCCCAAAATTCAACGATAAGCGGGCGCCAAGAGGTAGACCTGCTCATATGTACTTATGGAAAAATAAGAAAAAAATTATATCTTATTAATCTTTTTTATTATAAAATAAAATTCGAAAATTTTCGAAAGAGTTGTAGCGAATAGTAGTGCTACTTAGGTATCAGATACCAAAAAAAGATTGAACATAATTGAGAAGTTGTGGTAGATGAAAATATCATAAAAGGTGTAAATTTTCGAAGATTTTCGAATTTAATTTTATAATAAAAAAGATAAGATATAATTTTTTTCTTATTTTTCCATAAGTACACATGAGCAAGGGTACCTCTTGGCGCCCGCTTATCGTTGAATTTTGGGACACGTTGTATATCTATAACTACTGAACCGATTTAAATGTAAGTTATTCGGTTCCCTAAGTTGGCAGTTAATTATTCAAACAAAAAACCTTACTTTAAGTATAACTTCAGAATTAAGAATAACAGGCCGAGTGAACAAAAAATATCACATTTGTTGTATGTGAACCCCCTTTAAATATTTGTTTTATTTGTATGTAATAATTTATTATATAAATTCATAATCTGTAAATAATTAAAAGCATCTACCTGTTGTCGTTAGCAATATCAAACTAAAACAAGCAACAAAACACTTAAACAAATATTTTATTCCAGTTTTTAGTATTTGCTGTTGAAGCGGCAACAGAAATACACCATCTGTCAAAATTTCAACTGTACTAACTATAACAGCTCATTAGATACGGCCTGACGACAGACGGACGTACAGTCTTAATAATAGGGGGCGTTTTTTACCCTTTGACTAGGGAACTCTAAAGTGTTGATCGAAAAAGCACTGCTTCGTATTTTCTTTTTAATAAATTTTCATTCTGTAAAGAAATCAGCGTCTTAATCAACGTCGAGCATAACGCTGCCACAGCTTAGCATAGTGGTTCAATTGTATTCGATGTATATCCATTTCCAGGTACATCACATGGGGATGATTTGATCCACATTCTGCCACTGTCCGAGATGTATGGAAATGCCGATGACGTCCGGTTGGGGAATATTTACACTAACATCTTTTACACTTTTATGACCTCAAAGTAAGAAACAAACTAATTTATTATGTATCTAATTTAACATTACTATAGGAATGAGACAAAGAAAATTGTACAAACATAACAGGCTGTTTTATCGCGACATTACGCGCGTAAATATGGAGTATAGTTCAGAAAAATATTTTACATAATAATAATAAAGCTTAAAATTCATCGTAAGCATCCATGAACGTTCAGTAGGAAGAAGTAGGTATTTTTTGTTTTTGTTTTAAAGAATAATAAAAAATCTTTGGGTTTATTTGTATCACGAGAATCATAATTTCAGTCACAATTGTTTTGTTACCCGTTTGTTTGTAATGTAGAAGTCACTAATTAGTCACAATTTTGTGACATGTAATTCAAACTAATGTGAATCGTATTCCTAGCGTGCCTGCTGACAAGATGTCTAGGTAGCAAACATGCTAAGATCTTCCAATATCTCTGAATATACAATTTCACTAATGATATACTATGTCACACTACTTTTCACTATTTACTCACAATTTATTGACATACATTAGACCCTTAGTGTGTGCCTGCTAACTTGACGTTCAGGTCACGTCCAGTGCAGTCTGTCTCAGAATATCAGCCCTGCGATTCTGTAAAATTCTTGACGACGAATAATTTAAATAACAAAACCGAATTCGAATTCAATCAGGTCTCCGAATTCACTTCAACAAACGGCTTCCACTCAATCTTGTACTGGTAATAACGTTTCGTAAAATAAGTGGAGTGAGTTTCGAAATGACATAGGAATAGAATATATGAGACACGTATAATCAATCAATTTTGTTTTGTATTTTTATACTTAAAATGGAATCAATAGAATTTATACACTAGATGACGTGAATTAGGAGACCTGAGTGAATTTGAATTCGGGTTTGAATTTTTACAGAATCGCAGGGCTGAACTAATAAATTGAAAAAACGTTTCATTTGAAGGTTCAGATTCTTTTGCTAACATCCTAGTAGAACTAAGTTTCTTTATATTTCAGCATCCCTAAAGTACCTGGTGTGAAATGGCTACCAGTTAATCCAAATGATGCAGAAGTTAATTACCTGGAGATATCCTCTCCAGACAAGATAAAGATGAATAAAACCTCAGATATCGGACCCATAACCTTCTGGAACAGTCTTCATCTCGATGGCGACGCTACCAAATTCTCTAGAATTTAAGAAGAATACGTTGAAGATTAAAGAATATACATAGGAATTGCCAGATATTTATGTCATTATTTTATAGTCAAATTATTTCATTCCTAGACCTAGATAATAATAATAATAATAAAAAAATTATTTCTCTGTATCCCAGTTACAATTTTGTCTTAAAGTTAGGCAGTTAAGTATAAATAAGGAAATATAAAGAAAGATGTTTACTCATATTAATAAAATACCTTGTGACATAGGTATTTGTTGTCTTTTGAACTGTAAAAAACAATGTTATTGACAGGTAGGTAATATTCGATCATATTTAAGTATGAGAAAATTTTAAATTTATTTGACAATAGCTAACATATGCTATACTTTCTAAGATTTACTCAAGTAAGTTATGTATATGTAACTACTAGTACAAATTAAATAGACCCTTTGAATAAAATGAATAAAGAACATGTCATTACGGCATTTTACACTCAATGGAGTGTTTATTACGGTATTTCAAAGAAAACCTAGTGAAAAATAGCGTTCCTCCTGAGCTACAAAATTAAGTCGGAAATCATATTTAGTCCGGAAAGCGTGGCGCCACACGCAGTTGGACCTAATGTAATCAATCAGTCACATACTAAAGCCAATAATATCCTTGTGCGGATAGGTTTTGTATATGTACGGTACAATGAATGTCCTTTCAGAACCAATAAAATTCATAATAATAAATAAGTTCACATTCAGAAATCAATCCTTCGAGCCGGATCATATATGTATATACGGATCTCGTACACAATATAAATAAAAAGAAGAGAAAGTCAGTTAAATACTTAGTTTATTACTTTATTTATTTATTGCATGTCACAAAGTACAAAGTTGTTATATAAGCAAAAAGCTTTCGTAATTTTACAATAAAATATAAAAACAACAATGTCCATTACTTTAGCATCAGGAAAACAATTAAATTTTCTTTATTATTAATCGTGAAAAACGATCGTTCATGAATTCCTCAACGGTATAATATGACTTTTTTATTAGTATTTCTTTAAGTTGTTTCACGAATATATTATTTTTCTTAATGTACTTTGCAACCTCCAGAATGTATACAGACGATTATGTACTTTACAGCTTTGCCTTGATATTAATTTGCTTTTATATTTATTAGGATACGGAGGAATTTCTTTTGATTTACGAGACTCGAGTCCGTCTCCCCCATAGTATGACGCAGTGCTGTTTTATAATCAGTATTTGTTTTTAAAATACCAAGCGCATAAATATATTGAGACAATTTGGCCTAAATTTTCTGAATATGAGCTTTCCAACTTAGATTACAATCGATGGTAATTCCCAGTAATGTAACTTCATTAACTTATAATTTTTTTCGTTTTCTATGTATTTGTCTAATTGAAGGGATGTTTTTTGGTAAGGTTTGAATTGTACTATTAAAATTACATTGATATTGATGGTAAGCACTTATTATATTATATGTATTTAGTATGGGACTCTATGGATATTTAGTATTGTATTATCAAAATTATGATACCCTTTGAATAAACACACGGACGTGGACGATTCATAACTTACCTAAATCACATTAAAATATTTAGAATTGTATTATAATAAAATTTTCAGAACAATAAAATAAATCGATCCTAATAACTAGTTTACTTTCTTTGCCTGCACTTTAATCAATAAGAAAAACTAAGACTTTTAATTGTCAATACAAATCTAGTGGTCTTACTGCATACTACTACTACAACTCCTTGGTTTTTTAGGTAATATTTCTACCAAAATAATACATTTCTTTATTTTGGCCGTCACTAGTGAGATGAGGCACATGCATCATTAAATAGAACTTAAAAATGTCGTACCATCACATAAGTAAAAGTCGTGACAATTTAATGTAACTTTCTGAAATAAGAATTAAAAACTTTTCTCTGCTTTGACAATAAAAAAATATATACACGGTTTTTCGATACCCTTGGGTTTTATGTAACTTTCTAGGGCAGTTTCTATAAATAGAATTCTATGAGAGAAAACTTACAGCGAAAGAAATGGCTTCCTCTCCCCGAAGGATTGCGAAAGACTGCGGCTTTAATTTCAAGGTGTAAATTACATGCGATAGCTTGGAATTATATAATAAATATTGCAATTTTGCACTGATGTTGAACCTGAAACATAATTATGTTTATACAAGACCAAGTTATTTGTACTTGAAGTCAGCTGTGTTAACCTTTTAAAAACAGAACCTCGAACTCGACGAAGAGCGCATCGCTTACACAGCCTAGAGCTTCAATGAAATAAAACCTTTTTTACCTTTTCAATTAGGTTTCATTTGATTGAACCTCTACGGTCGACGATGGCGGCAGCGTGTCAGTGTGTAGAGGTTCAATTTTATAACAGAATAGCACTGCATTGGTAAAATTTAAGCATATTCCTAGAGACGCCAACTCTTACTGCGCCTTCCATTCTATATGTTATCGTTTAAACTCTGCAGTGCGACCGTGTAACTCCTCTTGCTATAACTTTATCTATAGGATACTATATCTTAGCGATGTTTTAGAGCTTTGACATGTACTTTAATGATAGAGAATGAAGCTCGAATGATAAAGAATGATGTAAATGAATTTAACAGCGGTTTCATCAACTCAATCATTTATCAACAATTTATCCACCAAAATACATGTCAGAGTAGTAAAATGAGACGAAATGTAACCATAACATCAATTTATTGTCATCGTCACTCTCAGATCGCGGTTGGTGATTTACACTCATCTATTTATTTGAAGATAAAAAAGATACAAATATGTATGGGTACCCAATAGAAAGTAAAGCATACACTTGTCCAGAAGGGAATGGAAGGAAAATGACCAGATGGGATGGATGATGGGCTGACCAAATAACGTCCGCAGTTGAAGACATTAGATTAATGCACTAGAATATCGGCCAATGAGCCTTCATGGATGAGGCAAACCATAAAGATGATACTACCCACTATAACCGTGCGTCACCGCTTTACTGTGGAGATTCCACAAACTTTCACCAAGCGATTCGCCTCATTCATCGTGCGAACTGCGAAGCTGTGGAATTCGCTACCGGACTCGCTGTATCCGGACAAATACAATCTGGGACTCTTCAAGTCAAGAGTGAATCGGTTCCTTCTAGGTAATCACGCTCCATCTTAGACCACTGCATTGCTTACCATCAGATGATCAGTGGTCAATTGCTTGCCTATCTAGAATAAAAAAAAAACACCTTTACCCAGGGCCGGATTAGCCATTTTGCAAATGTAGCAAATGTTTCCCGCGCTATTGGGAGCCTCGCTATAGTTCAGAGTCAAATAATTAATTTTTCAAGTCAGTTTTAAATAACACTGGTCAACAGTGGTTTTGGTGCCACGAAGCTGTAATATTTTTCTAACTTAGAACCTTATAATTATTATTTTTATATCAAAAATATTGATTTTCTATGTGTAGTTTTTTAGATATTTATTTACGTTAAACAGAGCATTTATTATATTGTTAGGTACACAAAAACTTTTTTTTCGTGACTTTCGTGAATGAGGCGTAGTAGAATAATCACGTTGCATCCCCCAGCAGTAGTCAGCCACCTGATCCCATCGACATTTGTACCTTTCTTCCATGGTTTTTAGATCCTGGTGAAACCGTTCCCCTTGTTGTTCGCTATAGGATCCAAGATTCTCTGGAAATTGGTCAAGATGTTTGTGGAGATAGTGTACTTTGATGGACATGTTACATCCTAAGTTTTTCAAATTCTCTAGCATGTTGTTAACAATTTCAGAGTAGTTACTTGACTTGTGATTTCCCAGAAAGTTCTTAGTAACTTCAACAAACGAAGTCCACGCAAGTAGTCTCCTACCTTCTCCTCGAATCTTTGTGGAGTAAAGACATTTTTAATAGTGCCCCCGTACAAAGTATTCTGTTATATAATAAATAAAGTAATTACAATTAAATAGAAAAATAAATAATAAAAGTCAAGAATCGTACTCGAGGTAGCAGTGCGTGAGTTTTTATTTCGCTTACTCTTACACGATTACGCCAGAGGTCCTGTTAAAGTGGACGGAAAGTTGTATTGTTGCTAATCGTCGATACCGGCCAGTGTCTTGCTACGGATAACGCTTTTATTGTTTATGATATCCTAGTACGTGAAGTGTGAATAATTCAAAATATGCGAATCAACAAAGAAAAAATTAAGGCCCACTCAAGGTGGAAAAAATATAAAAGTCCTTGAGATTATGATGATTTTTCTCTTTTACGAAAACGACAGCGTAGGATACAGGAGGAATGCTTTACCGCATACATAAATGATACAGAAAAAGCCATTAAAAAGTTACCCAAAGTGTTTTGAAGCTATATAAAATCAATGCGAGGAGGTTCTAATTATCCGGATAATGTAACAAACGGTCGAAAATATTGTGCTGGTGGAGAGGAAATATGCTCTGCGTTTAATGATTTCTTTAGCGGCGTCTTTGTCAGGCAGTCTTCGGGTAATGTTATGCCTCAATCCGCAGATACGGGCGGCGACATGAATGCTAACTTGTATATTGATCCCGCAACTATTGAAGGCGCTATCAAAAGTTGAACACCTGGCTTTGATGGTATTCCACCAATTTTTTGGTTAAATTGTGTTAGGGCTGTTATTACTCCACTTCATCGTATTTTTAATAGCTCACTGCGTTATGGTATTGTTCCTTCGATATGGAAAAAAGGCCATATCATGCCTCTTCACAAAAGTGGATCTAGGTCTAAGGTTGAGAACTATCGAGGCATAACAATCCTTAGCACTATCGGTAAATTATTTGAAAAATTAGTGTATGAACTTATTTATCCTGAAATAACTAAAAGCATTCCTGTTAGCGAGCATGGTTCTGTAAGGAAACGGTCCACTATTACAAATTTAATTTGTTTCACAGATTATGTACTGAAGAATATGGATCGAGGTGGTCAGGTTGATGTGATCTATACTGATTTTGAGAAGTCGTTTGATCCCGTGGATCACATCATACTGCTTACCAAGTTACAGGACTTGGGTATCAAGGGAGATTTGTTACGATGGATTAAATCATATCTAGCCAATCGGTCTCAAGCAGTCGTTATGGGTGGTTATCGATCTGATTTTATTATATATATATATATATATCAAACTACATAAAAACTCTAAACACTTGTTATACGCCGATGATAAGAAAATATTTTGTTCTATAAAAAAACCCAGTGATTGTGAGAAAATCCAATTGGACCTGGATAGTTTATTTCATTACTATAACCAAAATAATATCAAAAAATGCTACTGTGTAATAAAAATCTAGGTTTTGTTTTACGTTATGTACGTAGTATATTAGAATACGCTTGTTCAATTTGGTCGCCTCAATATGCAGTTCACATTAATCGCATTGAAAAGATACAAAAGGTTTTTATTTAACATCTTAATTATCGTGCTCGTAAGTCGTTTGACTCTTACCCTGATGCGTGTCATAATATTCTTACTCTGGCAAATAGACGCAAAGTTCTTGACATGTCCCTTTTGTTCGATATCGTGAATAGTCATTTAGAATGTTCTGAACTAGTAGCAGGTATTGCATATCGGACACCTGTGCGTCGCACAAGGCACACGCCTATATTTCATGTTCCACTGCGGTCATCTGACTACGCTATGAACAGTGCACTGACACGGCTTCCTAAGATGTACAATGAATACTTTAGTAATCATGTAATTTTTTTGCTAAATAAGAGAGCATTTAAAAATGCAATAACTGCGAGTCTTATGTAATTCTGTTATGTAGCGCGCGTGTGTATGTGTATGTATGTATATGCATATATGTATTTATGTTTGTGTATGTATGTATATGTGTGTATGTGTATATATGTATATGTTTGTGTATATATAAATTTATATAACAAGCAAGCCAAATGATATTGTAACAGTTACGGGCGGATACCTTTGTATTTATATATAAATGAAACCTGTTATTGGCCTTACTTTGTAATTATGTCTATGTATAAACCATAATTTAGAACCTTTGTAACGCTGTTGGTTTCCATAAATAAATAAATGCCTTTAAGACGTTCGCCACCACAACAAACACATATAGCGACACCTGCATCAGATTGTGATTCGCATGTATCAGATACAAATGACACCTCAGACAGGAAATCGCGAATAATAAAGTTTATATTGAATCCCTCGAAAATAAAATAGAAAAATTCGAAAGAAGCTCTCGCTCCACTTGTGTGGAAATAAGAAACATTCCCGTTATTAGGTCTGAAACTAAACCCTATTTGTTAAAAACCGTGACCGAGATTGGTAGTTTAATTAATGTGTATATTCAAGCCTCGGCCGAAAAAGATGTTTTTCGTATTAATAATAAAAACCTTGAAACTAAATCGATTATCGCGAAGTTCACAAATGTTTTTACAAGGGACAGAATATTAAATGGTTACAAGAACAAATCGAATGGTAGACTTAACACTGAACATTTAAAATTTTCTGGCACTACTAAACCAACATTTATATCTGAAAACTTAACAGCTAAAATGAAAAGATTTTTTTTTTCCACTAGAGTATTTGCAAGCAGTTACGAATATAAATATTGTTGGACGGTTATTGGGAAAATTTTTATCTGAGAAAAGGAAGGTTCCACTTTTCATTGGATCAAAGATGAATCAGATCTACAGAAGCTTGGTAGACAAAAGTAAATATTTTTGTTTCTTATTGTTACGTTTTTTGTTCGGCTAACCTTTTGCATGTATATTTAACTGTTTGAATTTTTTTTTGGTATAAATTGCAATGTGCTCCATTCCAAATTGCTGTGTTTCTAAAATTGAAAGTCATTAATACAATAATATAATATCTTCTTCATCATATAGCACTATTTGTAAAAGTTCTTATATTAACTGTTTATTACAAGTATATAAAAAGTATATTACAAGCTCTGTCTCATTAATAATAATCAAACAATTTAATTCTTATTTATGGTGCTTATAAATGGTTTCCCCAGTTCGTCAAATTCAAATGCTAAACTTATTCTCGTGTATTATGAATGATCACATAAGAATAGAATCAGAACTTGAACTTGTTTCTGTTAGTAGTTCGTATAAGGTAAACGCAGGTATTACCGAGGTAAAATCAAGGCTTTAAGGTTTAAACTTTCGAAATAGGTATTTCCGATAAAAAAACAGTTACTAGTATTTATTTTATGATACGTAGAGTTTTCTCTATAAATATGTAGATAGTTTTTTGAGGAAATACATAAAAAAAAATTAAACATAACAATCCGGATGAAGCTATTACCGAGGTATGCTTAAGCGTTTGCAGCTAATACCGCGATTCGTCATTCTATTACCGCAGGTAGAAAAATAATAGGCATGTTGGTTCTATACAAAACCTTTAGTGAAACACTTATTATTGGCTATTCTAAGTTTCAATCAACAATTTTAATGGGGGCAATTAAAAGAAAAAAGAAAAATTAATAGTTGGTGTTACTACCTGTGGCCCTTATGACTTCTTGGAGCCGGTTTTTTAATTGATGTCATGAATATCCGATTGGGGGATATCGTGCCACTCCTCCACTGCAGCCGTTTTTAGCTCTCCTAAAATCGTAAGGACTGGTACTCTTGCTCGGACAAGTGTGTGTTCTATTGGGTTAAGATCGGGACTCCATGCGGGTCATTGTAAAAATTAAATCCCGACCTCATTTAGATACTTTTCTAATGGTACATTCACTGACACTGACATTTCTAACCTCAAAAGACGCGTACGAGTTCAGCAGCGGTCGAAAAGCAAAATTGCAACACATTGGTGACAACAAAACGGTCATCTCGAGTCAAAGTGTATAGATATCGGCCTTGACCTAGCCTGCGGGTGTATAAGCCTGCCTTCCTCCTCGAAATCGTCTGATGACATCTCGTACCGTAGTTCGAGGTACACAGAGTGTGAAACTAAAGCCACTGTCCTAGCTATGTCAGTTGCATCGAGTAGCATTTTTTTTTTTCAATCCGATTACTCAAATTTAGGGAAGAAAATAATGATATAAGTGTTTTATTTATTGTTAGAGTACCCACTTAACAAAAAACAAAACAATTGATAAGCCATAGTTGACGGAACCAAACAGGGTAAAGAATGATACAGGTGGGCGGTTAATTGTGCCTGTAAGTGTATATATACTCATAGATGACATAATATTTGAGGGCAACGTACGATAAAATATAATGTAATGAATAAATTTCATTATATTTTATCGCATCATAAAACATTGATGCTACTTACCTATATTTGTACTCAATATTGGGAAACAAAGTTATCAGTTATAATAATCGTATACTTAGGTAACATTTATTTTGTTTTTTTTTTTTTAACAAAAGCTATGTTCGTATGAACGATCTTTTTCAATACATAGTCTTAAGTAAGTCTACTAAATCCCAGTTGGAACAATATTTAATAACAAAAGACAAATCTGTTTAGTTTAGTTAAGAGTTAAAAAATTTACATATTACCAGGGTAGTATCATGGAATGCCTACCGTGTGTACAAAGAAATATATAAAGTTATGTAAGTACTTATTGTAATAAGCTGTTCTAATTAAAATGAGAAAACTACAAGTTCAATATAGACAATGTTAAGATCGATATAATTGTCTGATAATGATACTTATGATTTTTATAAATTATGTCAGTCTCAAGGTCATAAGATCAGAGTTTTTTAAACAAACCTCCATACATGTTACCTATACACAAACAGTGTCATTAACATGTTATAAGATAGGCGCAACCTCTTTTCTATATTTTGTCAGTAGACGCAACAGTGTCTCACCAGACATCGGCGCGTACGCATGTTCTATTTTTAAACATTTAATATGGCGGTTTTGAAGTTGTTTTCGTTTTTGTTTCTCGTGGCTGTCGCGAGCGGGCAGGGTTCTAATCCTTTAGTGAGAGTGAGCCAAGGACTGGTGCGGGGTACTTGGAAGATATCAACAAACGGACGAAGTTACGCAAGTTTTCAAGGAATACCATACGCAAGACCGCCGGTCGGCAAATATAGATTTAGGGTTAGTTGGGGTATATTATGAATCATATTAATTTTATTTATGATAAATGATAGCTAATGGGGATGAGGACTGTAAATAAAGACGAATGGATGTATAATAAAATGTAATAATAATAATAAATCACAAATCGCAGCAAGCAAGGCAAACGATAAATATCCGACCTCAGCAAAAACAAGGAGTAACAAAAAAAGAACATTATAAAAATATGACATATACTAATAAAAAAGGATGGCGCTTTCCAGCCAGTCGCCTACAACAAAGCATATTAACAATTTTCTGAAGCCAATGCATTTATTTAACAATTGAATTACCAAGAAAACGGCGGGTCTTCCATGTAACTACACTAACTTGCTTTTCTTCACGTTAGAACAACTCAAAATACACTTAAAATTTAATAATGTATTGTGAGATACAGTGTGTGACACAAATGTATTTAATTTTCAATACAGTACTGAGTTAAAGAGCATTTTCGTCAATCCAATGTCAAGGTAACCGACTTAAGTGTTGTTACGCGGTAAATCCACCGATCATAACTATACTGCAGTCGCATTAATTATTTACGTGCCTTCCGCGAAACTGAGAAATTCGAAACAGAGAACTTATAACATTTTCGGTCATCCATCTCATGACAGAACTTTGCGAAAACTGCTTAACTATCGCAATAGCAGACCGAATCACTTTGAATTCACTTTGCATTCTCCCATAAAACAGGTTATTCATATACGCTACAATATCCAGTTCAGTGAGATATCTTATTGATTTTGTTTTATAAATATCGCTATCGCCTTTCATGTTGACTAAAGTGATAACTTTGGTCTTTGTTTACCTTAGTAAATAAATTTGTGAGCATCGTCAGCTTATAATCTTACAATTCTTTTAAGGCCCACTCAGCATATAGACTGAGGGAAGCAACTTCGTTTTATATTACGTAAAAAATATTTCCTTACATTTATTTATTTTAATGTCACATTCACATCAAAATATTGTCATTTATAATTACGAGGGTCAAACTGAAAGTTCTTAGAAAATCAAAAACTGATTACATTAGCCAGTTATTAGTTTTATTATATCTTTTCAAAATATTGTCCATTCACGTCAATACACCGCCGCATGCGATGGAACCACTGGGAAAAGCACTTTGCCCACTCGTCCTTAGGGGTCTCTTCAATGGCATCGCGATACGCAGCCACCGCTTCTTCAGCATTCATAAACCGCTTTCCTTTAAGTTTTTCTTTAATTTTTGGAAATAAATAAAAATCACAAGGCGCGAGGTCGGGGCTATACGGCGGGTGACCCAGTAATTCAACGTTTGATGTCGCCAAATAGTCGATCGTTCGCTTGGCGGTGTGCGACGAGGCGTTGTCGTGGTGAAGGAGGATCCTACTGCGAGGTCGTTTCTCTCGAACTTTTTCCAAGACAAGTGGCAAACAATTGGTAGTGTACCATTCTGCAGAAACTGTTTTTTGATCCTCTAACACAATTGTTGCAAAATGACCTATCCTTCCAAAGAACGAGGCCACCATTTTTTTTCCCGCACTTCGATCTCTCTTCACTTTAGTTGGCAACTCCTCGAAAGGAAACACCCACTGAGCAAATTGTCTTTTGGTTTTAGGATCATAACAGTAAATCCAGCTTTCGTCACCTGTTAGTATGTCGAACACAGCATTTGAGTCACCTCCGTTAAATCTTTCAATCATTTTACGACACCAATCCACACGATGGAGTTTTTGAGCCTCAGTCAAATTATGAGGTATCCACCGGGCGCAAAGCTTCCTGACCGCTAAATGTTCGTGGAGGATTTTGTGCACTTGACTCATACCGATGCCTAAGCTTGTCCGAATCTGTTGATAGGTCACTCTTTTGTCAGTCTCTATCATACGCCGCATAACACAGATGTTATCTTCAGTCGTCGCCGTAGAAGGCCGTCCCTCACGTAAATCATCAGTGAGATTAGTGCGACCACGTTTAAACTCATTAAACCAGTTGTAAACAGTCGCACGAGATGGGGCTTCATCGTGAAAGGCCAATCGTAGTCTATCATAACTTTCTTGTTGACTTAAATGACATCGAAAGTCATAAAAAATCATTGCACGAAAATTTTCTCGTGTTAAATTCATGATGACGTGACACAGACAATTTTCAATTTGCCGCCAAATCGTAAAACAAATGACAAATGAATGAAATATATACTCAGTAATATTGGCAAAGAGTTATATTTTCAAATTTTAGAATTATTTTTTTATTATATTGTTTATAAGTGGCCAGTTCTAAGAACTTTCAGTTTGACCCTCGTAATAATATTATAATGCATATTTTGACCCCTGAATTATCACTAAATAATAAACTTATTACTAATGGTCGTAAGTATTCTGCACTTCTCCTACTTTAAGCTTTAACTGTATTTATCTACTCAGTAATGCCAATTTGGCCCTTTGGGGGCTAGTCCAGCCTATTTAATTTTTTTTTTTCAGTCTTTAATAAAGTATCCCACGGCCTTTCGCAATCCAGGCGACCGCTCTAACCGCTGAGGGAGCCAATTCTACTAAATAAATTTTGTTTAAGTCGAATCGAAAACGGATCGAAACCGAACGAAACTACAGTTTTAAATGTTTTTTCTATTCTACAAAGTGACATACTATACAATTACAGTTCTTTTTTAGCTGGAATTGTATCGGTTTCGATCCGTTTTCAATTCGACTTAAACAAAATTTATTTAGTAGAATTAATCTTTCAAGCACTTGTTACTTTTCGCTACAACAGAGCGTATTCTCATCAATGTTCAGGCAATCCACCCAAACAGCCGAAAGAAATATTGTTACAAATATTGAAACTTTCAATAAAGATGAGAATTTTGTTCTAATTATTATATTTTAATTAATTTTGCATTCACAATGCCATACTGAAAATTATTCTTAATACAAAATGCTTAAAAAATAAATCTTAATGCTTAAAAAATAAATCTTAATGCTTAAAAAATAAATCTTAATAAAGTAATTTAGGCCTTAGCCCATTTTCTGACCCCAAAATTCTGTAAAAAATAAACTAAAATATAAACTTGCCTATACATAACTTTTCGAAACTAAACGCACTTACATACTTCAGATCTCGGAAAATCGATCACATACTAAAATACGATTTTATCTATGAATTGACGTTCACATAAACGACCTTTTAGTTATATGATGTTCAAAAATTCAGTGAGTTCTATATATCTAATAATAAATGGCAATGGTGCTGCAAAATAAATATTCCATTAAAAATCAAGATAACAATTTGGCCCTTTTTTAATAATTTACTAAATCTGGCCCTATTTTAATCATAATTTAGCTACAAATCTTGAATTCCAGTTGGCAACACCACTCACAGTCGCCTGACCGCGCATTTTTCAATTACTGAAACTATTCTCAACTAGTCCGCCAGTACCCGAAACAGCTTCTTACTTAAAAAAAATATTTCTATTTGATTGTTCGGTACACAAATAGAAGCACATTATTTGTACAATATTATAAAATGGAAAGGCTCAATGAGGACGTATTTAAAAAATAAAAATTAGTTCTTGAAATCATACTAGATGTCACTCGCGAGTTTTGGATTTTGTTTATGATATTCATTCAAATTTTATTTCTGACGTAATAAATGTAAATTGAGTATTTTCGATTAATAAATATGACATCGTTTTGTGTTTCTTATAATGTCTCACTTTCAAACTAATTTTAATTGTAAGTTTAACTTGTTTATTATGTTACGTGTAAAGGAACGATGTTTGGTTGATACGTCAACATTAGTGATGGCCAACTTATTGGTTGCTCGTAACTTTCGTCGAATTCAGGTTTGGAATGGAGAACAAAAATGATGATGAAGATGAAGTGTCATTATGCATCCACAAAACGAATGATATTAATATAAATATCAAAATCAATTCAATCTAGACTGTTACATAGTACTTGTGAATTCGAAAACTTTACCAATGGTTCGCAAAACTAAGGCGGGATCTCTTACTGACAAGAAACGGCAAGAAACTCAGCAAGGGCTGCTTTTTTAATTTCAACTAAACAACTCAACTATACTATATTTGAGGGATCGTAACCACCTAACGCACACGATACCACCGCAGAGATTTTAAGAGACCATAACAACTCTAGGTACTTAGTAAATAATATATTTCAATAAAACGGATTTCTAGAGTAGGTTGTGTAGAAATTCAAATTATTATTAACAATATTATTGTAAGTACCAAAAAGAACAAACCCGCCGTACGAATTAACTTAACATATGGCTCGACGTCCGCTGACGACATGCAAGATCAGTAGCAATATAATAACTGTACGTGTCTTTGACATTTGAAATTTAAAGTTACAACCTTGCTGTTCGTTTAAAGCAGACGTTTCTTGTCAATTGCTGAATGTTTATTAAGATGATTTAATTATGAATATAAGATTTAATAACTGATAATAGTTTTAAAAAGTCTTAATTTCGAAAGCACAAGTTATTTGCACGTTACACTTTGCACAAACGTCATTTTAGCCAGCAGTTATGTTATTTTGTACAAATATATAGTATATTTGATACATATCGGGTAAGTTTATAGATAATAAACGGATTTTTCTTAAAAATTATTGTTTTTATGACTTTGTGCTGATTAATAAACCCTATTCATTCATTCACCATACATAATATAAAAAAAAATATTGAGAATTGATGTAGTTTTGTTGTTGTAAGTTCAACAAACAACTAATAGCAATAAAACTAACTTACCTAGTTGTTATTTTTTCAGAACTTTTGTTAAATATTAAAATGAAAATTCCTAGACCTACTATGACATAAGTACCTATTTTATTTATAAAACGTAATATTATTGTATACCGTAGTTAGATGCCACTTTTAATTATATCACAGCATTCAATTGATTTCCATAAATTTAAAAAGCCTCTGTACTCACTTCCATTATGTTAGTTTCCATTTTCCTTTATACAAATAAAAAATAAATTTATTCAAAGATTACTTTGTATTAATCGAGTTGCGATTGCATAACTCGAACTAATTAAATTTCAACTCGATATTAATCCAAGTTATCAGATCCATAACAACACTAACAAATCTATTCTCTTTGGTTTAACGTCATGAATTGACGTTTAGATCCAACAATTTGTGCTGCCATCTAGTAACATAATTTTTTGTAGTTTCTTTATTTTTTTTAAATACTTCCTCATTGTTTGTTTGCATTGAATAGCCTCCGAAACTACTAGGCCGATATTAAAAAATACTTTCACCTACGACTAGCTACGTCATACGTGGTGACATAGGCTATAATTTACGTGACGGAAGTGGCTTGTAAATATATCAATTTAGAGAATGTGCTTTTATACAAGTGTTACGGGTTCGGTGCTTGGGTCAATTAATAAGGCTGCTTAGCTTGAGTATATATTTATTAGTGAAATAAGGGTAATAAGAAAAACCCTTGTCGGGCTTCTAGTTAACTTTTGGAACGTCCAAAATACAGATTACAATTCAGTAGTTACATATGTTATATAATTTGTATCACCATATCACATTATTTATCACAATAAATGAATTATTTTAAAATTACATAGTAAAATTTATACCATTAATATTGTATTGTATTATAATTTCATCTTGTGCATAGGAGAATTTCTTACGAACTGACATCCATAAAGAGTATAATTGATTAGTCAAAATTTTAAATTACGAAAGACGAATAATAAAATGAAATGATGTTAAATTTCAAAAACAAAAAGTTTGCATACTGAAACCTAGGAAAACAAACGGTGGCATGGCACACCGTTACACAAAGATTTCATACAATACAATACAATACAAAAATTCTTTATTGTACACACCATTGTTTACAAAAATTATGTCGAAATAATAGTATATAAGGTACTACAAGGGCGGCCTTATTGCTTAAAGCAATTTCTTCCAGACAATCTTTGATGGACAGTGGTATATGAAAAGCAGATATTTAATAAATATAACATATTCAATAAAAGTAAAGTCATATAAAATCATGTTAATGTTTTCATTCAATGTTATATAGTATTGAATTTTTAATTATTCAGTTTGTTTTCCCGATCCATCACGGGCCATTCCGAATTCTTTTGCTGGATTAAATTTAGGTTTCGTCCTACCAAACTGGGGTTTTCCATAGTGAAATTTAATGTTAACTAAGTTTCTAATAACTTACGTACGTACGAGCATAATATTATAGTATACAGTAGTATTATCATTGCCGGATTAGCCCATAAGCAAAATAATCAATTGCTTAGAGGCTCACGTCTTTGGGAGCTCCAGAAAGAGCACCAAAAAATCCTAATACAAATGTTTCATGAAAAATCCGTGAGTTTTATACTAAACGTAACTCTTTTAATCCTCATAATATGGTTCGTAATGTAATGAAATAGCTCGTTAAATATGTATTTTTTACTCATAATAAATACTAGATTGCTTATGGATTGAAACGAGGCGTTAAGACGTCCAAATATGACAAGGGTTATATTACTAAGAGCATCGAGTAGTGCCAATCCGATATATAGTAGTCATATTTTTTTGATATGATATAACTATAATATAAATGTATAACATTCGAACAAACCCAAAGTAGAGTCATAATTTTATACAGAGAGTGGAACAACAGAATTGGCACCATAACTGGCTAATACGAATGTTATAATGTTCCAAAATATAAAACAAAAATAAACAAATGAGTTAATGACTGTAGAAAAAAGTTTTCGCTATTTATAATTCTCAGTTCGTTGCTCGAAAAAGATAGCACGTGTGACAAATGTATCACACATTCGGTTTTAGTAAAACGTATTAGTTCGTTTCATTGTAACGTGATATATGGGATAGCTATAAGAGTACTCGTATTTCATCTGATTTTATCACAAAAATGATAATGATGTCATTGTACTCTCAAAGACGAGCTCAATGGCGCATTGGTAAGCTCAGTCTGCGATACAATTGCTAAGCAAGTTTTGCAATGGCTGATGATAGAATGGGTGACCAAAAATGTATCACCTCGAACTCTTTCGTACTGCGGAAGGCACGTTAAGACGTTGATCCCGGCTGCATCTAATTCTGCATAACACATTCTCCTTATTCGATTTGAATGCCCAAATCGAATAAGGAGAATGTTAGGGAAGACCTGAGTCCCAGCAGTGGGGACAATAATAGACTAGTGATGATGATACACTCTCACAACATTTATCACAAAAGTTCACCTGGTAATATACCATGTGGATATACACTTACAATCTTATATGTACAAGTAAAAGGACCTACCAAGTTTATCCAAGAATACCGAAAGACCTCCGTAGCAGAGCGGTTCGAGTCAACGTGATTTTTTTTAATTGTCTCGTGTCTGAGTTGTGTACGCTCATTATCTCAGATACTTCTCATCTTGGAACCTGAGTAATATACCTATATGATGTGAATGTAACGACTGAGAATAGTTCAGAGCTGAGTATAGGCACTTTTACCTTCATGATTTTATGACTATATATGATTTTCATGGCAGGCATCGCATTATTACTGCACAATACTCTTGTCACTGCAGCATCAATAAATTAATTAGTATGGGATGAGTAATACTCTGACCCGACCCGTCTTAGGCAAACTAGGCAACCGCCAAGACTCGTATTTGGAGGGCGGCATAGCTTGGCAAACAAATTCTTTGCTCTAATTTATTTGACCTTTAAAAACCCCCTTTGTTCACGTCTCCAGTATTCAAAAGAACACAATTTTCAGACCAGCAGTAGGTACCCAGTTTCTTTTGTCGTTTGCAAAATAACACTTTAAATCGGTGTACCTGCATTAGTCTTTTATTATGTTGTGATTAGTCTATGAGCGTCGTCATTTATAAGTGAACGCATCGTTAAATAGTGTGTCTGTCCCTCTATCTCGATCCAAACATTTTGAACTAGTTTGGCGCACTCAAATACCGGACCTAATTACCGTTAACATTGCCACGAGATAGCAATTAAATGCACTTGCACCACCGGATCGCTATGAGTGCTCCGCTAACGATCAATTATCCTCCGACAAACGAACGGTAGCGACCGTACAATATGTCACGTGTAGGGTTTCCATGCCTCATATACCAATAACTACATCCGAATATATTACACATTGAAAGTATGTTCGACTATCTGAGCTATCATCACCAGCATATTGATATCCCCTCTACTAGAGCACAGACTTCCCCTATAGATGGAATATATTCTAGTCTATATTCCCGTGTGCATATAACCTAGACCTATTTAAGGCAAGAGTGAATAGGTTCCTTTTAGGCTAGATCGTCCCACCGTAGTTCTCATTTATGACCTTAGGCTAGATTGAGGTCAAAAGTGAGCCCATTATAAAAAAAACACGCGAACCCAGTTCGGGTTTGTGGATGTTAACAACCAACAGCTTAACGAGCCTTTCGAAGCACAAAGGAACTCAAGATAATAATCTTCTGGTGACTCATAACAGACCCTTATGAAACTTCCACATCATAGACTTATTAACGCACTTGACACTGCGCCATCCAGCTCTTCTTTGAACTATCACTTATAAACCTGACAAGTACTATACAGTACTTAGGTATTAGTATTACAGTACTTAGGTATTAATATTACAGTACTTAGGTATTAGGTGCCTGTCTCGGGTCTGGGTGCTGTGATACCTTCGATATCTTAGATTCTCTATAATACCTCTTATTGTGCAGTATCTGCTACTTTAGCCACTCACCTTGGAATCTGAGCAATATATGTGATGTATACTATTGATTTATTTTAAAATAATACTATCCATTATCTAAAGGAACCTCAACAACATAAACCATGGACTGGCACATGGGACGCCACACGGCCGCTCAGCGACTGCTTGCAATATGAGCCATTCATCGGAAAAATTGTCGGTAAGTTTGTTTTTTACTTTGCATTAAAATCGGAATTGGTCTCCAACTCACCTGATGATAATAGAGGACTGTTAGACATTATTTATTTTCTAATAGAGAAAATATTATATCAGGTGGTTCTGAGATCTTGGTCTTTAAACATTGTATGGCCCCAGAGTTGCAAATTAAACAAAAAAGTATCCGATACTACAATATATTACTATGAGCGGCTAATCCAAAACTTCCTATACTCTCCCATTTTTTCAGGAAGCGAGAACTGCCTGTTCGTAAACGTACACACACCGAACCCAAATGCCGGCTCGTCGATGCCGGTCCTGGTGTTCATTCATGGAGGTGCCTTCATGTACGGTTCAGGGTCTCTGTACGAAGCTAACCATCTGATGGATAAGGACATGGTTGTCGTCACCTTCAACTACAGGCTGGGACCTTTAGGTAAGTTGAAGCATCTGGTGGGTGAAGGTATTACATCATGATCACAATATAGTTCTACAAAAATGCTAGTATAAGGTAGATATATATATATATTATATTTACTATTAGGTAGATTTTGGAGTTTGTATCTATTGAAAGACGAAGGCCTTTCTTATGTGAATTCACTCACCTGTGTATTAGTTCACATTACGCCCCTGATTGTATCGTGCCCTTTTGCAACTGTATTACTGCAAAAACCTCCCTTGTCAAAAGCTTGCTAGTGTTGCATAAAAACACTAATAATTTTCTTTGCTTTTACGATAGAGTGTGAGGTAATTTGCGTTGGTCAAACTATCAGCAAAAGTATTAATAAACTAAACGGAATTTTTAATAAAAGTCTATTCCTTTTGGCTTAAAACAGCTCGCCAGCGGTTATTTTCTCGCTGCCGTATCAGACAATTAACGAACAAAAACAGTTGTTTTAATATTATGCCATGAGTAGTAAGAGTTTTTGGTATTCTTCCAACTTAGTCTACTCACTTGGGATAACTTAAGGACACTGTAATCTATACACTTGAGAACGCTTTGATGTATCATAATACAACTCTGGTTTGTACGGTAGTCTTCTAAAATAACAACCAGTTAAACAATATATTGTACGTTATCCTAGGCTTTCTCAGCACTGGTGACGAAGCGGCGCCAGGTAACGCTGGCCTGAAAGACCAGGCGTTTGCCCTACGCTGGGTGCAAAACAACATCATGATGTTCGGCGGGAATCCCGACAGCGTCACGCTGACCGGCTGCTCCGCTGGTGGTGCCAGTGTACATTATCATTACCTATCACCGCTTTCTAAAGGTAAGTCGTTAGGTTACTCCATTTATAACTCGAGGATGGCTGGACCGATATTTATGTTTTTGCTTTTTTCACCGTCTGAAATAAGATATTTAATTAATAAAAATATGCAGTTTTTTTTCATTAAAAATAATAATAATAAAAAGGCAGAATATACACGAAAATAGTGATATGTTATAATAAAACTCCACTAACAGCTCACGTTTATCGTTAATTTTTTTAAAACGCAACTGATACTGATCGTTCACGTCACAGTGTAAGTAAGAAACGAGAGTTTTTATTTTGCATAATAAAACCTACTATTTTAAATTGCAAACAAAACCTCTATGGTTTTAATAAAGAATAGTAGATATTTCATCTGAGGAAGCTACCGTAATGTTGTCTATGCCTATGGTTTTTAAAAATGCCGATTATGAGCTTTCATCGACTATTAGGCGGGATAAAATTCAGCGGGTCCACTAGTTATTGTGATAAAAAGAATTACAATCACACATTAATTAATATTAAGCAGGTACATTGTTCGCTATTATCGTTCTAATATCAAAATTGAGTAGGCAAAACTAGCAAAACTATTATAATAGTTTTGCTTTATAATATTGTTTTGATATGAAAATTGAATAGGTTAATAATGTTTCGTCATTATGTATGCACAGTACAACAGATATGGAAAACTTCTAGATAACTGTTGTTGCATTATAAACATGTCTTCTGTTTTAAACAAAAATATCAGCATAACAAACGTATATTATTAAAATACAAATGACAATATTTAAATAGTATTGTGACTGCAAAACACACACAAATAATGCCTCATTATCCAAATATTTACTCGTAACAAAACAGTTTTATCATAATGCATTTTAACTCTTTATCCTCCTTTGAGTGCAATGTCTTTGGTAAGAGTTAATATTAGCCAAGTCCCTCGTCTTGGTTTTTTCTCTAACAATAGACGGTCAAGGACACGACACGTGTTTAAAAATTGTTCTATTTGAGCATTGGTTAAGGCAAAACAACCCTTAAACATTGTTTAAAATTTAAACACATGTCATGTTGACACATGATATGTTGTTTATGGGGTATCTTACCTTTCACAATATTTCACTATAGTTTTGACTTTGATAAGAATTATGTCTTTGAATTTAAATTAAAAATGATAATTTTAGATTAAATATTTTCATTTACAAAAATTATTAACTAGTGTGTTTAAAATATATCTTTTTACGTCTAAAATTTATTATAAGTTTGTATACAGCGTGCATAGAATTGAACGTGTATGAACGAATGAAAGCCAGTAGTACGAATGATTCTTTACTTAGACAATGTTTAAAAATGAATTTGTAATAGGGAAAATTAGACATCATTTTAAACAGGGTTTATATTCTTAAACACAGTTTAGATAATCACATGGTAAAACACTGTTTAACGTCTCTTTTGTAATAACACTGACAATCTTTACAATTATTTACAAGATCTTTATAAGACTGTTTTTATAGATATAATTTTATATTGCAAACAACTTTCACGGCTACAAAATTCTTCAACTAACTATTTTAATAACTTGCTGTTTCCCACGACATCACCCGAGGTAATTTTAATCTATGTCACCCGCGTCTGATGTGGCTTCACAAAGATATATATTTTTTTAAAACGTTTCAGTAGTTTCGTGGCCTAATCAATACAAACAAACAATGATATTTTTCTGTATAATATTAACTACCTGTCTCGATAGTTTGCACGCGTAAATTATAGCTTATGTCAAACACGTATGATATAGCTCCAGGAAGGTGAAACAATTTGTAAAGTCGGTCCAGTTGTTTTGGAGCCTATTCACACAAACAAAAAAACAATCAAACCTTATAATATTAATATAGATATATATAAGTTTTTATATAATATTCACATTAAAACGCTACGCTTTAAATTAAGAACACTCTTCATTTTAGAGTTCCATGTCAAATAAAATAAAAAACGGAACCCTTATAGATCACTCAGAGTCATCCATCCGTCTGTCACCGTTACAGCCGCTAGACTGATTGAATTGATCTTCGCTACACTTGTTGTTACCGACAACAAGAACGTAAACTGTAGTTAATTAATAAAGAGATAAATTAGCAACAGAAAGATATATATATAGGAATACATTTAAAAACACAGACAGCAAAGCAAAGCAAAACGATGAAACAATAAGTGTCAAAAGTCATATTCAAATATCAAAAAACCTATCTAAAGAGGCTGGCTGATACTCGTGTTGGTAAAGTTGTTCCAAAGTCGGCTGTGACAGGTCTTATTATTGATGGAATCGTGAAGGGAAAATGGCCATGAATTACCACGCGGGCCCCTTGCAGTCGGAAAAACGTGGCTTTCGAAGTACGGGAGAGCTCGAGATAATAATTTTTTCCTTGCGAAAGTTGCTAGCTGCAGTATTGCAAATCGAATGCGCTAACTCCATAAGGCGACCGTTAAATGCAAATAATAAAATTAAAATTTTACAACTATATTGTGTTACACGTAAATGAAATTTCCTATTGTGAAATTCTCTAATAAATTTGTAGGTACTTTTAAACTAATTCGTTTTTTAATTATTTGTGGTAATTGCCATTAATTATCGAAACTAAGCACCTAAAAATTTTAAGAAAATACAGAAAAATGTTCCATTCTATATCAAAGATGTACTAATTATAGGAAAACTATGGATAAATTATAATAAGTCTATATTTTTTTTTAATTTAAAAATGTAGAACCTCCTTGCAACAAACCGACTAGCCAGCTTAACTACCAGTTATATTTACAACACTAACGCAACACTTTCAGGTTTATTCTCTAAGGGTATAGCATTCAGCGGATCCGCGTTCTCTTCATGGACCCACGCCGTGAAACCGGTACAGAAAGCTAAGACTCTGTCATCCATCGTCGGTTGCCCGATCACCACCACTAGGGAGATGATAGACTGCCTCAAGTACAGGCCCGCTGAAGTCATTATAAACGCTATGGTTGAGATGTTTGTAAGTTAAAAAGAAAAGTTTGTGCAGTTTAAAAATGGAATGCTAAAATTCCATTTTTAAACTGCACAAACTTTTTTAATTAAAAACTTTTTGGACTGACAAAGGAATCAAAGGTTTCATAATAAAATCGTTAACTATGATGACGTTCAACTTAAAGCCCTATGTAAAGCCAATTACTGTGAAAACTGTAAAGGTACATTTGTATGATACATTTGTTCCAATTTGTTTATTTTTCTCGTGAAAAAATTTAAAAAAATCTGGATATACAATTTCAATTTTTTAAGAAAATCGGGAAAAAATATGAATTTTGTTACTTGATTTATCGACGGCCCCTCTCTGGTATATTACGATAAGCCCAGGCATCTATGAGGTGACATTACAGAGCACTTGCGTTTCGGTAAAAGTTTCAAATAACTCCAAAGTAATAATAAATCAAATGAATGAATTTTGTATAACCAATACATTTTGTCGCCTTTTCCCCTTCCTCATTTCAGAGGTAAACAACAGTGTGCGTCTGATAAAATTTTCGCCTCGTTTCGAGAACGAGACTTCTGGTCACGTTATGTGTACCTAAGCAAAAGAACCCTTTTTTTCTTTAAAAATCAGTCAAATTTAAAAACCCTGATTCCGTCGGGTTTTATCCAGAAACCCTGGTAACACTATCCACATGGCATCAAAATTAACCAAAACAACCACCTCCTACCTTCATAACCTTTGTATAACCCCTAATAAGATACTAAATCAACACCCGAAAGTAATAATATCAAAGCATTAATTATACAGTTGTTATCATCAAAGAGTAGAGATCAAACACATTTCAGATTAGGTCTGTAGGTCCCAATGGAACTTCACTTCGAGTGGTTATTCAGGGCATTAGGACGAAATAGTAATAATAAGCTGACCGCACGAACTTCGTACCACTTCGTGAATTATTGTAATATTAAATCACGTAAAGTATCTCTATGACTTTTCTTCTATTTATGATGGAACAATTTATTCATGCGTACAGTGTATACATAACGTTTTAGACAGCAACAACGTGGACTGTAGTTAATTATTAAAGAGTCAAATAAGTAAACAGAAAAATATATATTTAAGAATACTTTTATAAGCGCAAGCTTACATTTGTATAATCTTGAGCGCAAGATACTGAACGAAGCAAGTAAAGAACAATAAACAATTAGTGGAAAAGTCATATTAAATTCAAATTAAAAATATATAAAAATCTTACCTAAAGAGACTGGTAAAACTGTCGTCAACACCAAAGGTGACCATTTTTTCTTTAGATGAAAACTTGACGTAGAATTTTTTTAGAAAATCGGGAAAAATTCTGAACTTTTGTTACTTAACTTATCGACGGCCCCTCTCTGGTATAGTACGATAAGCCCAGACATATGTGAGGAGACATTACAGAGCTCTTGCGTTTCGGTAAAGGTTTCAAGTAATTATAAAACAAATTAATTAATTTTGTATAACTAATGCATTTTGTCGCCTTTTCCTCTTCCTCATTTCAGAGGTAACCGACAGTGGGCGTCGGAAACAAATGTTCGCTTCGTTTCGAGAACGAGACTTCTGAAGGCCTACTCTGTTACTCCGTAAACGAAAATTCGTCTATTTTCGAAACCCCAATACGACTCTAAAGGAACACCTTTTTCGACAATTAATAATGAAACGGGGGTAGGACCCTGACACTGCTTCTGATGCACAGATAATATAAACGCATATAATTTAAAAAAAAATGTAGGAACGATTCGAAACTTTTGTAATTTTCGTTCATAGACAAACAAGGTAGCCCTTGGTCACGTTATGTATACCTAAACATAAGAACGTCTTTTTATTTGTTTACTATGTATTTCTTTGCTAGTGTATACATAATCAGCTTTCCGCCAGCGTCCGCGTAGTCCTTACGGAACTATTTATTTGGATATCGATTATATCACGACACGGATTTACTACAATGACAAATTGGATAGTAAACGATTTAATTCCCTCCCATTTTCATCCCTTTATTTTGCTATTTTTCGGAATTAAATTTAGGTCTATGTTTACCGCATATGATGTAACTTCTCGTAGGTGGAAGAATTTTTTAAAATCGGTGAATAAAATCAATAAATTCTTTCCTTTATATAATATTAGTGTTTTGCCCAGATATTGTTTTATATAAGTAGCGTTAACTATATTTTCTGTAATGTGCCGTCCACATATATGAATCAAGATGTAAAAAAAACTATAAAACCTATGTAATACTAACGTTATATTTTAGTCTTAAGGTATTAATAATTAATATAACGTATTTAAACGAAACAAAGTGCTCTTGCTGAATATTTCCTTACAATATCAAAGCTAAAGTTAACAAGCATCCGCTTATCTAAACTAAATAAACAATCTCAAATTTATCTTTACTTTTCTTGAATGTCATAAACGTTTTCGTAAAAAAAAACTGCAAAAACGAAGTTACATACCATACCTCATTATCATTTGTCCTATCCACAGGATTGGAAGGTGCATATGTTCACTATGTTCACGCCGACTGCAGAAGCGCCAGGGACCAGGGAGCCCTTCCTGACTCAATACCCTTACCACGCAGCCAAGGCTGGAGCAATGCAACGTGTACCACTCATAGCCTCAGTTACATCCGAAGAGGGATTGTATCCCGCCGCTAGTTAGAAAACTCATTTAATATAAATTGTAGTATTAAAAAACTCGATTTCTTTAATCGTTTATGCTGTCAGAATATCAGTGCTTTTGTGACGATAACTGTCACAAAATATATTACTGAGATAGCCACTTGGTTAACCTCCCATGTACTTACCTCTATTTTTTCTTTTACATCAATATTAGAATACTAACGGAATTAATGGTAATCAGAATCAGAAGCAACGATTTTTTAAGAAAAAGTTTATACTGTTTATTATTCACTTTTAAAGAAAATAATAGATACGACATCGTAGCGATGTTTATGATTAGTTTAACATGTATTTTATTGGTTGATAATCTAAGTTCGTAACACTGCCATAATCGTCATACTTTATCATTCGTTCATTGTTGTTAAAATAGTAAAATGAAAAGAGATCCTATGCCACAGATACACATAAACTATCCTTTGCCTAGAGTCATAGCTAAAGAATTAGGCAGACGCATCCCCGGATCTCAAATTCATAATGATAAGAGAATTTCTTTTGCTAGTCACAAAAGTGAAAGATCCTGAAAATGATGATTATATTTTGTCTGTATTGTCTAACAGTATATATGAGAGAATCTTCATACCTGGCCGAGCTGGACTCTCGCTGGGCGCAACTGGCTAGTAATATCTTTGAATTCAATGACACCCTACCCCTGGATCAGCACATTGCTGTAGCCGCCAAGATCAAGCAACAGTACCTCGGAGGGAAGCCAGTTAGCAAGGAAACATTTCCGCAACTTATTCAGGTCTCCAGCGCTATTCTATTAAAATACAACGTCGAATGCGGTGTTATGGCAGCCTTAGATTCTTTCTTAATAAAGGATTTAAACAATAATAATTGTGCCGTCGCCAGTGGCAGACTAACCTCATGGAGGCCTGGGGGCGGTAATATGTTCAGATTGACAACTTTTTTCAACTAGTGCAGAAACTTGATATTGCGTATTATGATGTTGTCGGATAGCTGCAGCCCATTTGGAGGCCCCCAGGGTGTTTCAAAGGAAGGCTTATATATTTAATACAGTGCTACGCAGACGAAGCCGCTTGCGGAACGCTGAATAAAATAAATCCGTTATTTACGATAACAGCCATCTAGTATTGCCAGTTCGTTGGTGTTTTACAACTAATACTTTAAGTGACCTTCTACAGGCTTTAAGTGACCGTCTGTTCAACGTGGACGTTGGTAAACTGGCTGAGATTCACGCACAGCGGTCGGGGCAGCCGGTCTACGTGTACCGGTTCGCACACAGGGGATCCACAAGCCTCTCTCTACTTATGGCAAACAACAAGGAAAACTACGGTATAAGGATTTTACAATAGCAGACGTTATTTTGCTGAAGTCCATTGCTATAATTGCGAAAATATGATACTTCAGGGAGGGTAGAAACACTGCTGCTTGTACATGTGAATTTGTGTACGGGTGGTGCACAACAGGTCATGCAGATACTGACTGAATGTCAAAGTTTATATCATAGTTTCGCAGTCATATGGAATAAGACTTGGCATTTATTTTAGTCTCTATCAGCGTCATTAATAAACAGCTTGGTGTTGGTTGGAGTTTTGTGTTGGAATTAATTTACGCTGAGACTGCACTTAGTATTAGTCAAAATTCATATTATTAAACAGAGACTTAGCAAAGATTAACCTAGTACGAGGTTCTGCGGGAGTGATATTTACCTAGAAGGTAGTAGGTTTGTTTTTTCTCTGTATAATAAGAATTTGGGCTACTACTAAAATTGCAATTTTAGTGTAATTTTACTCTGACCTTAAACCTTGTTTATTAATATCTTTAAGTAATAGTGAAACTGATTTTTTTTTGTTGTTCTTAGAGCTAAAACAATTGGAGATATTTTTATTGCTATTTATTCCTGTTGAAATATTAAAAAAAAAACATATTATTAGTTATATAATAAAATATATTTTATTTTTAATTACATTTTAATTACAAAAATTAAGTGATTTTTCCCTTATATCAAAAATATCTTATATGTTTACAGGAGTCAGCCATGCTGATGATGTCTTGCAAATATTTAAGTTTCCCGGCTTAGTTTTCGATACTACTGAAGATAAAAAGATGGTGAATCTTCTTATCGACATGGTGTACACCTACGCTACTACTGGGTAAGATAAGACCAATCATACATCACGTATTAAGGATGACTTACCATTAAGGAAGACATTGTGAGGATGGATGTATGTAACTCTTCCACGCCAAAACTTCTGAACTGAAAGCTAGCATACTATGCTGGTATAGTCATCATCGCCAGCCTATTAATGTCACCACTGCTGGGTCAACGCCAGATGCAGCCGCGACCAAGCACCGACAATTTTTGGTCACCCATCCTATAACCGGCCATTGCGAAAGTTGCTTAACAACATATAGCAGAGCGAGAGCGCGAGCTCCAGCCAGTATAATAATGTAAATTTCATATCTCACGAAACCCCGAGCTCGGCTTGGACCCGACACGGTCTAGCGTAAGTCATATTTTACTTTTCAATGTCCTAACAATAAAAAAAATGGTTGAAAACCTTCTTTTTTAAAGTTTGGGCGCAAAAGAGTTTATTTATTAAGACTTAATTTTTCTACGAATTAAAAAAATATTCGGATTAGTAGCCTTGACCTATCAAGTTAATGACTTCATATGCAACCGCAATACACATATGATACTAGCAGAGAGATAACACTAACTATTGAACCATCGAACTCCACTTACTCTGAATAATGTGACAAAGAATAAAACGTAAGTCCTTCCTTACACCTACACAAATGCTAAATGTATACCATTATTATCCATCATGATGCAAATTAGATATCTTCATTTCAAATTATTCATGCTCAATCGATTGTTCGGCTCAAGCCAATAACAATGTGTAATCTAAACCCGAAACGATCTAAGTATCTATTGTAGGTAATTAAATTTATCTGAGATAGCAGTATTTAAAATTATTAGTGATCTGTGTGTGTCGCCATGTTTCTCTGCGGTACTGATGGCCAAATTGTCTTATCCCAAAATCTATAACGATCCCTTTCTAAGGTATAGATGGCGATTTATAGAATTATGTTACGTTTAAAGTGGCAATTGCTTTCGTGACGTAATATGATTTGAACGGTCAAGAAACTTTGTAACTTAAACTTATACTATTTGCATCCAACCATTGCCTTGGATAATTGAGAAGTCTCATGTTGTTGATATTATTATATATAGCACAATATAAAAATATAGATCAAAACTAAAATAAATTAGTAAACAAAATTAAAATCAGTTAATAAATGACATTATTTTCTACTTATTGGGTGCTCTGGCGTTGTTTTTTTAGCTATTAATGGACATTAAATTTTATTCTTTTACTAGTGGCCGCCAGCGTCTTCGTCCGCGTTTTCCATTATTTCTTCGCTCCTAATAGTTGCAGCGTGATGTTATATAGCCTAAAGCCTTCCTCGATAAATGGTCTATTCAACACAAAAAGAATTGTTCAATTCGAACCAGTAGTTCCTGAGATTAGTTCAAACAAACAAACAAACTCCACAGCTTTATAATATTAGTATGGATATGTGGCTTATTTTTTAGTAACAACGACAAAATATTATAAATTTTCTAACCTGCAATAGATAAAGATATTAATTACTTTAATGTGTATTAAACTTGTTTTAACTGCTTGGTAAATTGATATAAGAAACGGGCAAGTGCGAGTCGGACTCGGGCACTGAAGGTTCCGTAGTTGGTAATGTTAAAATTGAATACCTTAGAACATACCCAATACTTACTATAATATGTCCTTTATTTTTGTTGCGTATTCATAGTGGTCGTATGAATGACAAAGTAATATTTGCAGTTTTGTAATGTATCTCTATACCCCGTTCAAACGAGTTTTCGTTAAAAATGTTCATAGGAGTCTACAGCATATTGTTACGTAGATATTACAATCTTCAATTTTAAAATGGAGGGGGGATGGAGCTGCAATAGGTAGAGGGTACGCCCGTTAGCAGTTTTTGTATTAACTTTTGACTTTTATAATGACATATTTACATTAGTCGATAGGGCCCGCATGCATGGTGCGAGTTATAAACTCTTTGAGTTTCGGAGAGGGGAGAGATTTGCTACGGGCCCCGCTCTGGCTTAATTCGGAACTGATCTCAAGCTCCTCCATGCTTCTGAAGCCGTTGAGCCCGGCTACTCACTGGGCCTGCTTGGTGTGCCCTTTCTCCGATTCCATCCAGGGAAGGCCTGTACCCTAATAATGGAGATATTAATAGACTAATCATGATGAAAAAACAAGACGTCAGTATTTCACGGCGTAAACGCGTGTTTAATGAATAAAACTCTCTTTTTCTGCCAGAGTGCCAAAGTTCAGCAACGCTGCGTGGCTACAGGTGAGCCCAGGGTCACCGGAACTAAACTATTTGGAGATATCCTCGCCAACAAAAGCCGAAATGAAGTCCAGCAGCGATTTCGGCCACAAATCATTCTGGGACAGCTTGGGTTTCATCGAGAAAGAGAACTACCAGCCGTACATTAAAGATGAACTGTAAACCATAGCCATGGATTGCCGATAATAAAGATTAAATAGGTCAATAAAAATGTGCTCAATTATTAATTACGATTTTAATAATGAAACCCTTTTTGATTGGGTTTTGCTATACTTATGTATTTCCTACTTAAAGTTTAACAAATATTGCATTTTTATTACTTTTTATTTTTCTTTGTTTTATTTATTATTATTCCTTAAAACTGTTGATTTCTAAAAGAACTACCTAAGTCAGTTGTCTTAATTACAAAATTCCAATGAAAAAAGATACAATTTAATTACTACCTCCGTGGCGGAGTGGTTCGCACGCCGATTTGAAGCTGTCGCCATCTTAGTTCTCGGGTTCGATTCCCGGTCGGGTTGATATAGAAATTTATCTTTTCTATATTGACTCGGGTCTGGGTTTTATAATACTTTCGTTGTCTCAGATAGTCCATAATACCCACCCGAATTTTTATTTTTAAACTGAAAATTCATAGTGACTGCCTTATTTATATATCGGTCTTATGATTGCTTTTTAGTTCACAATTTTTCTCACATCATTTGAGGATTTTCTGTTACAATTATGTTAAATGTTTACTACTTCTTATGTAATTATTTTAGAAAAACATGTAGTTATACTATGAATCGAACTAGTTTTACCAAAATATCTCTTAATAAAATCGTCTACAATATAGACTCTATATTATTCTTCGTTTATCCTATCCGTATATTTTATAACATCCAAATTTTACGAAAATCACCATTAAATTTCAATATCTTATTTTTAGAGACACTTGCCTTTCCGTAAACAGTTCAATCTACGATCCAATTTTAAACATAATTCCTTTTAAAACATAATTTCGGAATAAAGCAGTGTTAGGGGAGTGTTTTTGAATCTAACGCTCCACGATCCCCCCAGGTTTGTCCGGTGGATGCATAATACCTATACCTGTTTATGGTTAAAAAAAAAAGAACTAAAATACACTGCAAAAATATGATAGAGGGAATTTTACTTGACAATGGCAAAATGCACAAGCCGTGCCTGCCATATTATGAAAGAAAAAAAATGATAGAGGGAAGGGCGCCCAGCAAAGTTTCTACCTCGATTTAAAAAATCATAGATCCAGGCCTACCCCCAAGGGTTGAAACCCACAGATTGAAAAACACTGGCTTAGGGCATCACATTTTAGGGGGCGCCAGAAGCAGCACCAATAAATGTAAGTATTTCGAAATTCCGTGAGTTTTGCACTCCACGTATCTTTTGACCTTCATACATATACCTAGTCAAGCCATAAATTCTGTTACTGGCTGTTTACATACATAAAAAAAAAAACATTAATTTTAATTTCGAACAAAGACTAATACTTAAAATAGACTTCTTTCCCGCCATTATTATATGTTTTCTTTAGATAGAAATTATTTGTTTTAAAAATGGAGTGGGGCACTAAAGAGAATAGGAGTGCAGTAATTGCACTGTACAAAGTAGGTGCATTAAAAAAGCTAGGGATTAGCCGAATGTTTGTGTCTCATAGCCGACCGTGGCCTATCCGAACAAATCAGGCCGTTAATGCAGTCAAGGCCAGAATTCGTTGAAATCCCATGAGGAAACAGAAAATCCTTTCCATTGAAATGAGAATCCCACCGAGGACACTTTCTCGGATTATCAAACAAGACTTAGGTCTAGGGGCTTACCGGAGATGCACAGGACATACCTTAAATCAGTACTAAAACAAGAGAGTCGAATGATCAAAACAGCTGTTACTTCGATACGCGGACGAAAACCACAGAAAAATTCTCTTTACCGATGAGAAAATTTTACAACCGAGGAGCACTACAACAAACAAAATGATCGAGTGTTCTCGATCACACACAACTCTAAAGAAGCTTCCGAGGTAGTGGCCAAAGTTCTGTGAGGCCTTCATCCAACATACGTTATAGTTTGGTGGGCTGACTCTTACCAATGGGTTATACAACTCTATTTTTGGGAAAAATTAATGAAAACTTCAGCCAAAGTGTATCAAGAAACCATTCGTAAATCCATCGACGAATGGCCCGACCACCCTTAAAGCTATGGGTGGACACTTCGAATAACTAGTTTAGTACGTTAAAATATCTTTTTCACTCTCCATAATTACATATAAAACTTTAAAATATACTTTTATTTTTATTTTTTTTCTTTGCAATAGAACCTATGGCTAGACTAGGTACTTAGATCTTAGATACCATACGTTATTACGTATAACTATATACTTAGTTTATAGAATTCTTTTTTGCTCCTTTAGTTATAGTACTGTACTGTTAGCAATTTTGTTGCGCAGACTCAACAATAATAATACCTAAACAAACTTCAGTAATTCTTTACACATAACTAAAACACCAGGAATAAACTTATGAAATGACTTTCGCCAGCGGCTTCGCCCGCTAGGGAATTGTTTACTGGTATAAAAAGTATACTATTATCTAAGTCAGCTAATATATCCTATCTGTATACCAAATTTCATCAAAATCCGTTCAGTAGTTTCGGTATGATTGACAGACAAACAAAGAAACTCACATTTATAATATTATTAATAGGATAGGTAGTACCTATACAATGTGGTTACGTATCGCTATGGAACAAACCCAAATTAAAATTAGTTTTTTTTAGGATATATTAGAGAACGGTAAAACAGAATTGGCATCAATATCTGTAGTTTCTAGTTACCATTTCCTATCCCATAAAAGCATGCCATCTTAAATTGTTTTAAATATGTACTTGTATACAAAAATGAGGATTACTTGAGGCATCAATTCCGGGTAGTACGTGGTCATATCACAGTATTTATTGCTTCATGTTTATTGCCTCAATAGGAATTAACAAAAATACAATATGTAAGTAGGTACATTGTTTGTCTGGTGCCAACACATGACGTAATCACAATGCTTCTGTCTTACGTAAATAGCCAACTTTGCTTGGCTTTGATGTCTTGGTTACAGAACTTCTGTGATAATAATATAGCTATGCATAGAAGATAAAACTATAGGTAAGTAATTCTTCTTTAATCAGTTTAATTTTTACACAAATAAAGGTAAACAATTAGGATTTAAAATTATAGACAAAGTAACCAGATCGTGCAGATAGAAAGTTCGATACAACTATTAAGGCTGGGAGTAACGGCAAAAGAGAAAACGAGACCAAGTCAAAGCTCCCGTCAACAAAACCAACAGTCGGAAGATGACGTGTTGCACCCTCGCTTTTTAAATCAATACTCGCAAAAAGAAATACCATTATTGTAAAAGTGCTCCGTAAAATTCTTTTCTATAAAGTGACCCACACATTTATAAATTTTCCCTATTATAAAATTATTTAAGTACGCAACTACGAAAAGAAATGAAGTTAGCCCAGCAGTGCCACAAATACTCTTTTGATAAACGAGAGTCTAGATAGATCAAGAATTAATTTCAAAATCGAAAAATTGACACACACCCCACGTTCACAAAAATTAAAAATATACAAATAAAGAATATCTATAAAAAAAAACTTCAAAATAAAAATACAAAATAATTAATGTATTAACACTCCATTCAGAATACAGACTTTAAATGAAGCAACATTATACTTAATGCAAAAGTTCCCGATACTACAAAACAAAATCCAAAAACAAACACATCCATTCTAATAACTATGATACACCTAAATAACAAAACCGAATCTCACATACAAATAAATATACCAGTGACAGTAACTAAGAAACAATGAAAAAGTAATCAAATTTTGTATATTTGTTATGATTCAAAACAATTTCCTCCAGATCAGAGTAAGCAGATTAATTTTTAGTATGTACTTGTATCATAAATGGTCAAAGAAAGAAAAATATGGATAAGACATTTTTCCCAAAACACATTTCTGGATTTAATTGATCATTGTTCCAGTGGTAATTGATATAATTATTCTATTTAAAAGTAGAAAAAGAAAGGCATTAAAACTATTTAAATGTATATACCCTACTACTTGGTTGAATGGTTGTGCAATTTGATTCCTTTTATGCTTTAAATCTGATTATTCAAACTTTAACTTAATTTTTTATAAATCTCCTATCTGAGTTTAGGAAAAGAAATCCTAATGATTAATTAGTTCCAGAAAAATATCCACATTAGTGTATATGTTTCAGATCAATGACCCCAATTCAAACTACCTACTCTAATCACTACTCATAACATCCTTTTCTATTTGAATGAAATTAATAACTTTTTACTTTCATTATACCACGAAAGTTAAATTGAAAAGTTAAAGTTAAATTGAATAATACATATAATTTAATCAATTATGCATCTTGCACAACAACTCAATCTTTAAAAAATGTTTAAAAATTTGCCCGTCCCAGGTATCTAAAATGGAATGGGTTTTTTAAAGATGAAATATGATGAATTAATGTTTCTACTTTACTATCTGTGATGATGTTCCTAATGCTGATAATTTTGTGAGAATCTTTGTCTTTTTTTTTTAATATTGTCAAAGACTATTTTTATTATTACACATCAACAAAGTAAGCAATTCTGTTCCTTGAAATGGTAGCCATCCTGACTTCAAAATATATTCACACTTTATTTTGATTTCATACTCAATTCACTTTTCCTCAAATCAATATGAAACATTAATTTATTATTTATATTTGTTCGTTACATTATACACATATTAGATGATTTTTATTAGAAAAAAAACAAAACAAAAGTTTAGAACTTGGTAAATTAGAATCATAATTTTCTTTCACACCAGAGTATGACAACAATGTACATAGTCTGTTAAAAACATGTGATAAATATGTAAATAAAGTTTGATTGAAAATTTTATTTAGAAATTACTTATTTATATTTATTTATATCTTACCAAATAACAACTTCAATAAATAAAAACACTCAGTATCTTACATGTCTTCAAAAGCATGAAGTGCTCACAAAATTGCCAACCCAGGAATTAGATCTAAGTGCAACATTACAACAGCCAATAAGTAACATTTTTATTATTTTTCAATCTCATGGTTGTTAATATTTAAAGCAATAATATTAACAAAGTTACATAAGCCACAATTGGAAAAGGAAATCAGACCTAATCATGATTTAAATCTACCTAATCTATTCATCCTTTTTGCCATCTCCTCCGCTAGACACTGTAATCTTCTTCTGTAATTTGCTGTGTTCTTCTGCAAGACGATCATATTCCCTATTCAGACTTTCCGCTTGAGACTTAACTGCTTCTTTATCCTTTTTTTCTTTTGCTAACTCTTTTTCAAGGACTGAAATTTTGCTCCTCAGTTCCTCAGCCTCTTTTTTAGACTGCTCATCTCCTGCTCCCTGCTGAGCGAGCAGAGTTCTAGCGGTTGTAGTCGCACTTTGCGCTTGACGGAAGCTAGCCTCGCTCTGTGCTAGTAAAACGGCCAGTTCCGAAATCATCTGTACCAGTCTACGAATCACAACAAGGAGGAAGAGAGCAAAGCCAGAAATGTAAAAATTTCTTTGAGCACGGAACAAACGCATATTACCTTGCATTTCCGCATCGAGATGTTGATGTTCGCTTTTATCACCTCCCTCGGAATACTTTTGCATCTCACGAATGGCATCCAAAAGGCACAAAACTAATACGCCGACCAGCACAAAAAAATATATATAAGCTTGATTTCCTATATATGCCAGAAACTTCGATTTGAAGAATTTTTGCCATCTTGAAGGACTCGCAATAGGCAAGGTAAGAAGTAGCACAACCGCTATTTCGGCGTACAGAAACGTGGCGATGATAGTCCACTGTAGACTCATGATTGTGGAAGTAAAAATCAAACTAAACTATCAATAAGCCGGTCCCAACAATAAATAAGCTATGTCGTGATGAATAATTGTGAAATCGGGTGGTCGAATTTAACAGTGACTCACATCGAGAATGACAACATCAAATGACGTAAAATCAATTCAAACTTATCTTGTATAAATCAAAACAGAATAGAAATATTACCGATTATTACAACAAATTCAAAGAAGTTATGAATTTTGATAAAAATATAAGTATAATGGAACAGAGCCACTAAATTCAATCTAAATGACGTGTGGGTCAAAGTCAAGTAAAGTAACTTTCATGTAACTTTGAAGTACTACCAGTATTATGTATTATCTCTATGGAAGTACTGAAGTACTACTTCTGTAAAAATCGTATTAGCGTCATTGAGCGTAGAAATTCTATTGATTCAATTATTTATATATAAATACAAAATGATTGATTTTACATGTCTCAGATATTCTATTACTATATTATTTCGAAACTTACATCATTTATACCACGAAACGTTAAACTTAAACGTAAACTTGTATTATCAATTCAAGATTAAGCGGATGCCGTTTTTTGAAGTAAGTACAGAAATCTGAGTGAATTCGAATTCGGGTTTTGATTTTAACAGAATCGCAGGGCTGTACTCGAGTCATTTCTTTATTGAAGTGAAAACTTGTATAGGTTCTGTGCTGTGTTAAGACCAGCAAAAAGATATGTGTTCTAAGTTCTCAAATTTAGACATAAACTTAATTGATAATTATACATTGCTAAGATCCTAATGTAGCTACAGCTCTTGCATTACGGAATTCCGAGACAACGAAGATAACACACCATACCGGCTCAACCCAGGAAACAGTACAAGAAAATTTTATTTTCTGTATTGACCCGACCGTGAGTCGAAGACGAGACCTCTGAGATGAAGACACTTCGAAAATTTAATTACGACCCTGCAATACGCCTGTTATACAATCGATAATATCATGATAATTTGACTTATTATAACATACATCGATAATATTTTTTTATATTTCATTTCATTCACATGTCTATCGAATGGTAGACTCGTGGTGGTGTCGAATCAAAGTTTTTCTCCAGCAGAACTGTTTCAAACAGAGCTTCGCTATGAGCCTGATATTAATCCACCGTCACCATTTTCACCTGAACAAGAGCAAATTGAGACGCCTACTGAACCCTGTTGGTCAATCTATCGATCCCATCCTTGTTCATAGTGGATCGCATAACGATGATGATCCACTATGCTGCTCAATGAGAAAACGACGAGGACAACGTTACTTAAACTATTATGTGTAAATTTAGAAAGGAAAGAATGTGATGATAATATATTTTTTTGTAAATTGTCTATTAATTATATTTATTCCATAGGGTAAGTAAGAATCTGCCAAGGACTTAGTACTTATAACAGGACTTATTACTCCAAAAAATTCTAATTAAAAAATAAACCTTCATTTATTTTCTACTGATATCCCTTTGAAGTGTCATCGCGGGTATTTTTATTTCAGTAGTTCTTCATTCTTTGTTCTTCATACGTTCCAACAGTTAAATTGGTGAAAAGTGTAACGTTTATGTTTGTCCAAGTCAATGTTGTAATGGTTGCAATACGTTTTTTTACGATTAAAATAAAAACAACAGCATTGGAAATCTAAAAACTATGTTTAATATGAAGTCTTTTAATATGAAGATGATGATATATATGGTCATAGCAAAGTATTAACTCAGATTTCCAAAAAATTAAGAAATGTGACAAAAATGTCTAACAGTTTGGGCAGATCTGTGAAGTAGAAAACTCAATTGTCACTGTGAAAGGGTTTCAAAATATTTCAACAAACGTTATTATATTTAATTGGCTACGAAATTTTGATCGTAAATCTGGACTTGATAAAAACAATTTTTAGTATATTGATTTCAAAAGAAATGTTTATTAGAACATTTGAACTGCATTCAATTGTTATCAATGTTAAAAATATAAGTATATTATAAACAAATATTTATTGAGTGTTTGCTCAAAAATTCATTCACAATGATGGCCTGTGCGAAAGCTCATTATCGTGATGCAAGAATTTTCTTTTTACAAATCAGGCCCTTTCGTCGAATTTGCCCTCTCAAACACCGCTTAACGCTCATATAATATTCCTTATTTACCGTTTGATCTTCCTACAAGAATTCCGAGTGCACAACACCGCGTTAGTCAAAGAAAACAGTCAACATGACTTTGACTTTTGAACGATTTTGTCTTGGTTTTTTCGATTTCGGTTCAGTTGGAAAGCGCCACTCCGAAGCTTGTTGACTAGTTTGCATTTCAAACTCGTAAACCTACGTTCGTCACCAGTAACATTGCGTTTCATGAATTTTGGGTCAGAATTGACTCGTTCTAGCATGTCCTCAGCGACTCTCATGCAATTAAGTTTTTGGAGAAAATTCAGGTGTTTTGGGACTAGCCGAGCGGTAACATGTTTCATAGCCAAATGATTAGTTAAAATGGTATGGATCGACTCTATCTAATGGTATGGATCGACTCTATCTAATGGTATGGATATACAGAAAGTTCGGAAAAGTAGATGAGTACGTACATGCAATTCGATGTAGAGGAGATTTATGACCGATATTCACAGATTGTGCAATCTCATGAGTAAACAAACACTTGCACACAAAAACTATGTAGAACATACATATTATAAGGGCGAGCTATTTGTGCTATATCGCTCATCGATATCGAATTGCACGAAAAGCCTATAAAAAGGTTAAAAAAAGATTATTATCTACGATAATAGCCACAGTAGTTAAAAAACTGAACCATAATATGAATAGTCTCACTTAATTAAAATGTTATTGTCGCCCTTTTCTAAAGGACAAATAGCCTCTATACTTGATATTTCGCTTGACTTGGTCTTCAGCTGGGAGTACTCTGTCCTGTTATAAGTCCATGGAAACTGCCGTTTTATTTTATTCTTCCATAATGAGGTAGTATTTTAAGAAAAAAAAAAGCACTAAAAATACCTCACAAGATGGCGACTCAAGAAAACAAATGGACCAAAGATAGTCATTTCCGTTCCTTTTAACTAATATATTAAAAAACTGAAATTTACAAAGTTCGAACATTATACATCAATACAAATACGAAAAACTATAAATAGTATAAGAGTTGTTTATTGAGTTTTGAAAATGAATTGACTTTTATACATGAAAGAATGAAAGAAGGATTGTCACGGTGAAATCAAGAAAGCTCCGTAGCGACATCTAGTTTGATTTCTGGAACTAATGGTTTTTTTATATACTTCCTCATTACTTATGCTCAATTAACCCTTAATTGCTTCTGCTCGACGACGAGTAGAAGCAATTATTTTCAGCGTTTTAACTCCACACTCATTAACAAAAATATATCATTCTGCCAATTCTCTCTAATGAAAACTAAATATTTACATCTGTTTTTCTGTAATTTTATAATATAAATATTTTTTATGAAAATGAATTGAGTTAAATATAATCACAACTTTGTATCTTTGAATTGAGTTAAATATAATTAACAACTTCGTATCTTAGTCAGTATCATTCAGTCGATACATAATGGATCAAACGGGAACTATAGTCTATCTTGCGCGCTTTGGCGCTAGATAGACTCGTCTCACGTCTACATTTCAAATCTGAGTTTAATGAATTGAATCGAGTCCAACAAGATATTTCGAGAGAAATAGTAACAAGACTGCACAGACTACATCACTAAGTCCGTAAGCAGATTGACGTCATACCGCGATTCCGTCAGCGTGATAAGTTTATTAAAAATTGATTGATATAATTTAATTACTGTTTTAAGTGTTTATATAATGGCAGATCCAAAATATGAAAATCTGCCCGGAATAGTCAGTACACTTACTAACAACACCAAGTAAAATATTGATTAAAAATGTGTTCGGGGGTAATAAAGTGGCCTATTTATTTCACAGGCCTACGATCAACCTGATGTTTATGAAACCGGTGATTTGCCTGAAGCCGACCAACCAGAACCCTTTGAAGAAGAGGAGAATGAATGCATTGAACAACTGCATCTTTCAGTGAAAGATTCCTTTAATAAATTTAAAGGCAAATTCCTAACTGGAACAGTTGATTTTTCCGATAGACTTAGTCGGAAAACACGTATTGGATATAGGTATTATTTATAAGCCAATTATTTTAAAACTCCAAAATAATAAACTTGATTGGTTGATGTATTAAGAGAATTAAAATTATGTCATGACAATAACTTTAGATTTGAAACACTCTTCTCCAATTCTTTTCAATTGATAGATTATTTTATTTTTGTTTAGAACTAGAAATTTCTTTTTCTATACAGAGCAGGAGAATGGGAGTTAGCAGCTGAAGGAGATCCTGAAACAGCTGTTGAGCGCTATAACAGACTCCGATGTGAGTTTTCTGAACTTTTAGAACAAGTCACTGAAGAGAAGAACAAAGCTTCAGAAAGTGAGAAGGTGAAATTAACGAAACAACTTTTAATTTGAATATAAACCAAAAAGGTACATAACAGATACTTATAAATACATTACTTTATTTTCAGGAAGAATTCACAAAATTGGCAACTCAAATTAATACAACCAAAAAATTATTAGAAGAATTGAAACTGGAAGAAGGGGAACTAATTGACCCTAAGGCAGAAAAATTAAAGTATGTAAAAGTTAATAATAATATTTAGAATAGTGATGATGATTGGGTAAAAAAAAAAAGAAATTCTATTTAGTCCGTCAGTCAGATAGTAGAAAAATATTAGTTACATATTTTTTGCATCAATTTAACAAGATATGGTAAGATAACTATTAAATAGCTATTAAAGCTGAGGAGTCTCACTTTATCACAACTATGTAGAAAATGTAAGAAACTGTGATGTCATGCAACATTTCAAATTAATCTTTCTAATTAATTGATTACATAAAAAAAAAATATTTAATATTTTTCAATTATCTACCTGACGGACAGACATGAAGTTTTTCATCACCTACATTCAAAGATTATGACTGGCAGCTATTCACAGCTTTGCTCATTGAATATAAGTAACATGCACAGACATGGCATGCCTTGGATTGATGTATTGTATTGATTTGTGTATATTGATGACCAACAGTGAAAAATTAGAAAATTAAAAACAGACAGCCACTTCTAGGTTGCCACAGATAGACATAGTATAAAAGTAAGAATAACCACTTACAATCACGACAATAACACTAAAAGCTTTCAAAAAATAGGTTAACTATAATGCCCTAATTAACACTTTGATAATGTTAAAAAGGTTGACGTTTATTCACTATGATAGTTCGTTACATCTATTGCATGCAAGCCACAGAAATTAATTCTGCCGAAGTTTTGAAGAAGCTGAGGCAAATATAATAATGGATTGAACCTAAACTGTTTAGAAGATTGGATGGTCCAAATAGAGGCTTAAAAATTTTTGCTTACATATCTGAGGACCCCTGTAGACTAAGGGGCCCATATCATTGATACGTCGGTAGCTAAGTCCTAAGAGGGCGTAACATGGTAATGTGAATTAAAACTTCCTCCCTCCCCCCAGAAAGGAAACTGGGGCCACACCTCTTAATTTTGCTGCCCCTAATATTGTATTATTGTAGCTTACGTTCTGTGCATAAATGGCCAGTTACACAAACATCACTAAATCTGTCATTCGTTTGAAGCAATATTACCGAGACAAAATTAACATTCATTAGAGTAGCTCGGTGGCGTAGTAGATAAGCGCCGCGGCCCGCGATCGTAGTCGTTAAGCAACTTTCGCAAGGGTCTGTCACGGGATGGGTGACCAAAAAATTATTATCTCGAGCTACTCCGTGCTTCGGAAGGCACATTAAGCCGTTGGTCCCGGCTGCATTTGCAGTCGTCAATACCCTCCAATCCGCATTGAACCAGTGTGGAGGGTCATGGCCCATCCTCCTTAACCATCCATAAGGAAGGCCTGGGCCCCTGCAGTGGGAACGTAAAAGGGCTGGTGGTGTGGTGGTGGTGGTGGTGTAGAATTTTTAGGTTTCATTAAACCTTTATGGATGGTTGTGCAACTGACTGAAAGATGGGTTAAAAAATCATTCATATATCCCATGATATATTAATGATTTTTTAATTTCATATTCAAGCTTATATTTGAGTTGCAGTAATTGTCATCTCTTCCAGGGAATATCTTTCAGTTAATGCAAAGAAGAAGGGTGAAGTTGTAACGGCCCATCTTAAGCTCAAACCAGAAGTTAGTCTTGCTCAGACGACCAGGATAGCCCAACTAGAGCACAGGTGAGGACAGCAACTTATTATATCACAAAACGAGTGACTAATGACTTTGCCCGAGTAATTAGTTCCCTAATTCACCTGCTTATGGTGTAGCTTTTCTTTTTAGATCCTCAAAGTTTCATACTAGGACCTGTATTTCCATAGGTTATCCCCTTCAAACAAATACCTCTTTATAATATTAGAACAGCTATGGTGATTTAAGTTCTTCAATGGTATTATTATTTATCCATAACAAACAATAATTTATCCATAAAAACCATTTGTTATGTATATATCAGGCAATAATAATATCAGACAAATTTCTATAATTATAATATTAACACCATTTAATATTTCAATTTACTGTATTCTATGTTCATGTAAATATACTGTATACGTGTAAATATCTTTGTAGATTTCTCTTTTGATATATTTATCTTTATAAATAAATATATCAATTAGACAAAAATATAAATATATCTATGTAAAACGACATTATAACCTAGTAAACCTATGTATCACATGGAAGCAATAACGTGAGAATGCATATTTACTCCAAGCTACAGATTTTGGAAATGAATGTTAAATACAATCTACACTTGATTTATTATGAGCCATTGCTCATCTTCCCAATGACATTTCATTGGGAACATTGAAATTTTCTAAATTATTAGTTCATATATATATCCTGTTCAGTCTATTTCAATCAAGCGTATTTTTCAGATTACATAAGTTAGAACAAGTAGCCGGTGTAAGAGATGAAGAGGCTTTCCAAAGGCTACAAACGATAACAGGCCAGGTATGCTATAATATCAATGACAACATTGTGCGACAGTTGTTTCTGAGTTTTATTATTTTTTATCCCAATACATAGGAATACAAGTTTGGTGATAAGTTACCACACCTTGTTTTTTGGCATCTTTATTTTTGTTGAGTTGATCGGATACACTCACACACTTCTGTGTCGCGTCCGTTCGGCTCGACACTGGAACACTCGCTGAAGGTGGAGGCGCCCGTAACTATAGAACGTTTCTGTAGTGTCCAGTTCTCCATACATATTAAAACCAGCCCTATGGAGGTCATACACGTTAGGGTTTACATGATGATTTTAGCGATTCATGCATAACCTAGTATGTAGATATATGATAAAACTGTACAATTTTCAGCGCACGTATATGTAACTAGGAAAATATCAAAAAAAAATATATTTATATCACTCGATTACGTTTGCTCGCGAGCGTAACCGAGTGTGTGTGTCATTCGCCGAGCTCACCTGCACAGTTCTCAATTGTCAATAATAAATGATAACAGTGTCAAATAAAGGTTTGTTATGTATATGTTTTCTTTTGGTGTAAATCTCAAATTATTTATCAAAATTGCATGAGAAAACTACTCTTCAATGACCAACGTTCACATCTTTCAGTGCGACAACTTTTTCTCTTCTGCAAAACACACGCCAAGTATAGCTATCACAACGTCAAGTATCTGAGAGTATTGCAAAACTGTGAATACAAACACTAACGCTTATGCGTCACATGAAACTTGGTTATGTACGGCTAAAACCATCATGCAAATCCTAACGTGTGGCAAACACAAGGGCAAATCCGCCACCGGTCTATGGTGTTGTGTATACAAACACTAACACGTATGGGTCATATGAAACGGCTAAAACCATCATGCAAGGGTTAACGGCCCTAACGTGTGGCCAGCACAAGGGCAAATCTGCCACCGGTTGTCAAGTAAACGATACGTATGGTGTTGTGAAGGCGACGTTGTGCGGGGCCGCGTACAATACAAACACTGACACGTATGCGTCATATGAAACTTGGTTATGCACGGCTAAAACCATCATGCAAATCCTAACGTGTGGCAAGCACAAGGGCAAATTTTCCACCGGTGACGTATGCGTCAAGTAAACGATACGTATGGTATTGTGAAGGCGACGTTGTGCGGGGCCGCGTCGTGCCTGGCGGCGCAGAGCGCGCTGGTGCGCGGCGGCGAGCTGGCGGGCGCGGAGGCGCGCGCGGCCGCGCTGCTCACGGGCCTCGACGCGCTCAAGGCCGCCGTCAAGCCCACGCTGCCGGAGCAGGACGATAAGGTAAGTGTGGACCGCATCCGTCTACTGTATTCGCAATCCCCAGTGCCTGGCACTAGACTGCTAGAAGTTAAACTCATTTGTGTGCGCTTTTACAATAAGGTCCCAAGCAAAATATTATACAATTATATATCATGCAGTTTAAATGTTCTATTAAAAAAGCTTATTATAAGGTATCCCTTTATATAACAGATAAGAATCCTTTTACTTCAGTCCAGCAAACTGGTAAGTGATTTCATATCTGATACCGCCAATGCAGTGGAGATCCAGGGGGAGGCCTATCCTCAGCAGTGGGCGTCTTACGGCTGTTACGGCCAACGGGTTGGTGACGGGAATATGACAACCCCCGCCCCCCTCCCCCCAGTATGTAACCCCCTCCTGCTGCCAAAGCTTGATGATCTTAAATGATTGATCCGCTCTTGTTCGTAACAAGTGTGTTACGAACAAGAGCGGATCAATCATTTAAGATAAAATATTATTGCATCTTAACAATGGTTAAGATGCAATAATATTTTATCTTAAATGATTCAACTAACATATTTTAACATCCATAACCTATCATACGATTAACATAACGATAATATAAATGCTTTAATATTTTGTATCTTAAGATGTTATATTATAGCATCTTAACCGTCTGTTACGACTTTTACGTGATTGTCAGGTACACGATAATTATCGCTGTCCATAGAACTCTGTATCGTTTAGTACTTTAGTAATCCGTATAATACTAAATTTTGTTGTACGGGCCGCAACGGCAACGATACAACGTTCTGTGGATAGCGATACGTATCGTTTATTTCAATCAACGATCACATAATACTTTAGGTCATGCTACCCTATAAGATTTTAAATTACTTATTGTAGTTAAAAAGGGAGATCGAATCAAAAGGTAATAGGAAGTATGAATAAAGAGTAATTTGTAAATGTGTTAATATAAATAAGAAATTTCAATAATACAAATCGAAGTCTGGAAAATTGGTGCCTCTGGGCAACCCTAACCTAACCCATCCTATTATAATCGAAAGATTTTCTTTTTACTTGTTCTTCGCTTATAAAATGACGTAATGGGGACTGGGAATGATTTCTGCCCTTGTCTGAATTTTTTTTGTATATGTTGTTTATTTTAGAATTACAATGCTAACATTGTAATTGTGTGATAAAAACAAACATACATATCTCTTATTAATCTTAATATATTTGTTTCCAGGTCAATGAACTGTACAAACTATTGAAACAGATAGATGGAATATCTCATACAGAGATTCTGGAGCGTATGGAAGCATTGGAAGCCCTGCACAATCAAGGTATAATAGATAATATAAAGATTTGAAAAAAATATAGTCTATACAGTATACATAGACTACATACCTCTTTAAGATTGATTGACAGAGAATATCTCAAGTATTAAGTCCGCCATAGGAATTGACTGGGTAAAAAATCTATTTAGTCCATCATCAGATAAATGCGTAGGGTCCCGCTACGTTACAACTATGAAGAAAATGTACAAAGGAGTGACGTCATGTGACGTTTATTTATTACACAAAAATTTTATCATAGAATTTTCTAACATTGATAATACTTAAGTTACGTAAGTCCCGTTCAGGTAGATAAAATTTAACTTCAACTAAATTCTAAATTTTATCTTGGACTTTCACTACCAACATACAAAAAGCAGAGTTTATAAAATACTAAAATATGAAGTAATCTGATCGAAACACTGGATTCTGGCGAAATCCACAAGGGCAACGCCATTGATTAAATAGAGGAAGAAAATTCTTTAATAAAATGAATGAAGAAAATGGTAATAATTTCGATTGTACGATTATGCATAAAGTATTTTATTATAAATAATAATATAGTTTTATTTCAAATGCATTCCAGCAAGTAACTTTGGTAAATCGTTGACCGAGTTGGAAACACTCCAGAGTACAATCGCCAGTGGAGTACAGAACAACAAGGAGTTACTTCAGGGAGTGCAAGAGGTAAATACAATCAATTGGCGAAATGTTTTCAGTTTTGAATAATCTTGAGTATACCTTTGAAATGGGTGCTGCTGTATAGACAGTTTCACGAGAGTTCCCTTGCTATTATTCCTTTGTAATAAAAGCGAAAACGTGTTCCAAGACTTCTTTCATGAAACGACCTCTAGGAGTCGTATTTACTGGAACAACTCGACATCTTATAAATGTTGCGGTCCCTACCAGGTAGTTTTAAATAATGGCGGTACCTGGATTAGGTCTTGTAATACTTTATCCACCTAGTATTTCTGCAAATTATATTTTTATACTTTACTACTTCATAAGTAGATTAGACCAAGACAAAAGGAGTAGTAGGAAGGCGCTTAATGCATTGCGTTAATTTACTAAAAACAATCTTGATTCTTATAATTTTGCAAATAAGGTGCCCAATAAATTATCTACGTCTAGTCTGACCAATTATGTACTATGTGAAACTACTAATACTAGATGGAACAGGTATTAGGATTAGATAATGGAATTGAAAGGAGTATTAGATAATGATTGGAATAGGTGAACTTAGTATAAACCAACTCTATGACTGTAGTTTTGGAAATTGTTCTCTGCATATAACAAAACACAAACGCGTACCAATTTATTTAAACAATAATTTATGATTGAGGTTAGTTCATTCTCATTTTTTATATCTATATATAATATAAAAGTTTTGAGTAATCTTATTTTATTTCACAGGTATTCGCACACAACGTCGACAGCCTGCAAAAAGAAATCAAAAAACTAAGCGAAAGAATCACCAAGATCGCCTCCGCCACGGCGTGATAACGCATATACTTTAGATTGAAATGTTATAATGCGTAAAAATCATATGTATTTAGATATTTTATGCACGCATTCGGAACAGAATAGATTGGCGCGTTCACTGAGAAAGGCAATAGCTAAGATAATTATTGTCATTCAAATAAAGTAACGTGGTAAAGTAACATTACACTTTTGCAGCATAATTCTAAAATGCCGAATTATCAATATTTTGCTATCAATGTAAAATCTCTCTGCTTGGCTGTTTTGTTGAATGGTAACAGTTCGTCTTTCATTTTATGACTTGTTTGATGAACCAGAACAAGAATCTTTTTTTAAATGAACATCTCATGTTATTTTGAATATATTTAACTTGTGAATAGTTGTGAACAATGGATTAATAGTTCATATTTTTGTTAAACAAATATTGATGCTATTATCTTACACATCTGCTCATCACAACATAGCACTAATAGTTATCAAAACTAAATCCTTATCTTGTTTAAAACTTAGCGTGTTAAAAAAATCAAGTTTCCAATAGCATGTAATTTTCCTGGTGCATACTAGTTAATTTCTCAACAATTGAATAAAATTATTATTTTTAACATTTACCATTTTTATTATAAGCTGTAACTTAGCTTAATTGTAAGTTTGACTGCTTATTGTATAATTTATTAAAAATAAAAAATATATTTATCTGGAAACGGTCTTCCTTTTTTTGCTTTGTTCTGGGAATGATTTGTATCACCAATCATGATGATGAAATTAAACAAATGTTACATTACAACAGTAATGTTTATTTTAAAATTACACCTTAGAACCTAAGCTTACGGAAGAACCACTTGTTCTTTCCACTCTTGTATCTCTCTTCAAATTGGACACGTGTGTTGAAACGCAACTTCTTACGCTTGGCAGGGTCTTTTAGGTCTTTTGCACTGAATTTCGCAAAGCTGAAGTCCACTGAGAAACGGGTTGGCATCAAGTGGTTGTAGTTCACAAGCTGAAATAATAAATGCCATTTAAAAAAGAACAACATCTGGGTAAAGATAAAATTTAAAGCAAGTTTTGTTGCTATCAATTTTATTAATGGATTAACTTGGTAAATAACCGAAAATATTGCAATATAACTTGCAAAAAAATATCCTATATAAAAATAATGACAAATATATGTGGAGTGGCTTCATTTGAAGCCAATTAGATACATAGTGGTAAACCATAAATTGCAAAGAATAAACCTATGAAACATATACAACAACCTATGATAATGATTTAAAAATTTTTGATATACTGTAATTTATAGTTATACTAGCTTTCCAACAGTGGCTTCACCAAAGTGGTCCTTAGGGTTCTGTGGGATACAAAAGTAGCATAACTTTTAAATGCTTAGAATTATCTGTATACTGAATTTCAGTAAAATCTGTTCAGTCATTTTCGCATGAAAGAGTAACAAACATACATACATCAAGCTTCCATGTTATTAATGTTTGATAAACAATGATATTTAAAGAAATCAAAATGTAGTGGATTATAGAATCATAGAACAAGAGTTGAATAAAATGTTATTTATCTTGGCTTTCAATGTTGCTTGTTTATAGATCTTTAATGTGAATGTGAATTTGAAATCATTATTTTAATAGTACTTGTAATTATAGATTCTATTATTAAAAAAGATGTCTACTGCATAGAAAATATTTCGCAGTTTTCATAATTGACTAAACATTTTTGTTGAAACTGCAAACAAATATTTTATAATAATAAACATAAAAAATAACATAAATCTCAACAAATATACTGAAAACTTGCAACATTATACAAAAATGAGTGTTCTATTATTAAATTTTTTTTTAAGCAGTCATTACTCATTAGATGAGTCTAATCTAAATGAAATAGTTACACTAAGCTCTTATAAGTGGTTATATCTTTTAAGAGTAGGAGGCATCTCCATCTTTCTTAAACATATGTTAGTAAAATATTTTATAGTCTCACTCACCTTCACAAAAGGCTTTATTTTGGAGCGCTTGTGGATTTTGTTTTTACCCATCCTCTTGTGTACTTTGCGGGGATACCTGTCGATGCCGGCGACAAAAGCGTGTCCATAGGGTTTGTCTGATGTGCCTTCATCGTAGTTTTTAACTACGGTAGCCTTGCGGCCAGCGTACCGGCCACTGAGGACCAGTACCACCTTCCCTGGTTTCATGATCTTACCCATCTTGGATGGATCTGAGAAAAACAAAACTAACCTTAGCAAAACAACCTCTAAACATAGAATCAACACTAGAAATGTCTAAAGATACGAGATCACTCGCTTAAGTATTCTGTTATTAGCGACACCCAAGGCACATTTAGAATCGGAATCACTTAAAACTGTAAAGACATCAGGAACTAAAAAAAAACATCTTTATTTCTACAGAGCATGTGAAATATTTACATCGTAAGATACTATAGCTCTCAACGTTTGCACTTGTGAAAGTTTTTACTAATATTACAGTAATGTCACTCAGATTTCAATGGATAATTTTACAATTTTTCCCGAAACTCACATTCTCTTTTCTCGTCGACAATAAAAAAGAGCGATGTTGCTACAGAAAATAAATCAAGCTTAGACAAATGTCAAATTGTCAAAGAAGACAAACACAGACTATTAATAAAATACTTGTTCATAAATAAAATCTGTAATCATTCACAGAAGATTTTATTTAAACAACAAATTTTGTGTTTTTAATCATATTTCTACACGGTAATCTTTCTTATCTAATTAGCATATTCCTGCATTACCAAATTTGAAGAGAAATAATGGTGGACATACATTTATGTGTAGTGTTGTTATTGTTGCTGTCGTATGCGCAAAAAGGGTTTAGCCGGATACGTATGACGAGTCGGCCCCCAAATGGGAATCGATATCGAAACTTATGTTTTAATATCGACTTGATGTTCAAACACGATTTATGTACTTTTCGCGACCGACTTCCGCTTTGACCTTGAGATAGAGAGCAAAATATCCGTATGCTTGACTATTACTGAATGTGATATATCTCTAAAGCTAATTAAGATAAAGAAGTGAAACTAACGCGAGGTGTTAGGTTACATTACAGAGTATATCACATATATTTTTTTATAATTTTTAGAATAAAAAATTACATTAAAAAAATAAAAAATAAAAAAAACATGTTTTTTTTTCTGAGTTCTCTGTGACTTACAATCACGAAATTAATATATGTTATGCTCCTTTGTGTGCTCTATTACCCATAAAAATTGCGTGAAAAAAAAGTTGGTGCAACACAACGAAAAAAAATTATATGTGATTTCTGTCTTATGGTATACCCCTGTATTATAAGGTTTTCACATTACATCATTGTTTTTTTTTTCGAAATTTCACATCAGCTTGTTTTAAAACATAAGTAACTAGTCTTAAGAGATGGGATAATAGTTAAAAAAGAAATGAAAAAAAAACAGCCAGTGTTCAATACTTGTTATTATTACTTTTTCGTGTCTATCAAAATACAAGAAACAAAATATTAATCATCGTCACTGTTTTAATTAATTACAATCGGAACACTTTGAGTCGCAAATAACTTAGTTAGGACCTCAGCAGGACGTACGATTTTGGACAAATATCATCCATATGATAGATAATAAATAATAGCTGCTACATGAGAACAGCATCCCACTGTACGTTTGCCATTGGGGCAAGCACAGCAATAACGAAGAATACTATTGTAGTCATTACTTTCGGAAATATAGTGAATGTAAATTCGATAGACTTTTCTATTTATATGTCTTTATTTCACTTCTGCTTTGATGATATTAGGTGCTGATTTCACATATTGTACTGAGAGATTATTTTGATCGTCCATTATTTCGGCCAAGTTAAATGCTGCACATTTAGAAGTAGAAGCTTTTTTGTTAATATATGAGATAAGTCGACACTTTTCACAAAAAATATCATTAACTATTACGATTTTATTAAAACAGTCACTAAACACTTTAGCTTCTTCTTCATTCTTTATAATTTTTTTATAACCAGGAATCTTACACAGGTACTTGTTACAATTTTTACACTTTCTCGACATTATTACTTAATAATGATTTGGTTCGATAGTTAATAATTTCAAAATGCTGATACAAAATACCTATGACAGAATTTGAGTCCCAAACTGCCTTCTTGTGTAATACAAATGACTGCTACTTTAGCTAAGCAAACGATGCAGTAAACAGCTCGATAACAAGTTCGAACTTGTTTGTTTATACACTCACACTACAAGGCGCGAATCACATATAATTTTTTTTCGTTGTGTTGCACCAACTTTTTTTTCACGCAATTTTTATGGGTGATAGAGCACACAAAGGAGCATTACATATATTAATTTCGTGATTGTAAGTCACAGAGAACTCAGAAAAAAAAAACATGTTTTTTTTATTTTTTATTTTTTTAATGTAATTTTTTATTCTAAAAATTATAAAAAAATATTTGTGATATACTCTGTAATGTAACCTAACACCTCGCGTTAGTTTCACTTCTTTATCTTAATTAGCTTTAGAGATATATCACATTCAGTAATAGTCAAGCATACGGATATTTTGCTCTCTATCTCAAGGTCAAAGCGGAAGTCGGTCGCGAAAAGTACATAAATCGTGTTTGAACATCAAATCTATATTAAAACATAAGTTTCAATATCGATTCCCATTTGGGGGCCGACTCGTCATACGTATCCGGCTAAACCCTTTACCAAAATTGATGTCAAAAAACGAAAGAAAACATCTCGATTTTCATATGGCAATATCAGTTGTCTACTGTTAAATAATTACAAAATGTATATTGTTCTTAATGAAAAATAAGAAAATCCACTTTATCCCGGCACTCTGAGTTGGGACTCGAACCCACGACCTTACGATATCCGGGCAACTTAACCACTAAGCTAACAGGACTATCGATTATTTCAAGAACTTGTTAATTTTTCGCTATAACAGAGCATATTTTCATCAATGTTCAGGCTCATTCACCCAATGAGGAAGTATTTAAAAAATAAAAATTAGTTCTTTAAATCATACTAGATGTCACTCGCGATGTTTGGATATTGTCTATGATATTCATTCAAATTTTATTTCTGGCGTAATAAAAGTAAATTAAGCATCGTAAATTAATAAATATGACATCGTTTCGTGATTCACTTTGCACAAACGTCAATTTAACAAGGAATCATGTTATTTTATACGAATACCTAGTATATTTGATACATATCGGGTAAGTATACTGGGAGGAACAAAATGACCGACACAGCCGAAAATTTCAAGTTAGGTTACATGCAAACGTTCATTTTATTTGACAAATATTTAAAAATAGAGGTGTAAAAATGAAGTAAAAATTTTTAATTTCTAAGTGTTGACAGCCCTATAACGCGCATGCGCAATATCGTTTGTGTGCAGATTACAATGAACCGTGAAATACATTAATTTAATTTAATTATTTACCGATATCTTAATGATAGTCGATGCTGAAAATGTCCACTTCCTCTCTAAGGACTGAGCTAAGCACGCTCTGTTCAATGTCACTAAACTAAACTTAACACTCAAGACGAACACTCTAGTATCTGATTAACAAAATTTCAATTAAAATTGCACTAGAACAAAACAAAAATCGACAAAAAAGACGCTTCGCAGCGGTGCGTCGACGGCGATGCGCAACAACACTCCAGCGTAAAAGGTCGGCGGCGACTGATCGGCTGGAAAATACAGACAGAATAATGAAGCCGCCTGGCGGCTGGCGGGCCACCAGGCTCCTTTCATTATATTAATTTCCATTTTCCTCTATACAATTTAAAAAGAAATTAATTCAAAGATTGGAATTAATTAAATTTCATCTCGATATTAATCCGAGTTATCAGATACATAACAACATTGACAATTCTTTCTTTTTGGTTTAATGTCATTAGTTTACGTTTAGAGCCTAAATTTTGTGCTGCCATCTAGTGATATAATTTTTTGTAGTTTCTTTTTTTTTAATACTTCCTCATTAGTCGAAAGAAATATTTTTACAAATATTTCAACTTTCGCTCAGGTGAAAATTTGTTTTAATTATTATATTTGATCAATTTGAAAATTTCTAAACAAAAATAATCACTATGATTTAATAAATAGAGGTGATATCCTGCTTTATTGCTAACGATCTGTTACTCTTAATAGTTCTCGTTCATATTGGCACATCAAATTACCAAAAATAAGTTTTATTGCTTAGACATACGCCTCGACAGTATCTTATATAACGAACTGATCGAATAGTCCGATTAACCAATAGAGATTTTAGTAGTTGTAAGCATATGAGCTCGTAACTATTAGCTTATACGTCTGAACGTTTGCTAACCGTACATCGTTCTTGAACTACACAAGACTAATTGGATCATACGGACCATTAACACTCAGTCGCGTTAACACCCATATCTACATCGATAAGAAATCGTGACAAGGAGTTTTTTAAATTTACTTTAAAATCTCAATATATTCTCAATGAATTGACAGGTAATTGACAACCCTTACGGTTTTCTTTCACGTTTAAAAATAAATTAGTTTTCAATCAACTAATTTACTTTTAAACGTGATATTCACGATAAAGAACTCATATTCTATTTGTACTTATTCATATTTGTATTGATATCTAAGTTTCGAACTTTTCAAATTTTAATTTTTTAATATGTTAGTTAAAAGGAACGGAAATACTGTCTTTGGTCCGTTCATTTCCTGCAAAAAATCTTTAAAAATTTAAGTGCTTTCGTTTTTTTTTTAAATACTTCTTCATTCCTTATTACATAAGTTTTCTGCCATGAAAGTCCCGTCAAAATTTTTCTAACCGTTTCAGAGTTTAGCCGTAACAGACACAAAAATGAAAAAAATATTATTTTAGTATAGGTATGCACCGTGTATACTTACATGTGCATTTAGTAAGAAACGGTTAATTTGTATTTATTAAATTAAAACTGTAAAATCCGTTCATTCATTCATCGGGAGTACCCCGACAAAGAATAAAGTTACCTAATTTGTTCGTGGGAGTATTCCAGGATTGCCATAATAAGTAATAGAATATCTACTAATGATATTCACACTCGCGATCCGCTATGGGTTGCTGAGCCATCGAAGTAAAGTAAGTAGGTACTATACTAACGTAGCATTATAAACTCGAGAAACGCTTTGTCTACACTCACTTGTCAGTTTCTCAGGTCGAGAGTGAGATATCGTATGGGCCCACCCGAGAAAAATGACATGCTACGCACATGCAGAAGGGGCTCTGCCTCTGGACTTTCACTCGACACTATTTTTTTAGAAAACCCTGTATAATCAAAGGGGGCGCCCATTATATGATAAGTGTGATATACATATATAGTACACTCATCAAATACTCTTTAAAAAATCATGTCATCTAGGTATTGGCACTAAAACAAACATTTGAAATTTAAATATTATTTATACATAAATATTACAAAATTCACAACAGAACACTATTACACAATCTATACAAATTGTCCTTATAACTGTTTACATTGCAGGATATTTACATTCTTAATCTTAATAAATAGAAAAAAACATTATTGGTTCTATATTATACGATAAAACATATCAAGCTGTTGTATATACAATAAACTGCCAAGACATTCTTTACACATAACATTTATTAACATGTAACATTTTGTCTTATAAAAAATACAAATATAAGAATCTATTACTATTTAAAGAGATATTCATTCAAAGAAGACTCAACAAAACGTTCTTAAAATCACATTCAGTAACTTATGAATTATGATCCAAAAACTACTCTACAGATAAATACGTATTATATACCTAAACCACAACGACTTGATATGTTTTATCTATAGGGAATTGCATTTTAAATATGTCTATAACATACATATACATTTATATTTACATCAATAATCTCAACCGCAACATACACTATGGTTTCACACGCCTTCAATTCACATTGTGTCAATATAAAATATAACTATTGTACATATATCATAAACAGTGAGCCCAAATCTATTGCAAACTCTATTATCTGAATTCTTGATTACTTCTTTAAGATCGAAAAATATATTCAAATTAATTAAAATTTAATTTCACATTCCGATGCTAATATCACAACAACATTTTTATTTTTATGTTACTATCGAATTAAGGTTTAAGTAATAATATGCATGGATTTTATACTTTTAATCATAAGTATAAAATAAGGATTTTATTTTATACTTATGATTTTTCGTTTTATGTATTTTCTGAGGCTGATAAAAATATTTTTGTCTATAAGCTATATTACAAACAAAGAAACTGTCAACAAGAAAAAGAGCAACAGTATATAAATTCAATCAACGGAGTTTGCAACAGAATTTAAATAAATACACATATATTTAAATAATTCTAAGTACTGTTTTGGGATAACATTAAGGTGAGATCTGTTAAGGTTATTTCACGGCCAGGTAACATTGCGCCATATACAACGTTAATGTTTAAGTACATCTTAAAAAAATGATCTTTTCTGTCACTTACACTTAACAAATGTGTGAAGTAAAAAATTAAAAACTACAATACTTATCCAGTTTTATGGAAATTAGACTTAATCAGTTTACAGTTTGCGTTACGAATTGTGAATGAAAATTTTATCTTCCGTTTTGTTTCGTAAGTCATAGAAAGAATGAAAATCGTGTACGCACGCTATCTAATCGATTTGCGAGTTTACCAATATTATATTTTCAGAGACGATTTAAGGTTATGAAATTTTTAAAACGTGATGGAAGATACATAATTTATTGAGTGTTTTTATAAATTTCTTCAAATTATAGATGTACTTAAAAATTAACTGTGTATAATGCCATTGAAAAATTCAAGTATATTTCACAGAGAGGTCTCTGTTACATCTTTTATTTATAGCTTTCGACTGTATAATCAAATCCATGCGACATTTTGTTGTGTCTATGTATATAGGACACTTACCCTGGTGTATCAAAGAATACTTACTAATACTAATGTAAAATATAGGACATCACATTTTCTCATGTACAACATAAGGATAGATATGAAACAGAAACCTTTTAAAAAGAAAGCACGCAAGTCGCAATTGGTAAATTATTACAACTATCCTTTTTCCATACACGACAAATAGAAATGCACTATATTTTATAATAGTAACAACCCAATTTCATCAATATTAGACCAAAATCAGTGAAGTTGTTAGATTAGTGTCTTTAATTTAATCTTGATAGTCATATTATAGGTGAGGGTAATTAAATTACAAAATTTTAGCCATAAATATCAAATATATACGTTATAAAATGGACATGATTCTAGAATTAAAGTTATATATGACTCGAATGAACAATATTCGTATTAAGTGTTTAATATAGAAAGTTACTTTAATTTTTAAGAAAATAATCGAAACTAGATTCTGTCTCTATATACTTTGGGCATATCCATACTAAGACAACATGTCCCAAATAGTTCCAATCACTGATTCTAACGATTTGCTTGCAAACACTAATAAAGTCACTATAAATAATAATGTATGAATTTGTGACCGTAAATTAAACTCTGTTTTTATACAAACTTATAAAATGAAATTTTCATTCATCAAGTAGACCCATGTGTGTTTTTATATTGGAAGAATCAATGAAGAAATTTTTGACTCATAATGCAAACACACAATTCTAAGTTATGTAACTAATACAATGGATAAATTTGAATGTCTAAATCAAAAGTAATTAGTCGACGATTAATCAAAAAACTTACGTTTAACATCAATTCATGTGCAATTTCAAACTATTTTCCAGCTTACAGATTCCGATGCCCATCATCATAACCCAAACTACGAAAAATGCCATCACGGGCACAAAATCTCTTAGGAAGTCTAAACAAAAACTAAATTAATATTCCATTATAAAGTTGATTTCAGTTTCACATCACAATAACGTGCTAAGCGTAGGACGGATGTAGAACCCATGTAATTAATCCCAATATACATTAACTTCACGAATCATTTGAAAAAACAATCGAATATGAGGTGAGCTGAACTTTCTGTGTGACAGTCAAACGATATTAAAATATTTTATAGTGTCACCAGTTCGAATTAAGGGAGTAAAATTAAAATTCAACCGTGCTCTAAAGCTACCGCATCTATAAAATATTTGGCACATTAAAATTTTTCGTAGATCAATATGAGTTTCTTTATAGATGAAGAAATATATGATCACATTCTAAGGATCTCGATCGCTTTCCTTAAAAAAATGAACTAAATGAAAATTGAGGCTTATCAGTCGATTTCGTAAACTAAAGACTACACGACGCATCAGTCGAGTCAACATAAAACGGCGGCGGAACATCCGACAACTCGAGCAGAAAGTTTCTTAAAATTCCCCACTCGACTGCCGGGGAAGGTCGACCTTTCTCGAGTCTCACACGTACTCTATCGTATCGGAATCACAACACTGGGGAACTATGTACACACTATCTCGACATATTCACAATTAAACATCTGCAATCGACGATACGGATCGTTCACAAATGTACTTACATCACAGAACTCCAGTCACACGGTCGGGGCGAACGTTCGACCGGACACGCGACCTACAAGCCCGGCGGCCGCACAGCGACTGAGCGTTTCACACGGAGATCTCGTAGTTGCAGTCGTACACGGACGCGCGGTCGGGCGGGTCGGGGGGCGCCGCGCGCGCCTCTATCTGGTCCTGCACTTCGAGCGCGCGCACGAAGGACAGAGGGCGAGCGGGCCGCGGCGCCGGGTTCGGCGGGGCGGGGGGGCCGCGGCGTCGCGCCAGCGGCGACGGCTGCGGCGGGAACACGGGCACCCCGCCGCGGGGCACGTGCGGGGCGCGCTCCGCCCACAGGTAGTTGCCGCGCTGCGGGGAGGCGGCCAGCTCGCGGATGTCGTCGGCGGTGGGGCGGTGCGCGGGCGGCTCGGCGCGCAGCAGCTCGCCCTCCGAGAGGAACCGGCGCTGGGGCGAGGTGCGCGGCACCCCGATGAAGTCCGGCCGGCGCGGCTGCGTCGGCGTGCCGGGGTTCGACCTGGGCGCGGCGCACACGTCAGGGGTTTAATCGCGCGAGCTCGTCCGAGCCCTCGCTATCGTTATCGTACGGCCTACGGACAGAAGGAGAAGGGAGCTGCGGGGCGAAGCGTTTGCACGTGCGATCGCGCGACCGGCGCCGTTCGCCCGCGGACTGACCGCCTCGTTCAGAACTCGAGGCAGAATCGAATACGCCATCGGTAATTGGTGAAGCACGACGACGACCGATTACCCATACAAAATGTAAAAGTTATATAGAAACATGTGCGCTATGTGATCGTTAGCGGTACGCGAGTGTATGGTTCTGAACGCGCGACCGGGTCCGGCGGCGACGCGCGCCATCTACGGTTGCGGGGAGCATGCCAACGCCACATGCCTCAACTGTATGTACACTATGTTACAATATCATGTACACTCTACTACTACAATTGCAAGCTATATATACTGCTCACCGAATATTGATAAAATATGTTAAAAAGCTCGTTAGATATGTGTTGTTATAATAAACCGTTATATAATTTAGAAATAACAAATTATTGTTCCACATATTTTATCAGGATTGGTGCTCGAGACAGCGGTAACGCGACAACAGTTTACAATGGCAATAATAACAATTCTTGTTTTTTCCCAAACTTGACATAATAAAAACGATCAACGGTGCTTAAAATTATAATAACTTAAAATGACACATATAATATTACTAGCAAAACAATAATTATGTATGATTTTAAGTTTAATAAAATGAATTAAAAAACTAAGTACTGGCAAAAACTCTGCGTAAGCTCGATACAATGAAATCGATAGACAAAACACAGATATTGAATTCAAATTACCAGTTTGTAATCTATGATCATAGATCGACCATCGACAATCGATAGTACCCGTTACCGGCCATTGTATAGTGCGTCGCGTTAGTCCCACCGTCCGGAATGTCACAACAGCTTGCAAATAAAAAAAAAATAATATACCATGTTTAGTAATCATCACACACGTTCCGAATAAATCTTGCCTCCAATATACTCGTATTTCAATTATGTCACTATAGTATTTAGTAGCAGGCAAAACTTATACTGCAAGGAAATTATGGTTGCACACTTATTACAAAATACAAAACATGCCAATAGAAAAATAAACTCTATTACCAAATGACTTTTGTACAATTAATTATTTAAAAAAAATAAAAATAAGCACAAAACCGTTAAGAATTACTACTACAAATATTCTACTCTCAATAAAAACAGGCCGAAGAAAGGAACGAAATCATAACAGAACTTGAATTTTTACACATTTCTGAACCAAGTAGATTAATTAATTATATATAACGTCTTTTTGTCAGAAACAAAGAAAATATACTATAACGAGGATGTTAAAATATGGAATCTCGTTGCTCGATGGTCATAAAAAACTGTGTTCAGAAATATTGTCTCTATACACACCTGTGAAGTTTTGTCTTATAGCAAATCAATTGTGCAGCAACATGAAATCAAAACTTTATATACAAACACTGCTTGAATTAGTGGAATTTCTATATTTTTTTTATATAACAAAACAACCGAAACGCGACGCCGCCAGATGTGTCATTGACACTACATTTTATAAAGGGCCAAAAAGTTAAAAAGATGTTACAGTGACTTTCTAAATATCGCATAATAAGAAATAAATATATGACAGAAAATCCACCAAGACAATTAATAAGAACAAAAACAAACACAACAGTTCAATTTACCGTTCGGTATGTTGCTACGTCCACCTGCCGCGGTAAGCGGTAAACGTACAATTTTGTATATCTATATGTAGAACGATAAAACATGTCTTATGGTTACGTTAATATGGTCCACAATCGCCTACACAAGGAAGGTTAATAGAAAAATGACGTTAATTGTGCAAATGAATGGTATGACACCAAACGGAAGCCTTTTAATGAGTTTTCTATTTTATTTTTAAGTACAAACTTTAAAACTTTTTGTTTTATTAAAAAATCAATCATCATCGATTATGTTATTAAAATAATAATTTTATATAATTTCAATATGCAATGACTAATATGAAACCAAATTAATTGTGTATGATATCATTAAATACATGTAGTTTGTTTCGGGGGCAATATAACACCCATATCTATATACAGTTTAGTACAAGTAATTACTTAAGCAAATATTTTAATAAATAAACAAGAATTTTAATGAAGTAACAGTTCTTATTTCATTCAAATTCTCGTCTATTGGTTAAAAATATACGCCATTTTTTAAGTAATAACTTCCCTCGACTATGGATACGAGTGTAAGAACCGGACAATGACACAAAGTATTATGCGATCGTTCCAAGAAAACGATACGTGTCGTTATCCATATAACTATGTATCGTTTCTGCGGAATACTGCCTATTGTTGTACAGGGTGAGGTCAGCGACCCATACCGTCTCATACAACAAAACGCAGTACTACGTGGAAAAATACAGAGGTTAGAAATACGTAGTTTCTTTCGATGCTCAGGTAGTGTCGTGTGTCAGTGCCCGTTTTTTCGCTAGCCCCACGAACAGACTACATGTATACATAGTATTTTGCCAATATTTTCAAATATATTTTATTCTAATAAAACAGCTGTACCAATAGCTCAAAGTACTGTTACGTAAATGATGCCAATGCAAGATATTTTAGTATCGTAATAAAAATTTCAAATTTATTATTCATAATAGGTTAGTAATTTCCTTAGTTACACAAAGCGATGTTTTAAAGTTATCTACGATACAAACGATACACACGTATGACAACCGAGAGACAATACGTTTAAGGATTGATATTATTCGACCATACACCTCTATATTTGTATTAGGAAAATAGACCGTTTTCCATCAACAATACATATCATTATTGCTTAACTATACATTTATGTTACTTCACGGTTATGTTGTTTCAACTGTGATAACTAAATTTAAGGTGGAACGATTTCTTTAATAATTTGCATTCACAATACAGGCTCTAGATTTATAATAACAATGTTGTTATTCTTTTATAAGCACATAATATGTTTTGCGGTTATAATGCAATATTATTAAATACATTCTATGGATCTATGGATTCAATTTGTTACTTTTCCGAATACCGTTATTTGTCTATCTAAATTAAAAGCGGGTTTGAAAAAAATTAAACCCTTTTTAATTTAGATACAAACACATATATTTAGAAACGTTACATAAACAGAATATATACTTCGGTACAAAAAATAGCATGTCAGGTTCCTACAAAAGGACATATTTCACAATTCGATATTTAGCCTTAATCTTTTGACAATTAAGATCAAAATTGAAAGCAGAAATTAGTTTTTTTTTTTTTTTTGTAGTAACATGATGTGGTGCTGCAAATAAACAATTTTGCGCTATAAAAGTAACACATGTTATGTAATATAAACAAAATTGGATATTTCATTGATGAAAAATAAAAAAAAGAACAATAACGCCATCTATTGACATTAAAATAGTATAAACCGTGACGTTCCCATAGAGATATTATTAGTTATAGTAGGAAAGACATACACTGCCCGCCAGCGGAAACGTCTTTGATTAAAAAGAGAGAGAAGATCATGACACTCTGTGTGTCTCATTGTCTTTACTGGCGCATGTACAGTAAAATATAGCTATAAACAAACCATCGAACCATTCCGTTATGCTCCCTATCCTCACATATGTGAGTACAGAAATGGTTAGAATAAAACGATCATCTTTCTCTTTCTTACCTAGGTAAAGCTGAAGGCCTGACTTTCCCGCTCTATATCTAATACTCCTATTCACGTTCCACTTTAAATGTTATCAATTGATGCAAACAAATCTATATTATTACACTGACAAAGCAGTTGTTACATACACCCAAGGAGAAAAAAAAACTTGGTGTTATCGAACAAAAAAAAAATTGTCTAAACATTAAGTGAGTAGGCAAACCATTTTACATGCAAATAAACACTTATTCAAAAGAAACATTTTTTTTTAAAGCGATGCGTTGTAGGATGTAGGATATTAATATTATCAACAGTTGGTTAATGTGATGTAGGAAGAGGCCATGATTGAACGGATACTGTGTTTATACACTAATAAGAGCCATTTTAATTTGGCATGAAATGCCACTTATGATATTTTTGTATGCCAAATTGATGAGTCATAAAAAAAAATACTTTTCTAGTAGGTTTTTATATTCATAAATAGGAACTTTAACTTTGCCAATACATATTTAAATGATATAAAATTACTGAGTTTTATTGTAATAGCTACTCTAATATTATTAATTTTGAAAAATAATACCTTTTTATGTACTGGCAAGTAATATCCAATCGAAATTAAAAGTGTATTTATATACATATTTTCCAATAAATAAGAAATGCAAAGCGATGTCAAACCAAGTTTTTATGCCAGACTAAATTGAGTTGTAATTATTCCCCTCAGTCCCGCTTAAGAATAACCTTAAAGAAATGAAGCCTCGTACAATTTGAATACATATTCGTTTTATATCATATAAAGTTAATAAACCAATATTAATGTAATCCATGTATTATTAACCTGTGAGTTTCGAGGTAATACTCAAACTGTAAGGTACTTTGAATTAGTCATTTATTTTGAAACGATATTCGTATCGAAATTAGTATACGGAGACTCGTCTCTAATAAAAATGCGTAAAGGACTTGTAATCAGACGGAAACTGGACCCGCACATGCAGTCTCGATATGAATATAATGCAAAGTCTACTTAATGAGCTGTCAATTTCGATCGGTATGAAATCTGTTTGTACCTAAACAAATCGATACGTTAAATTGTATAATTGCAATAATCGTTAAAATAGAATAGCGATTGGAAACTCGCCAAGAATGCATGTGAGATGATGAGATGACGAAATTTATAATAATACGAGGTGTGTCTCCGATTGAGGTGCAATTATCCACCTCCACCTTATGGTCACAATGTACTTCATTAATCCCTATTGCCCACCCGGTTTCGTTCAGAGTCAACGTATAAAAAAGTAAGTAACTGGCATAATTATCATGCATATTTGTCCCCCCCCCCCCTCTCATCCAGTTCAGATTCAACGTGTAATAAGAAGAAAATGGCGACATGTAACGTTTAAGTTTCACAATGCCAAGTTTCTTAGCAAGACTGCGAGGTAACGTTATAATATTAGCCGGCATCATACCTTCTCACGGGGCTATTGACCGCGAGTGGCGTCGGCACCCCAAGCGCCTTGATACGCTGCTGCATAGTGGGCGACGGTCTCGCCCCGTTTGAACCGGAGTCGTACCGTAAAGGTTCCATCACCATACGGTACCCGGGCGTCGTGCCACTATGGCTGAAACGTTTATAAATCATCAGGGATAAACGAAAAATTTTACCATTTGGACTGACATTTAACCCTTATAGCTATATAGCCGTAATATTAAGAGGGTTAATTTATAAATAACATTACATTAAACTTAATAAGTATAAATTGAAATCATTGCTGAATATGTCTTTTGCATATTGTGAAAATGTCTAACGGTCAGTTGCACAAACGTCCAATAAGGTTTAATGCCGCCGTTTCAATTAGCAACAGTCGTCAGTTACCTGGTATTCCTCGCCAGGGGACTGAGTCTCGGGTAGTGCATGGGGCGGGGCGCGTGCGGCGCCGGCGGCGGGAACATGTTCGCGGCGGACGCCCTCCGCTGCGGCGGCGTCGGCTCACAGTCCGCGCTCTGCGACGCGCCGGGGCCCTCCATCTCGGCCTCGTGCTCCTCCCGCCCGGGCGACAACTGAATCCCGACTCGTTATATTTTGACAGCACACAACTGTGCATTTTGTAAGGTGTCTGCGGCAGTTGACGGCCGCGTTGTAATAAGGCCCTCGGGCACACATAATATCGATAGAAACGCCGCGCTTCACTCGTCCATGCATCATGATAGAAGTGTATTAGAAACTTATTGCATAGCTGGTCTTAATTGCCGCAGCTATCTTACAATTATATCAATAATTTGTACTGTGCATGTGATGTGTGTCGTCAAAAAAATGCAGACGTAATCGACTATTGTATTATATTTTAATATTAATTAATAATAACGCCGTTTAGATGACTGCGCGGGGCGATTGAAAACGCAATTCAAAATGATGGAACTATACAACACATGGTACCGAACTATCTCGGTGTTGGTATACTATTACTTGTTCCAATGAAACTATCCCACAATAAAGGAGGTGGAAGAGGCAATTTGCTTTTGTATTATAAAATTAAGATTTAGAAGGTTAAGACGATAAGGAACACTGATATAACTTTTCAAATGAAAGATCTATTATCATCTTTAGGAATCAAATTTCCTTATGAAATATATCTCTGTTCTGCAATTCTGCAGTCTCAAATATGTGCACCGAGCGAACCCGTTCCATTAAGGGGTCGGTTCATATTTAATGAAAGCGCATCGGAGGAAGTATACTTTAGTCCCTTTGACGTACTGACGATTGAACCGTTGAATGTTGTAAATTCTAACGTTACGAGATAGATCTGTCAAACATGCACCGACCCAAAATTTTGTACCACGCGATAAATCGTTGCCTGATGCCACGCAGTCATATAAAATTAAATTAAAAGTAATCAATTACTCTTCCATAAAAATAACATAACTTTGTTTTAAGTAATTGTTAGGGTTCATGATTTTTTTACTTTAAAAGCCAGTAAACGTGAAAAATATCAATGAAAAGTTTATATTCAATGGCTTATCTATGAGAAAGGTACATAAATATATAATATAAATACTTTTATTAAGTTAGTCGAGAGCCAGACATACTCATGTCTTCAATTCACATCAATCTTCTGAAATAAAAAGTGCGCGTGCTTATATACAATCGTGAATTGAAGGTATGTATTAGTTTGCTCTACAAGCATGATTTATCTAAGTGTTTTGCTACGGCATTTAGTGAAAGATGACAAGCCATTCTTTACTCTAAAGAAGCATGTTTCAGAACATTCTTATTTGGCTTAAATTGAATCTGAAACTAAAGCCTTAGTTAAAAAAAATAGCGCTATATAGATATGTTATGGTGCTATTATTATAATGTTTTGTAAGTTACAGTTTAAAAAAACGGAGAAATACAAAATCAATGTTATAAAGAGAGATTAACATAAATGTAATGAAATTACACCGGACATCTAAAACTTGTGTTAAATAATATCGGTATGTAATATATTATCAGTAGTCATATATATTATCGTGAGTGAGAATGGCAGAAACAATAGCTAAAATTTTCATAGATTTACTAAGAGTGAAATGAAGCACTTTCTGTCAAATGGATATTATTTTTATGTACTTAAGTGATACATGAAAAAATTACCCGTCTCTATCTAGATTCGAATATATCCGACCACACTGTTTCTATGAAAACGAAATTTCGTAAAATTCAAGAAAAAAGGCCCAGTTAAAGATAAAGACTAAGCCATGTGCACATTATATGGTTATAGTATAAAAAGAATTATAAGATATGCGGTTACGTCTCACTCACATTATATTCAAAAATCCGAAAAAAAGCGGGTCACGCTTTCTAACCTAACAATTTTAGTGAGACACTGCATCATAAAGGCGCGCTTACTTAGCTTATCAACTAGCCAAATGTATAATGTCCTAAGTACACTCGCTAGAATATCAAACTTCAGCAAGTAAAGTCCTCGAGTACCAATTAATATCGATCACAAACGTCAAATTTTCGTATTGAAAATCTTAGTTTTCCTCAACGGAGGTAGACGGCGCTGTACACGTGCCAATACAAAAATTTGACATCTCGTGCTTACGATAAAATAGATTGACATGAAAGTTTTAAAAGTATTTAAAACCAATTTCAGCGAGAGTACTCATATTACGTAACTAAGAACGTTCAGAAATTTACTTGTTCAATTTTCGCTTATAAATTAATATGGATTGGTCTGAAAGTGTATTTATAAGTAAACTTTGTACATATTGAAATTGAAAAGTATTAAATCTTGTTCCATAAATGAATGGAACGAGATTTAATACTTTCCAATTTCAATATGTTACGATTAGAATTAATTATGCATGAGATATGAATATCTCAATCAAGCTTACGATGGCAGTTGCATACAATTTTAAAGCACTATCAATAAGAAATAAAGTTGAAACAAAAAATGGAGACATGGTTATTTCAAATTATTCTCCTTCTCGCTTTAACTTTCAAAGATATTAAAACACTTGTAGGTATTTCAGATTTTATTGTTAAATTGAAATAAGTGAACAAGTAAGTAACTGTATTGGTAGGGCTGCCATCCATTCGGGATGCCCCAATTTTGTCTTAGAAAAATCTATATTACAAATAAATTCAAATATTTGAGGTAGGAAATAGGACATTTATCCAAATATTACAGATGGCAACACTATGTTTCCATAACATCACAGAACACAGAAAAATGTTACATTGGCGCTCTCGACTCTCTAATCTAGTTACCCACTTACAATAATCACCACTGTCTTGCATACTAACTATAACGCAAAACACATATTGACAATAACAATGTATTTTAAATGGAGTTGCCAAAATTTACTCTAGTATATCTGATTTCAAAGGAGGTAAATAAAAAGTGCGATACAAACAATCAGTAATATTACATTTAAAAAAGGTATTTTTTGTTGTTATAATGATACATATATCATTTATGCTTGAACGCCATTAGTTAATAAATATAGTATCAAAAATTGTATTTTAGCGGCCTCTATAAGTGTTACAGATTATAGAGTGCGCCTACATGATATAGAGTACAATAATCTTATTTTGGAGTACGGTCGACAACCCTAATCTATAGTACTAACGGGGACTTGTGTCGTGGCATTCAGAACTCTCTGCGCTACGGGCAAGGCTTCTTACATAAAGATTTAAGACAACGCACGTAGCATATTTCCGTGTTCTATGGTAGGTGCAGTAGAACCAGGTTTATAAGTTACACCGATGTAGTTAATGAAACATCTTGACAGTCATCACTTAAAACCTTCACGTAACGCATTTAAGTCTATATTAGAATAGTTTCAGTACGGTCTGAACTCCTATTTAATCGATTTTAACTTGCATTTTTCATGAGAGATTAATATCACCGATGCTACTTATAAAAGTGGTAATATTGTTTGTATAACTCGTACGAATTAATATAACACCAGAGGGTCTATTCTATTTGTTCTCGAAAGAAAAGTCTAAAAATTTCGAATAGTTGTTAAACTCATATTCGTGAAGATTATCTGTACACCAGAGGCGGTTTCATATCCTACCTCCGTTGCATTTCAAAGCATCACCTTCGTTGTCTAACATATACCACAATTCCAGGGCTTGAGTTACTCATCTTGGGACCTGGATCTGATTTCTAAGATTTATTTATAAATGGGCCTAATATTATAAAGATGAACGCGTTAATGTCAGGAACTACTGTTTCGAATTCAAAATAATATTTTTACGTTGAATAGTCCATTATTTGAGGAATGCTTTAGGCTGTATAACATCACGCTATGACTAATGGGAGTGGAGCAGAGACGGAAAGAAAAATTTGTAAGAGCCGTTGACGGAAAACTAGTAACTTTATAATAGAATAGGCGTTCAGGTGCCATATAAATTCGCACGAGTAGTAGTAATGGCAGCGCAAGCGTCTGGCTCTCACCTTGTTGTAGTGGGCGTGGGGTCCGCGGTGGGCGGTGCCGTTGTCCGCCGTGTAGGTCTTTACCTGGTGCTGCGTGTCGGTCGCGATCGTGGATATCGCGGACGCGGAGTGCACGCCCCCCGCCCCGCCCCCGCACCCGACCCCGCCCAGCGCCTCGCGACGCTTCTTGCCGCCCTTGTACACGTACTTGGACGGACGCACTAGACTGTTGGCGTGTACTCGGACGTCACATATCAGGTAGGTAATCATACACTTTGGTACAGGATAAATTTGAAATCGGTGCACACATTTTAATATTGTATTTGTTACCGCAAATCATGTTCGCGTTTTTTCTTCATCTCTATTTAAACCCGTCGCTTATTATTATAAGCTACGAGTCCTACTGTACCCACGCGGAGGTCAATGACCGATTTTTACCGATATACCTACAGTCTTTTACATATTACAATATACAATAATCACGAACAGTCGACCGATTAAAACGTCCAAGTATGGTAAATTGGAATTCCTTACATAACCTAACCATTAGGTACATTAATACGTAAATTTATAATTTTGAATTTCTTTTTTTCAAATATTCTATTAAAGATAGTAAACCAAGGGGAAAAATTGTGCACTGATTGAAAACTCAGACTGTATATATCTAATACTAGATTAGCTGTTCAGAATAGGGAACATTAAGCAGAGCTCGACGCTGAAGGCAGCACTCGTATACAGTAAACAAAGCTGAACAACATAAACAAAGTGTAATTGTAATAAATAATCTATGAAACCATAACTTACAAATTATTATCTATTTATCAAATAAAACCTGTAATTTAGCAGAATATCTTCGTATAATTTTTGGTAGTCAGTATCAAACAGCTTGTCTAGTATATATCTACAGATGGCAGCACATTAGACTTCCACGAAATGACAAATTTAATCAAATGAATACTTAATTATAGGTATAAAAGATTATGATTAAAATTTATTGAAATATTTTAAAAGTTTATGATAGCCCAATGTGCTGTTGATGCACAAATAGTTGCACATATATTTAAAAAAATGGATACATAATATGTTCTATGGGATATGACAGGACATCTCGTAAAATAAATCATAGATGATTTAATAGAAAAAAAAAAGAAATATACTAAGCTAAAATTAAGGAATATCAAATGACACATACTCATACATGACTATTCCTAATGGAGCGAAGACACCTTTTCCTAAATGTCATCCAAACGCTTCCATTCCGTGGTATTTCAACCAACATCCTGTGATGTTGGATTATATGTAACCTCAACAACACATCAAATTATCCTTAATATTTTTTATAATATATAGTAATAAAGTGATGTGCTGCAATGTGTTTTGAGTAATTTCTTAATTAATATAAATATTGTCTTTGTCACTTTGCTTTTTCGAGCTATATTCAAATAATATATTATAGATGACAAACAGCGGTTAGTGCTTCCTGTAGGCAGGCTTCAAACATAAAAGCATTAAGGACGCTTTATTTGAACATCTTAAATTTTATTACTTTTTGGATTTATTGGCCAAGTTTAAAAAATTTGCAAGATATAGTGTATAAGGTATCTTGGCATATACTAAGTGTAATCTAATCACTATTGGAGGGTATAAAAACGGCTTATTTATATGGGTACATGTGTTGTAAGAATAAACGGCTAATTAACTCACCTAGGATACTGAGGTCCGAACTGTGTGTAACAGCAGTTGTACCAGCAACCCTTCGAGAACGGGTTGTAACCGCCGGTGAACTTGCCGGTCACCTGTTCGTTTGTTGTACGACCCCGCGACACCAGTACCATGTGGAAACCGGTCAGGCCGAATATCGGGATCGCGAGTAGGATAATTATGCCCATTATAACCATACTGATAAGGTCGAGAGTTAAGTTTATTAAAACTCCTTTTTAAGTTTAAATCCAACTAAAGTACAATCATAAAAAATAACGTATTACGAATTCATTTATTAGTCATTATTTTGGGTATACAGACATGACCAACAGTGTTATGACTAAGCCAAATCCCAACAAAATCAAAAATCAAAATTATTTATTCAGTCTAGGCTGTTACAAGCACTTGTGATAGTCGAGAGCTACGCCATCGGTTCGTAAATCTACGGCGGGATAGAAAAAAAATCTGCCTAGTTGGGTGTAGGTACAAATATTTCACAAAAAATTATGTGAGTTCGTACTCCAAATCCCACTTAACCTCTTTTTGGGGTGGCGATAACCACAACTTTTTTTAAGGACTGAATCCGCCCTAATTTCTCCGTTAGCAGCGGTTACAGTTGATATGTTGATGTTGGTAATGCAATACACATATTGTTTTAATAATAACGAAATACAATTTTATGCAAAGGATACGACACAATAGGCTCGACTTGCGTTAAAGTCTTGTTGTTGTTCATTATGTAGTAGAGACTGAGCCCAAATATACTCAGCATATGTATGGACAACGATATGAGGAAGAAGAAAAAGAACCTGTAGTTCCGTCGCCCGATGCAATTGTTCACCCACGGACAATGGTGGTCGAATGTCTGGAAACGAGACAATAATAATATATTATATAACGTCATATAGGTATAACTCGTACATGACATCAGAGGGCCTATTCTAATTGTCCTCGAAAATAAATTTGGATATTTTTTGAAATCAAATCCGTGAAGATTATCTGTGCATCAGAGGCAGTATTAAATTCTGCCTCTTTTAATTAGGTTCTTTGGAGTTGTAAAATATACGAAGTTTGGTGAAATAGAATATACCTTCAGTATCATATTATTTCGTACTCAGCTTTCAATTTTCTTGATAAAAAGGAATAAGTAAAAGGTCTGTTAGAACAAGGTTGGTTGTAGTAAATACTCATCTAATCTAGGCTATTTCTTAGACTAACCTCTATGCAGTGGTTACACACAGAGCAGTGTGAACAGCGCGGCGGTCTGTAGAACTTGCACGTGACGCACCATTTCATTCGCACCGTAATACCGTTTATTTCTACGCTGCGATATAGTGGAGCTCTGAAGTCATCCTCGCGATCCTCGTCAGGTGGAGCTACAAGAAAAAGATAAACATCAAATTATAACAGATATCATGTCCAAAGGCTAAGGCTGCACAACAAATGCATTCGGTACAGGTAAAGCTGAAAACGAAACACCGCATACATTGTGGCTCGCATCTCCATTACTCTAATGTGTGCACTTGTACAGACGGTTATGTGTTACAAACTGAATAATTCGAGACTTGACTTCGAGAATTCGAGGTGGTCTGAACCAAAAACTATACTATCAATATTATTAACATAATTAGATTCGTGTTATAATAATTTAAATTTAATTTTAACACTTTATCAAGGCAAATAAAGGAAGATTTCATAGACACCAGTGAAACTTCTCGAGTCTATGTTCTTTGATAGTTACAAGTATTATTCGGCGCAATTGGCAGCCCAAAAAATAAACAAACAAAATTTTAGGTCGAAAATACATCAAAAATAATAATATTTATTTGATAAAATGCTGCATTAGTCAAAATAGCTCCATGTTTATTAAAAATGTAATGGAATGATAAAAAATTGATATAGATAACGTTAATCCTTCTCATCTATCACAGAACACAATGGTTTAATAATAAATGACTCATATGTTCTTGTGAATTAAATTTAAAATATCAATAATAAAAGACAGTCAGAGAAACCAATACAATTATGCTCCTAATCATCATTTTTAATTGTAAATGTTCAGGATACGAGTGAGAGTGCTGTCTATCTTTGCAGTACTAATTATTTTCCAATGCCATTGTTATGTACAACAGACAAATTATTATATCTCAATAATTAATCTTAATATTTAATTTCTGCAGATTTTTTCAATTTATTTAAACCAGAAGGTATTCAAGTCATCCTTTTCGAATTGAAAAATTGTTCACAATTATTAAACTCCTTAAATAATATAATAATAGTAATGCAACATGGAAAACAAAATCACTGAATACATACATTAGAGCATATCATTGAGTAAGTTTTGTACACCAATGATTATTATTAATTATATTTAATTGGACAACTGGTTCTACAACTTTGGCGGGTTCATACAAACGATTTATAGAAGCGATTAGATTGCGCAGTTCATTTGTACAGTTTATCGATCGTCCTGATCGCTCTGATCGTTTTGATCAACCAAAAAGCTGCGATAATTTTCATAATTGCATACCAAAATTATTCAGTCAGTATAAATTTCAAATAAAAATTATATTGTGGTCATTATATGATATAAAACTGTCCTGTGTCTTAAGTGAATCAAGTTACACACAGTGTAAAATATTTCGTTCAGATATATTGAGTGATTATGAAGATTATTATATACAACATGGGGGGCTAACTTGTTTAGACCCAAGATCGATTTTTCACTGACGACACCCAGTACGATCTACCAATTACTTTACTTCTTAAAATCTTTAATGAAACAGCATAGTTCGTACACTATGTATTTATATTTTTTGAATTGCCACAATTGACTGGACTAATAGTCGCGATCGACTGGTTGGCCACCCATGATATACAAATATGGTAAAAAAAAATTATATACATATAAGAACAGATATATCATTTAAATAGTAATAACAAGGTTATAATTTTAATACAAAGAACTTACTAACCTTTTGGTATGACTCCCGGGTCCATGAAAGTGGCCAGTGTAAAATTGGCCAAAACAAAAAATGTTATAACACCTTGGTATGCAGGTACCCATGGGTGCTTGTGGAGGTAGTACTGACAACTGAAACAAAAACATCACGTCTTATTTATTTTTTTTATTAAGTTTATGTAAAGCTTGTTTGTGAAATACTTGAGAGTTGTAGACTTTATATGATAGTATGGATTTGTCTGCTGCAACCGTTCTGGATTCCTTATGATAATTGCGACTTCACACTTGAATCTTACCATGCGTAAACCATGTCAATGTCATTCAATTGGTACAATAAATTAACAAAACAAATATGAGTAACTATTAACAATCGGTTGCTATTATTTTCTTCACTAAAGGTCATTTGCACAAATGTCCGTTAAGATTTAATGACACCTTTAAGCTAATAAATGTCAAATCTGTATGGGTAATGTCACCTTAAACTAATGATAATATAAATGGATGTTTCTGCAAATGGCTGAAAGATGCACTAATGTCCTTTAAGGTTTAATCAAGCCTTTATGATCTAATGAATGTCAAATTTGTATAGGTTATATAGCTTTAAAATAATAAATATTTTAATGGATGTTATTCAAACAATAATTTTTTTTTTTATATTTATAAACTCACACATTAAGTGTACTGGAAAAAACAAACTAAAAATATCCAAATTTGTCAACAACTCTTAAGTTACTTTCAGAGTTTGACCTCGAAATTGATGTCAAGTGAAGTATACTAGTTAGTCACAACAAAAAAATATCAATGACTAATACATCAACCGCTTAGTCAATTTCATTAATTTAAAAATAACACTACATCAAAGAATATTTAAAGCCATTGAAATTAAATGTGCCTGTATTTATTCCAATTAAATGTACTGTATTTAGTACATTTACAGTAAAAATAATGATACCTAATATTCTAATAAAATATATATAGCCTCAAGAGCTGACAATGGGTTTCCTTTAGATAGAGTATTTTCTATTATATAGATTGTATGTTAGATAGAGTAATTAATTATATCAATTGAAATACAAAAGATTACTGAATCACAACTGCTAAAGATTAGTAGTTCCAACTCTATCATTAAAATAATAAAAAATAATTCCAATAACAATCACAATCTACAATTACTGATGCTAGTTAAGTATCACAAACATTATTTAATAACTAACTATATTTAAGAAAATAATTCTCAAGGTTAACTTAATTTGCAAAAGTTATAGCCAATTTTTGTTATTGTTTTCATCTGGGCACATGCAACATAATTTTTAAGGGTGTTATTGAATATTTGACTAGATTTTTATTCTATTTTATGAATACAGTGAGCACTTAGTGTTTAATAGCACTAAAGGCTCAAAATAGTTAAGAAATCAGTTAAAATTGATAAATATTCTTATGTGACTTGTTAGTTCAAGTGCTACTGTCTGAACTTAGAAAGTCTATTACAAAAGATATTTATTGACATAATCTCTGAATATAAACGTTTATAACAAGGAATCTGACCCACTTTATAAGCAGTAACTATCTATTTATATGTATTGTTTACACAAAAAAAAAAGAGAATTATGAACTTGTGTGAATTTATTTTAGATAATATAAATCGATAACATGAAGTAGTAAAACACAAGTTATCACGTATTAGTAACTTGATTCTTATACAGTTCCTAATAGTGTAAATAAATGTATATCGAGACCGTCACGGCATGGCTTAAATCATGTTAGAAACACGCGACCAAACCAATAATATATCGTGGTGAATCACGTTAAAACGTAAAAGCCATATACAGTAGCATAGGTTAAAGGTAGAGCCCTAAAGTTATTAAAAGATTTACGCATACAGTCTTCTGTGAAAGTCGTCAAACCAAAAAATTATATTGTATATTTAAAGGACAATTTATACTTACGGGAAATAAAAAAATAGGGATGTTGTGCCCAACAGTAACGTCCAGGCGAATGTCGCAGGGATGTATCTAGTCTTGAGGTCGCATTTGGGCATATTGTGTCAATTTTATTTCCCTAAAATTGAATAAATATATTTTATTCACTACACATCAACATGGCCGCGCCTATTAATTTGACAGCCAGCATAGAAATACGAATCAAAATTACCAACACAAAAAATCTAATCTGTCATTTCGTAATCTTTTTTCAAAAGGTTTTACCGGTCCTGGCTTCTATGGCCTTCAGCTTGTCATTTCGTTAATTAGGCTCTCTGTATTGTTGATCGAAGATTATGATACCCACAGACTGGACACTGGACGAATTGTAAATACTTGTTCAAAGGACCGCTGGAACAGTGAATGAGAATTAAAAAACTTAACAATAATTTTAATATTTGTGTATCATTTCACAATCCAGTTTGATTGTGAAATGATATATTTTTGGTGAACCAAACCAAAATTAAACTATTATCAATGTAATTAAAATATCATTCTTAATGAAAAATGAGTAAAAGATCCACTTTGTCCCTGGTACTCTGAGAAGGAACTCGAGCTCACGACCTTCGATCTGGGCCTGCAATCCATGTGTTTGAGTCCCACCTCAAAGTGGATTATTGTACCCATTTTTCATTAAGAATATTTTTCAGTATAGCACTGTGAATGCAAAATTGATCAAATATGATAGTAAATATTATATGAAATATGATAGCAAACGATTATTAAAATAGCCATCTAGTGGAGGTGCTTTTTTTAAGTGCGCTCGTTTTTTTTTTTAACACTTCCTCGTTCAAAATAATAAAAGTATCAAGACGTTTTATTCTTATTTTTTTTATCCTTTTAGCCCAATGTTGCCTTCTACAAATTAAAATTTCCCGATTTACCATCAGTTTATAATACACTTTACCAAGATTTACTCATTCAATTTGGTTAAAAAAAAACTGAATTATATATATTTTTTTCACTGGCTATTATTTTCATCTGCTTAACGACCATTGGTTTAAATATTTTATTTGAGAGGCTGTTCGTGTTTGGTTGGTTCGTTTAATATTTCTGCATTTACAAGTCTCGCGGATAAAAATGGCCGTGTGATGTTGATTTCGTGCCGTAGTGCTCTCGTAAATTGACATTTTTCACCTTTTAAATATAAACATAGTTTAGATAGCTTTCTATATTATTGAAAAAATCTGTTTAACGTACAATATTAATTAACACAAATAAGATGTCGGACGCTAACAGTAACATGAGTTATTTAAGACAATACAGGTTTCAAAGAAAACCCAATGTGCCAGGCTCAAGCAACTCTGTTACTGTTGTGGCATCTTCATCACACTCTCGTAAGTATTTACTTAAATGTTTATTTGTTTAACTACTTAAAAGTTTAATGAGATAACACGTGTTTCCTAGTATGTAATATGATGGATCAAGATCAAGATGTTCAGTGACCCCAGTGCGTAAGGTTTCTGATTTTGTATTCCATCGTGTAAGATAATAATACTTTTACTGGGACAAGATACTTATTATCAATAATTTGTTTTAGTGTAGAAATATCAACTAAATGACATTTCTGCTACTCATATAGAAAATGTTATATTTTACAAATTATCACTGATTTTGTAATAGTGGAGTGTATTGAACAGACTCATATAAAGTAAAAAAATTATATTCATATATCTTTAAATGTCTGTTAGGAATCCCATGTCCAAGCCTATAACAACTGTTCAAATTCAATGTCTTTCTTATTTAGCTGTACAGTGAAGTTAATAGCCGGGAAAGTGATATTAGATAAGTATAGTCCGTTTCACATAGCATAGGTACAGTGATGTTAACATATTCATTTTATGTAATTTGTATTTCCAAACAATGAAAAACCATTGTTATAAGAAATAGCTTGACTATACATAAATTAGATATTTATTTAAATTTGCATATTAAAAAGCAATTAATTTTTTAATTGACATAATTACTGAAATTGTTTCAGTATGAAGTTTAATACATCAATATTTAAAACTTTATATCCCAAAAATCATGTTATTTATTTTCTTTAATAATAAATAACAATAAAAATTATCTTCAAATATTTTATACCAGAATGTGACCGTTAAAATTGAATCCAAAAACCAATCTGATCATTGAGTAATCTATGCATTGTCACTTCTTAAATCTATAGTTTTCATTAATTCCAAGTTATAATTAATGCTACAACATTAATTGTTGTATAATTTTATTTGAAATTTTAATTAATTAAGAATGATTAGAGATTTAAACATTTTTATACATTTAAAGATGTAGATGATCAAAACAGAACTTTTTGATTGTAACCCTTGCTATAGTGACCTTTAATTTAAAGTGGCTATCATCTCCAACCTATACTAATAAGTCCTACCTACTGGGTGAAACAGAAACCCAATAGAAATTGAATAATTAGATTATGCTATTTAATAGATAGCTTTTGAAGATACATTGTCAAATTTTGTGTAGTAAAATAATCTAAAATTGCTATTGAATTTTTTGCATGTCTCCAATATATAAGGTGTCATTTTTTAAATTAAGTAGATTCTAATTTGAATGTAATTCTATTTATTGTTGGTTGAGGGGAAAGAGTTTTACTAACATAAGGAACAACACAAAATTTACTTTTGTCTGTACTTTAATGACTCTTAATTATTAGCACAATTAATTATATTAGCACAATTAAATAATAAAATGAATTTTATTAATTGGTCCATACCACATGTTTTATATATTTTTCTTTTTATTTCAGAACCTATTATAAGAATGGCTGCACCACATTCTGCTAATAAAAATCTTCCCATTGTATACAAACGCATCAGAGTCCAGGATTCAGATTCAGATGATGCAGCTTCACCGGTAAAGAAAGTGGCCGTGGTAGAACTCACCACAGCTGTCAAAGAACGACGCTTTAGGAATATGTTGGAAATGTTCCCTGATATATCTCCAATGGTAGGATATCTTACTTATGTATTATTTTCATGTCTTTAGAAAAGTAAGGGCATTACTTATACATATTACTGTGTCTAGAAGCCCGTGATGTCATATAAAATATTATGTTACATTTAGAATATTTATTTTACAGTTCGTAAAGAATACTCTAGTTAAGCACGGTTGGAATGAGGAACGTTCTAGAGATGAGTTACTTAAACACGACCCGGAAAGCGACGATCGCAATTTGCCAGGTACAACTTTCTTTGGCATTGGTCGCCCCGGTGTTTCAGGACAAATATCTCGACCGAATGGATCTCTGAACATAATAAGAGTATCTAGTGGCCCTCAAGGGTCAAACAGTAGCAATGGAGGGATTGTAGTTAGGAAACCTTTGACCTCGAAGACAGTAAGAGTGAGAAGAGGCAGTAGTGGTAGTGAGGACGGTGATTACGGTGTTAAGAAGGGCAAGGATGACAGGGTTTATGATAGGTGAGTTTATTGTTTATATATGTTTATTCATAGTAGCAATTTTTTATATACCATTACTATTGTTAAAAAATAATAATAACACTGAAATTCTATTTAATTTAAACCTTAATGCATCGAGGGTATTTTTACAAATCAATTGTGGCATATTGTAGTAATCTTATGTTCTTTCTGCTCTGTGTACACCTTAAGTAACACGCAGTAACGTGTTTCTGACACCCCCCATCCCCTGTCCTCCATAAGCGTTATGTAACATTCGAGTGACTAAAATACGCTAAGTAATACTTGAACGTCCCCTAATATACGCTAATTTTGATTGTTTTCAGTGATGATTCTGATAATGAGATAACAGATGATTTGATCGGTGACAAGAAGAAGGTATATGAGTTCCTCAATACGAGCAACATAAATGAGCTATCACAGCTTAGTGGATGCTCACAGAAAAAGGCAGAGGCTATTATAGCACAGAGACCTTTCAATGGCTGGTTAGATATGGTATGCAATTCCTATTTATAATTTGTTTTTGTTCCTTTAAAAACAATAATTCTGATATACTTTATCGTATATTGTACTAGCTGTTTCCTCGCGTATTCGCTCGCGTAATACTAATGTCACCACGTACATCACACCACAAAAAAAAATCAGGAACATTATCTCTTTCCAATATAAGCATAGATGACAGTAGCGTAGTATGAAATTATAATTTGTGTGTGCGAAAATTTTTTATTGACAATATTCTTTTTTGTTACAGGTAGAAAAGTTCAATAATAGTAAAATGCTTAACACAGACTTATTAAATTCGACACAAGAGTTGTTGACGACTAGAAATAATATACAGCGGTTGATGAAAAAGTGCGTAGGGCTCGCGCAACAGCTGGAGGCAGCGGTGGCCGCGGGCGCTGGACGCCTCAAGCAGCCTACCTCCTTGGATTCTAGGTGATAAATACTTCTGGTCTACTACCATTATCCATTATAAATGTCCGTACTGGTGCGGTACACGCATTTCCTTTAGACAGAATCATATTAGGAGAATGGGACTTATTGCACCTTGTAGGCTTAGTGCGGGTTTGTGGGTATCGTTAATACCCACTATAGATACAGCCAGTACAAATGTTTTAATGTGCTTTCTGCAACACAAAGGTCTTATATTTTATTATGTCATTTTTCTGCGACTTCGCCCGTATATGACGTATGCAGTAGACGCATGTGAAAGAATTTTTTAAATCAGTCCAGTAGTTTCGGCGCCTAAAAACTATTTAGATATAGTTTTTCCTGTACGCAAAGGTTGCCTAGAGGAAATTACTTTTTAGTAATAAGGCAGCCAATTATGTATTTGATTCGATTGTATTCATTTGTTTTGTCCTGTATTGGTGTACAATAAAGCATATTTCATTCAGAGGTTAACTTTCTAACTCAGTTGTTAGAGCAGTCGCCTGGATTGCGGAAGGTCATGGGTTTGAGTCTCATCTCAGAGTGCCAGGGACAAAGTGTATTAGTTACGCACTTTTCATTAAGAATTTAATATTTCTCTATTATCTGACCGACAGACTAAATATAATTTCGTCTTTTTTTTAATCCAGTCGTCATCCCTATTGTATATTGATTTCAGTTTGAAACTGGCACCATACCAATTAGTTGGATTAAATTGGCTAGCGGTACTGCATAAGCAAGGCGTCTCCGGTATCTTAGCTGATGAAATGGGCTTAGGGAAAACGGTGCAAGTGATTGCATTCCTTGCGCACTTGAAGGAGACTGGGCAAGCGAGAGGAACACATTTAGTTGTAGTGCCTGCTTCCACACTTGGTGAGTTTATAACGAATTATTCTAACAAATATCTGATAAGATAGAAACGTTTATAGATTAGTAAATGAAAACGAAATCTTAAATTAAGAATATCTTAAATATCATTTAAAGAAATGGTCCCAGTATAGTTCCTTGACACACATTTCTCATTTGTTGGACTAACTAGCTTTCTAGCATCGGCTTTGCTTGCATAGTCCTTTATTATAATAAACATTCCTCATGAATCAATTTGTATATTGATGAAAACGTTTAAAAATGTCAGCATACAGACAACGGGAAGCGAATATGTATAGATTCATAGACACATAAAATATAAATGCATATTGCATATTAAATATTAAATATCAAACACCATGAAAGTTTTTTCAAATTAACTAATTGACCAAGCTGCTTTTGTAATAATTAATTAGAAATGCATGATATTAATTAAAAATCCGTCATATAGTGGTGTCACCGAATAACCAGTTTAACCTTTACCGAACCGAATATTAGATCGCATTGTTTGTTATACAATTTCGTTCTATCGCGTAAAAAAGGTAAAAACAAATGTTGATTTGAAGATTCATTGCTTTATTGAACACATATTTATTGGATTTATTTTGCCTTTCATAAATATTACATACTAAGTTCTGCACTTTAATCTATACCATGTCGTGTAGTCAAATAATAAAATATATTCGGCACCAAAACTGTATAATTCGAGAGAATACAAATAGTAAAAATGATGCCAAATACCAAACGAATATTCGTCAAATCTCTTATGTTAATATCGTTCTATGTTCAGACAATTGGAGCGGTGAATTGGCGCGCTGGTGTCCGTCCTTGCGCGTGAGCAAGTACTATGGACACCCGGAAGAACGTCGCCTGCTGCGGATAGAATATGCGCGCGGTCTCGACAAATACGACGTAGTTTTAACCACGTGAGTTTGGATTGAGTTTAAACTTGAAATCAACGTTAAGTTCTAAATTGCTTTAAAAGTCTTATTTAGAAAGAAAATTGTGACTATGACGCTTAAAATATTTCAGCTTTTGTATAGATTTGAAGTTTTGATACTCTAGCAATTTTAAAAGTAAGGTAAACGCAACAAATTTTGTGAGCCGTGAATTTCGTTGACAGAATAATATCAATGTTTAATCAGTGTTGATGTAATCACCATTAGGTTTAAAATACAATGCACCAGGTACAATGTAATACAATGTACTGTCTCTACACAGCATTTTTTTCATATTTTTTTTCGTTTTTGCATAAAAATAGTTTGCCACAATTGTTTCTGGCAACTAATTTATATTGGCATAATGTTACTAAATATGAAAAATAAGATCAATTCATTAGGTTATCTCAGAACAAAAGATAACAAAAAGTAAAGCCGCAAGGAACAACACATATACAAGAATAAATGTTTGCTTTAAGATTTTATGCTTAAAGTTTATTATGTTTACAAAAGTTATGGGTAAATATAATTAAGTCAATAAAAAGTATAAAATGCAAATTTGTTTACTGTAAATTGGCGCGAATCCGATCAAAACGTCCAAGTCAAACTGACAGATATAGATGTGCGTAATGCATGCAATCGAGTAATAGCGCTGCCCATAGTCGTAATTTCTTTCCCTCTAACAATATTTACGTCTCTGTTCAGATATACAATGGTGAGTAGCTGTCCAGAAGAACGTAAAATGTTTAGGATCACACCGATGCACTATGTGGTGTATGATGAAGCGCACATGCTCAAGAACATGTCCACGCAACGGTACGACAACCTACTCAAAATTAAGGTATGAAACTATTTTTTATGGAATCTCTTGTTATTATTTGTTCAAAGTTCGGAGAACATTAAAATAAACGAAAATCGTAGTCAAATGCATTATTGATGTTGAGTTTTAAGTGTGAATCGTATTATAAAAAATGGTAGGAGCATTTTCAATAATAAAATACAACATTTTTTTTACATAAATACCACTACATTGATATTTATTTATCTAATAGAAAAAAACTTAAAAAGTATTCTGACAGTTGGTCAGAGCAGTTGCCCAGATTGCCAAAGGTGGGTTCGTATCCATCTTGGTCATCAGAGACTCAAATTATAAAGATTTTTTTCTATTAGATAAATAAACAGAATACTGTGTGCTGATAGTCTATATTGAATGAAAACTTTTTTTAAATAATCATTAGCAATAGGGTATTTTAGTTATTATGAGAAAAAATATCTGAAAATATATACGATTGAGATAGCTTAGACATTATGCAGTCTAAAAATGTTTGTTTCAGTTCAAAAAAAAAAAAGAAATTAATTTTTAAAATCCACATCAGTTGTCCAATGTTTAGTGTGTGGTTTTATTACGCAATTCAGTAGTATATCAGTAATCAGTTTGTAAAGTAACAAGAAAAATAAGTTTCTAATTTTTTTTATAAAAATAATACTATTATGGAACAGGGTTTTGTAAAGGGAGATCGTACAAATTTACTAATTTACTAAACTAATTTACAAATTTACTAAAATAAAGTAAACACTTATAGTCTGAAAGCTCTGCTGTGTTACGGCATCTTAAAACGTTGATGTAAGTACTATCTTCTTACAACTATTTGAATATTTATAAAAAGTGCATAAACAATTTAAGAAACCAATAGTAACACATTTGTTTACAAAACCAAGTGACGTCACTCCTACAGAGCAACATGGCGTCCAACATTTTCGAGCACATCGCGAAATTTAAATTTGTTAAAATTAAAGGTATTTTTATAGCATTTACTGACTGAATAAAAATGTTATATTTTTTCAGTAATTTATTTGTACATTAGGATAAAATTGAGACACTCGAAAAATGAGTAAAATATCCTTTTTTTAATTATAGTATTTGAATGTACTAGATTAAAATATTATACGAAACATATTCTTAATCTTAATCAAATATTATAATAATAAACGAAATAAGGTAATTTTGTGTAGAAACAAATTTCTCGAGAATATATTAGACTTTGTCTTGTCTACAGTCAAAACATCGACTTCTGCTGACTGGTACGCCACTACAGAATAACCTTCTAGAGCTGATGTCTTTGCTGTGCTTCGTGATGCCTCACATGTTCTCTGGGAAGACCGATGATCTGAAAAGCTTGTTTCAGAAAACTGCGGTAATTATATGGTTGACTTATTTAGTTGTAATTCAATGACAGGGCAAAAGGGAATATAAATTGACATTACCATTTGAGATCTTAATGCATATTTTTTGTTATAATGACAATATTTTTAAATATTTTAGTTAATTTTTTTTAGATTCAGTTAATAATGTTGACTTGACTTTTTTTTCAATTTTGGTTGATTGTCTTATTTATTTCAAAACAAAAAATACTACATAGTTGTTACTATTTCTAATATATTTCATAATTTATTGATATAACTGTCAAGTAGCAAGCTCACTGTTTTATTTATCTAATACGAATATTTTCAATTTCTCTCTTGAGTCTCGAAATACTGAGATTGAAGAACGACTGCAATTTTGCAAGCCCTAGCAAGTAGCCCTAGTTGTATAATAAAAGCTATAACTTGTATATAAGTATTATAACATACAGAAAGTGAAAACCTCAAAGAAAGCGGAAGGGAACAACAAAGAAGACGAAGTGCCGGCATTCGAGCAGAGCCAGATATCTCAAGCCAAGAGGATAATGAAACCGTTTGTGCTTCGGAGGCTGAAGAGAGACGTCTTACAGGACTTGCCCAAGAAAACTAACTACACAGAACTGTGTCCCATGTCCGAGAGGCAGCAGAAATTGTACAAGGATCTCATAGCTGGATTCTCCGCCAATGATGGCACGGTAACTAGCTTTTTTATTTATAACCTGGCGAAAAATCTAAATTATTTATTCAGTCCTGGCTGTTACAAGCACTTATAAAAGTCAAGAGCTACGCCATCAGTTCGTAAATGCTATGTGACGTTACATTAAATAGGCAAAAGCGCCTTCTATTTAATCATTCCGTGTAAGGTATCAAATGAAAGGACTTTTTAGCACATTTCAAATATATACATATAATGATAGCTTTTGCTTGCGACTTTGCTTAAATACACCCAAAAATTAATTAACTACACTAAAAGAATAAGTTCAAAAACTAAAGCTCGTATGCCACAACAGTTTGTTTTGTTATGATCAGTGGCATACGATTACGCTGTCATTATTATATTGCTATTGCTATAAAATAAATTTCTTGCTTCAAACTTTAGAGCGTGATTTAGCTGTAGTCGGGTTTCAGTTTTATCGGTATAAAATATAACCCTTGTCCACCGCATATGACGTACCTTCCCGTAGGTGAAGGAATTTTTATATTCGGTCCAGTGCTTTCGCTTTCGTAGCCTATTTGTTTTAAATAAAAGAAACGGAACAATCAAATATTTCCACTTTATAATATCAGCATAGATAATACGTTTATACGTTGTTGCTATAGATCCACTAATATCAGTATAGATCATGGGTGGCCAACCAGTCGATCGCGACTATTAGTCCCGTCGATCGTGGCAATTCAAAAAATATAAATACATAGTGTACAAACTATGCTGTTTCATTTAAGATTTTAAGAAGTAAAGTCGATCTTAGGTCTAAACAAGTTGGCCACCCCTGATAGATAATATGTTTATACGTTGCTGCTATAGATCCACGCCACAACCGAGCAGAGCGGTGTATCTATGATGATGGATATGAGGAAACTGGCGAACCACCCTCTGCTGCTCCGCTACCAGTACGGTGCGGATCGCGTCCGCCAGATGGCGGCACGACTCGCTCGAGACCCCACCTACAAGGAGAAGAACGAGCAGTACGCGTACGACGACCTCATGTGCCTGTCCGACTTCCAGTTGCATCAGCTCACGCAGCAACACGACGTGAGTGTACCGATACTTTTTTTTTTGTTTTTTTTGTATAATATGGCAGACACGGCTTGTGCATTTTGCCAATGTCAAGTAAAAAAATCTACCGTTACATATACATAACATGAATGCGGTTTTTATTGATCAATTTTTTTTTAATATTGCTATTTGCGATCGGTCATAAGACCATATATTTGTGATTACTTAATTTTTTTTATATTTACAGTGCGACCACTAGTAATTAGGGTGAAAATTGAAAATCAGTGCTTTGATCTTTGAGTAAATACTCACTGAGTTTTCGACCATTTGCATCGCTGCGGTACACATACTGTTTGATTGTCTTGTTTTAGTTAAATCTTGTTGTCTACTATTGATTATTTCTCTTTCTCAATCAAATAAAGAATTTATCTATCTATCTATTGTTACGTACTTAAGGGGTGAAACGGGTCACCTATTATTAAGACTTCGCTGTCTGTCTGTATCTCGTGAACCAGATGACGTATTTCTGTTGTCAATATAATAATAAATACTAAAAAACAGAATAGGCGGCTCCCATATTACAAACCGAAGCAGAAACTTTATATGACGCCCTTCCTCTACCCCTTCCCCGCGTCCATGAGGGTGGATTTTATATTACTCGTGTTTGTTTGTCTGTCTAATCGTACCCTATAATGTGTACCTATGACAATATTTGTAAAGCACATTTTTTATTTTAATAAGTATTATATAATGATGTTTCTGGCGCTCCCATGACATTGGCGCCCGAGCAAATGCCTCCCCTTGTCCTCCTCCCATCCTCTTCCTCCCATATCTGGGCCTGGATTAAACGCCAACCATTGGTCCTTCGAGCCGGATAACTATAAATATTTATTTCTGTATATTTAAAAACAACGTCACTGTTGCAATACTTATAACAAAGCTCATACTAATAATTATTATAGGCTGTCCATAAATTACCCCCTAATTTATGGTTAGATAGATATAAATAAGAACTAGTAAATTATGTTATAAATAAAATACCAAAAACTGGTTATATAATATGAATAAATGTTATTCAGTACACAAACTAATAAATATAACGGTTTCCAGTGCATAAGATCGTTCGCTCTACCTCTCCATTTAATATTGGACTCTGGCAAGTTCCTGAAGCTGGACAGCATGCTGTCAAGACTTAAGGAGGAAGGTCACCGGGTGTTGGTGTTCAGTCAGTTCACTATGATGCTGGACATCCTGGAGCCGTACTTGACCGCCAGACAGCATAGATATCTGAGATTGGATGGCCAAACAGCTGTCACTGACAGGTACAAAACAACATTATTAATTTATATTTTAATTTCTGAAATGAGGGATTTATTATTATAAATTTTGCATTCACTAATAGCGAAAGGTAACAAGGGCTTGAAGAATTCGTCAGTCCTGTTGGATGTCTGGTAGCTCGGCAGTTAGAGCAGTCGCCCTGATAGCGAAAAGTCGTGGGCTCGAGATCCGTTTCTTTTAATGAAGATTTACTTATATAAAATGCCAAAATAAAAGCTCTAACAAGACAAATTCTGTAAATATAATATAATATTCTACAAGATTTCTTTATATTCTGTGGGTGTTACATTGAAAATGATGGATTAACTAAACAATTTTGTATATGTAGTATGAGTGACGCAAATTGCTATAATAAATAATATATGTAGTTTGTGCAGAGTTTGAAGTTGAATTTAAAAAAAAATAATACACTGAGGAAAGATGTTATTTTTATAACAATCCTGTAAGTAGCACTTCTTATAATAATGAATTGAAGATTCCGTTAATTTAATATAAAAGTATAAGTTATATCGTCGTTATTTTTTTTTTCGCCTTATGATGCATTCCAGAGCACATAGTAGTTTGAGATTTTTTGGTCACCCATCCCGGGACCGACCCTTGCGAAAGTTGCTTAAGAATAACGATATCGGGCCGCGGCGCTTATCCACTATGCTACCGAGCTACTACTATCATTTATTTATTAAAAAAAGATTTAAATATTTATAAGTAGTTAGTTACTTTTCATATTATATCGTCTCTATTTCCGATTGTTTAAATACAAGTGCTATCTACTTCTATAAATTTGTAATAAACTTAACACGAGTATTTTTTTAAATAATCCCAATATTATAAATGTAACTCAGTGATAATTCTATTGTAGACAAGACCTAATAGACCAGTATAACGCGGAGGACATATTCGTGTTCCTGCTGTCTACACGAGCGGGCGGACTCGGCATCAACCTGACCGCCGCGGACACGGTCATCATACACGATATAGACTTCAACCCTTACAACGACAAGCAAGCGGAGGACAGGTAATATTATAATATACACAATACTTATAATAAATAAAACTATTTTAAACGATTTCAGCACGTTTATATTTTATTTAATAACGTTCCGGACTCTTTAAGTGGTCAAATTCAAGTCAAAATAAAATTTTAAAGCGCCCAAACCGTATATAATAGTTTTATTTAAAGAGCAGTGCAGCATTAAATCATAAGAAATTCTTATATTACTTTTGACTTATTGGATAATAGTATAGGCCCAAGTTAACCAGCTAAATAATAAAGGATAAAATGTGCTTATCCGATTGGATAAGCGGAACTTTTGTGTATAGTGCACACAGAAGTTCCGCTTACAATTTTTGAAAAATAAGTTTTAATATATCTAATTTAATGAAGGTAGAATATGCTGATCATTCAGTCGAATTCGCAAAGGTTGACTGGTAGAGAATGCTATTAGTATTAAGTTCGTTGTAGCATTTTTCATTGGTCAAAATATTGTGATCCTGACATCTGAATGTACTCTACCACATTCAGGGAAATAAAATATTATTATTTAATCAGTGAGCAATATAGACCTCAATTTTATCACAAATGTCTCAATGGGATAATGAACTAGTGTGGTTACTTTTAAGATACCTGAATCTTCTAACGCAATAAATAAATAGATATAAACGGAATGATAATGATGTTTGTATCGTGTTATCAGATGTCACCGTATGGGTCAAACTCGTGAGGTGACCATCTACCGGCTGCTGAGCGCCGGCACCATCGAGGAGGGCATCTACCAAGTGGCACAGGAGAAACTTAACCTAGAGAAACACGTTACAGGCGCTGATGGTTAGTCACTGTCACTCTCTATCTTTTTTAGAAGATAATTGCTATACAAAACCATAGGAGCAGATTATTGCTATACGTAATCATAGCTAAATAGTTGTGAGCATATATATGTGCTCTAGCGCTGCTCCGGTTATGGTTTTAGGGATGACAACTAATTTTTGTCTGTCTGTCTGTCCGTCGATTATTGTAGAATATTAAATACGTATATTTTTTAATTTTTGCGTAATCAATAAATTAAAGCGATATATTGAGTTGAAATGTCGCATGACGTTACGCTTTTGTAAATTCTACTAAACTGTGACGTAGCGAGTGTCAACTCCACTTTAAAGCCATTTCTTGTTGAAATTGAAGCAATATCCCTTTAGTGGTTAATAGTTTCTGTTATCCCTGGAAGTATCCAAAGTGGTCTGCGGACTCTTATTAAAAATATATATATATATTGATAATTTATTTTATATTCTTTATTCTGCATTTAAAAAACATATAATTATACTTTATTTGTCTAGACTTAAATACAGTATATTAAACCAACCAAGTGGGTTCATGGCTTTTTGTACCTGAAAAGAATTCGATAGACCCTGATAAACTTTGAATACAGCTCTTTGCTGTAGCTATAAAAGAAAGAGCACTTAAGTAGTATTGTAAATTATGAAGCTGTAAACTATATTACTTTATATGATGTAAATATTATAAATTTTACAGAGAATGAGAGCCAAGAGCCGAAGAATGTAGTGCGGTTGCTGTCAGCAGCGTTAGGACTGACTTCACCCAACAAATGATTGTTGGCCCCCGATGTGATCACCATCGAATAATGAGTGAACTGTGTCTGTGGTGTTAAACGGTGTCCAGTGATTGTGAACGGATAACTAATGAACTTACTTGTGATGTAGATGAACGTGTAAGTACCATAGTCGGCTTGTGTACATTCTGTAATTAAATAATGGCAGATGATATTAATTTATATTTATTTGTGATACAAAATGCTGTTATGATCACAATGTCTTTAGGTGAATGGCCAAGAGTGGATGAGATCGTCAATAGAAAAATATATGCAGTATGTTATATAGATTGTGAAATAGAAGTCTGCTGCCTTTAAGATTGCATACTTAAATGGATATACTGGGAGTTCACTGCATTGGTCCATAGCAGTATTTAATGTTTTTAAATTGGATTGAACTTTTGCAAATCTCTTTAGTTTTAGAACAAAATATAACTTTAAGTGGTACATTTTAATATGATTCTTATTATTGACTCCAGTTGACTAAAATTGGAAAGGTAACTTTGATAGTTGCGGAGAAAAGTTATTTTGACACCTTTTAATTTATTCTATCACCAGTTGAATCTGTAGAGATTGTGACTGTTTATATAAAAACTCGGTCTCGTTCATTGGTGCAATATTTATTAATGGAAAAAAGGGTTATTTGTTACTTGTGCTTAAAACTACATAATTATTTATGTCGTGAGAATTTTACAATGAGTGTTAATGGAAATTGGTTTTAACTCTGTATATGTATAAATAATGTTGAAAGCATATGAGAGACATCTATTAGTATCTGGAACAATGCAATATCATTCTAACTAAGCTATATCTATATCATATAATCGAAACCAGAAACATACTAAGAGAGTACAGCTATCTACTGTATGTGACAACAGGTTAAAATTGAATTTTAATTGATGAGCCATTCAATGTGTGAGCGAAAGCAAAAAATATGTGATAGTTTTGCTTTCAAATGATTACAGTTTGATATAGTTTTTTCAAGTGAACACAGATTATTAATAGTAGGTACAATCACTCTTACTTCAAAGGAAATAAGGTTCACAATATGTATTTTTTTTACATTGCTAGCAGGAATGTTGACTATATGTATAGTATTATGAATAATATAGAATCTCTTTTTTTAATATTTTGAACTATATTTTATTGTAAAACGAAAGTACTGTCCCAAGTTAAACTTTTTCTACCTAGGTAAGCAGTTCATAATAAGAATTTTGTACGTTAAGGGTTGATTGCACCAACTTACTTCAACAATAACAAACATGTTAAAGTACTAGTTAAGCAAATTATGAGTTGCATCATTCAACATTTAGCAGAGGACGTTATAACTTTAGCTGTTAACTATAACCGCTTAAACTTCACTTGTTAAGTTAGTTATTGATATTAGTAAAGTTATTTTTTGTAATGCAAAGAAAGATCATGGTGCATCGCGTTTCATGGTCAATGTTAATTCCATGTGCAAAAAGTTAACTTGACAGTTATTATCAAATTTGAAATTACCTTAACCTGTAATTGCTCTTATGGTGTAATTTAGCCTAAGAAAAATAGAATTTCAAGTAGGTATAAAGCAGGGTTGCCATAAATCCTCAAGGCCCCGTCGTGACATTTACATATTTTTTTTGTATTTACTGCGTACCTTGGTGCGTGGGAGTTCTTTAAAATAAAGCGTTAAATCCGGGAATACTAAAAACGCATTCACAAATTTTCGTAAATTGCTTAAGCTTATGTGACGTTTCAGTCTTAAATATCGTCACCCATTTTTCAAGGATGCTTTTTGCTCGCAATTCTTCAGTTTCAACGTTTTTTTTTTCAATATTATTCTTCAGGTGAATAAATTCTAGAACACAGTTGTCGGAATCGATGGATGCCCCCTTTTCGTTCAAATATAAAATGGTTTCCTATATTTTAGTCCATTCCGGAACCACGGTCAAAGTCATCCAGTCGAATGATTTGAAACACTCGATTATGTTTGCCGGGACATTTTATAGCTCGTCGGGACGTCGGGACACCACTGTTATTAAAGGTGACATGTCCCGACGTATCGGGACGAATGGCAACCCTAGTATAAAGTCATATTTAAAAATAAAAATATTTATGATACATATTCAAAGCTTCAAAGCTTCTTCTTCAAATTCAAAGGACGAAATAGAATCTATCGGTACAAAAAATTGGCCAAATCTGGCAAAAAACCGCGTTGAGTGGCGATCTCTGGAGGAGGCCTTCACCCGTGGAGGGGTCCAGGTGGCATTAGACTAGAGGATACTCAACAAGAAACTACTAACATGTACTGTACACATGCTAAATGGAATAATAAAGGCTTTTTATTTATTTATTTATTCAAAGCTGAATTCTTATGCATGTTAAAAACATTGTTTCATGAATAGTCAACATTCCTTTCTTGTACACTGTATTACAATATCCAACTGTATTTTTGTACCAACTGGCTTTCCCAAAAATGGATATATATTCTAACCAGACTGAGCTTTCAATTTGAGTACATCTAGTTAATTCGATAATATTATAGTAACTAGTGTGGAATAAATATTGCATTTACTTTTGTATACAACGCAAATAGTATTTATCAAAAAGTTAGTGACTACATGAAATGAAATGTATTATAATAGGCGAGAGAACTATATAGCCACTTAGAGCTCTATGAAAGAAAATGAATAAAATGTCTTTTGTAAACATATATAATCTTTTCTTCCTTGTATACGATACAATAACGTTAAATATGAAAGGTACTCTAAGATTCTATTTTGCATAACTAATCTTTGTAAAATTTTTGAAAAATTTTTCCTTCATCCTTTAAACTAAGTACAGTCAGCATTAAATATTTAAGCATATATCCTAATAGTAAGTTTAACCAATACGATCAAAAATATTTAGAAGGGCTCATAATAAAAGATGACATTTTGTTATATATGATGGGATTAATTTACGTCTGTTAGAAAATATAAAATTGAATTTGGGCTTTCATTACACAACATAAAAAAATCAGAGTTTACAGAAATATTAAGTGAATTGAGTGAATCACTGGATTCTGGTAAAATGCACAAGGACAATGGCAATAGGTATATGGCTACCTATACAACTCTTTCGTTTTAGCGAAGTTTTGTTTTGATGTAAAGGACGCTATCCTTACCACCAATGTAGCAAACAATTTTAAAGGAACTACCCGTGCGTGTGACTTCTTTTTAATTTCTTGAATCTTGTCTTCTTGTATCGTTTAATACTTTAATTATTGTCTATTTTTTCTTCTGCTTTAAATTATCTATTCTAGCAACAGACTAGAATAGACACTGAGCTGATGTATGTACAAGATTCTAATGCATTTTAGAACGCTAATGCAACATTCATATCGAGTTTTTTAGTTAATATAAACTCTAGTATCTGCGTGACATTTTCAAAATTAAAAATTAATAAATCAATTTGAGAGGGCTCTATAGAAACAAAACATGTCAAAACACAGGATTCTAGTGAAAAAAAAATATCTTGGCCATTTGGTTCTTTTTGGTTTGTTTAGTTTTTTTTTTATATTTGAAGCTGCTTAATATTTGGTGTCGATTGGACTGGTTTAATTTTGTTTACACATGATGTAAACCTCAACTATTAGAGTATTCCGTGACTAAACATTATTATTACATATTATTTAATGGAAAAATATGTAAATTATATTAGATTTGTTTTCCCATTCCATTCCTTATTTTAATGATCCGGATGTTCATAGATATTTTGTTGCTTTTAAGACAGTAACAATAACATCTCAATACTGTACCACCAAAGTTAAAACTCTTAGTTATTTACTTATTTTTATTAGTTATTTATTTTATAGTTTCTTAATGTTTAAGTAGTTAATTTTTAGTTTTATTTTCTTTAGAATAGACATTCCGATTCCAACATTTTGTTTTATTTATTTATAAACCAATAAAATACACTAACAGCAAGTTCTAGTTAATATGGTGAATGTTCTTGGAGAATACTGACGATGACCGAACGTACGATTAAAATTTATGAGTCTTATTTCAATAACCATAAGGCATAAAATACAAAACATTAGGTGTTTTAGTTACACTCAGCCGGGGGTTAGACGCGTGGATACTGGTGGCTCGTCGTATCTTATATTAGCTATCCATACAAAAAGTAGACACTATCAACCGTCCACCACTAGAATGGATTGCACAATAAAAGTAGTTAAAGTTACGGTTTATATCAAATGTGGTGATAACTGCCACGTTGACTTTAATATTGACTGTGGAATGCGTTGCACAACCCTCATTACCTTGGCATAGTAAAACAATAACTTTAAACAGCCCTGCGATTCTGTATAAATCCACACCAGAATTCGAATTCACTCTGGTGTTGGTGAAACGAAGCCTAAATAAGTAAGAAACGGATGAAAACTTATTTCCTCCCTAGTTGACATTCGTCTACTTGATTTTAGACCTTATTTCTGAACAAATAATGACACAAAGCAGAATGATCCCAAAATTAGTTCCATAGGAGTTTGTAATTTCCGCTATAGGTATATTATATAGTCGATGAAAGCAACTAATAGTTGACAATTTTCGGTTATTAGATTACCCAGCATGATTGGCCACAAAAAAGTTTGTGATATAGTAATTATTTGGTGATATATAACCAACAAATACTGTCGCATGGTGAATCTGCGTTTGCGCAGATCACCGTCAAGATGTATAGTGTCTTATTTCAATAAAAATAAAGTGTAAAATACAAAGTATTTAGTGTCATTTTAAACACGGGGGGAGGGGGCGGGGGAGGCTCGTGGATATTGGTGTATAGAATAGAATAAGTGGCTCGCTCGATGGTGATAGAATCATTTTGATTTGACGACATTTGCCGCGCTTCTGCTATGTTCAACAGATAACCAGTCATCATGACGATTCACCAGTTTATTAAGGGTTCGATCTAAATGGGAGCAAGCCGGGCAATAGTCCAGAAAGGCAAAAATTAGGGGCGTCAGAATTGAAAGGTGAAAAA